ATGGTTTAACTAAGTCCATAGATCATAAAACAATTTATTGTCAGGTCGGACAGATGGTAAATTTTCGATGTTACGAAAAAAAGATCTTATTGAATAGCTTATAGATAATAGGACGGGTATATTTCACCCTAGTAATATAACTAACTAATAGAACTGAGACTTAAGTCATGTTTCAAGATGGGGGCGGGAATTTACATTGCCAATGTCTATGCACTATACTAACTAATTAAGACCAAGTGAACCGCGAAATTATTCACTCGTCTAATCAATAAAATGACAATACTCCATAAAAACCTAACTCGTAAAGCAAGAAAAATATTTAGTTCATTCACACATAAAACCTAATGTGTATGTAAAGTAAAGTTTCTCTGCCTCTACAGTTTCTGAAACAGTGAAAATATGTTTTTTTTTTAGGAAGTGAATTATCTATAGTAAATACTATAACAAGATTTTTTTGTCAAAACACGCGACAGTTAGGTATTTGACATTAATTGCTCACTAAAGAGGGACCTATAAATTTGGGTTTTTTTACGGAACAGTACCTGCGAGCGATTTATTAGGGAAATTTAAACAATTTAATTACGAACTTAATACAGATTTAAGTTAAGTTAGTACTAAAATAATTCAGTTTTATTGTAATGTCGCCCCGCTCGACGTATGACCTAATTGGTGATCTCATCACTGTCGAGTTTGTACCTAACTTTGTGTAGTAGAGGTTTTCCTTCTTGTTCTGTGTTACTGTATACTTCATTTATTTATAATCTGTGGTTTTTGATACTTTCCATTTTTACCGCGTTGCATTAAATTATTGCTTTTTTTTTCTTTAAATAAGTACAATTCTAAGTATGTTACAAAAGTTTTTGTTTGTAAGTAACATACATTAATCATTATTAATATGACTTATAAATGTAAGTAATATCGTCTGTTGAAGAATAACTATTAATATATAGGTATTATCGAAATATTGCCATGAATTACACTGAATAAGATAACATAGTTACTTCTCTGTGTGTAACATCCAATGAAATCAATATAGATGTTGATCTTTGGAATCGATTCATCTCGCTTACCTCTTGAAGTGACATTTTCGTATAATAAATCACACAGCGAGCCACTGACACATATTTCTTATCGCATCACCATAATAATAAAGAAAAAACAAAATCATATCACACATTTGACAAGGACAGTTATAAAATATCACAAGTGATTAGCGGTGTTTCGATTCACGAGTTTTTAGCTTTGAATTGTTAATTGTCATGGTAATTTGAGGGTATTTTTGATTTGATTTTTATATTACTATTATTATTTTAAATACAAACTCTTTGTTACACCTGATGTCATTCAGTTTCTGATAAACCTAATTCGTAAAAATTTTTCAGAATTGATTTTTGATAATAGTCACGATCGTGTTCTAAGGTCAGGGCTATTACTGTATAAACAAAGTTTAATCGTCTTAATTTTCAAATAAAATTATGCATACGACGAATAAGTTTGTTTCCACCACACAACCTGACCTTGTTATTTTACGAGATATATACTTATAGGAGAGTACGCGGATTTTTGCACAAAAATTAACGCGCCATTATAATGTTAATCGTTTTTCATTTAGTATTCGAGTGTTTTTTCGGTATTGTTCGTTTTATTTGTTCGCGTTTTCATGTGATCGGCGAAAGCGTCCTCGCGACGGGACGTCCGCGCGTCGACTGCCGCGCATTGGCGGAGCTCTTATCAAATGTTATCGGTGAATTCATTAAAATAATACGATTCAAATGTAACATTCGAACTTGCTATTTGTACGTTTCTTATCTGCTATTTTCGACAATAATTCGAAGGATAACCTTTTCCACATTTTTTTTAATTTCTAACCCCGCCGCGGCGCGGTATTATGGGTAGGTATGCGACTGATTGAATTGTGATTGATTCCAGTTTTGAAATGTACCACAGACTATCGGACACATGTTTTAGGGTTGATGATTGTCTTTAGTTTCCTGTAACCTGTAACCACTTAACACTGTGAACCCGTCTCCCCAACATCAAGTTCCAATCCTAACTTTTTTTCATAAACTATTCTACTTTAAACTATTCCTTTTAGTTAAAAAAACATAGTGTTACTACTTTTCCTCTCCATAAATAAAGATTTGATACCTAGCGGCCTTCTTTATTTGCTAATTTCATCATTGCTAATTTATTTAGACTTAAAGGAACAAATCAAAATAATAATATAACCACTGATAGAAAATACAGTATAACTCAAAGTTCGAATAAAAATTCAAATAGACAAACCCATAAAAAGGAGTTGTTTGCTGTGTCATTTTAAAAGGCGCGAAAACCATTTACATTTTTTTATAGCGTCCACAACCGACTAAGGGATTCAAGCACGTAACGCCTCTACTTTAGAGTAACGCTATGATTATAATTTTAGTATGTTTAATACAGATATAATTATGTTTTTTATTTATATCATTCAGTTAATTCAGTTGTTGGGTGTGGCCGGTCTAAAGGAAACCGTACCCATTTTCTAATTCACTTAAGATATTAAGCTCTTGTTGAGGCCAGAGATTATGTTGCGGATTATCTAACAACTAACATCTAAAAATGAGCTCTTTGATTGATTGGTTACAATCTACTGCTCAGATAAATATTTAAAATCCTAAAATGTTCCCGATCTAAGTATAAATAGAACTGCATATGAGACTTCTTATAATAATACGTAAATAAGATTAATAATAATAAAAAACACATCACGACCAACGAGATTTTCGATATAACTGTACAATTGTGTACGGACCGAAGTGTCGTTGCCCTTTGCTTAAATCGCAAACAGAAATAAAAGGTCTAAATCTATAAATCTACCTACATAAAATACGTATGTACCTAAAGATTAAACTCACAAAAAAAAGAATAAAAGGAAAAATACTTCTCCGAGAACATAACTTTTAGAAAAAAAACTAAAAAAAACAGTTGTTCCTTTTTTTCTTTATAAGAATTAAGAATGTCTTGAATGAAATTATGAATGAAATCACAGCTCTTCTGTTTCAAACTCGACTTCAAACTTAGTAAATATAATATTTACACCGTTTTCCGAATGAAGAAATGATGAGTAGGTAACACTAAGTAAAGTGCAATAACCTTTAAGCAAGGTTATTGTGTATCACAATCACTTAGAGCTAAAGTTATGAGAAGCTAATGTGAAATAAATCTGCCTTTTCTTTATTTCTGACTTTTGTTACTTAGATTTAAGTACAACTTTGCCAGCTTCGGGTAGTGGAGGTATCAACATAATTGAGGCAGTCAGCGCAAAAGTGTCCTAAGCTTATCATAGTTAATATGGAGATAATGAGGTTGGTATTTACTTTTACACTGCTTCGTAGGCAAAAACAATACACGCAAAAATAATGTTTACAAAGCCATCTGTTCTCTATGGGTGAGACTAGGGATAGGCGGGTTTTGCATCAAAATTTATTATGTTTTAAATAAATTGCAATATCTAAGCGGGAATATGAAAAATTGTGGGTTATGCCCATTTTGCACTGACGGTCTCAATTATGCTAAGCCATTTTTTACATTACATTTACAGGCATGAATTAAAAGTTTTTACAATTTGTTATAACAACGAGACGACACAAAATAACTGCCTTCTATTTAAAAAAAAAACGTATAATTCAAGTCAATTTGATTTGTAAAGTTTTAAAATAGTTCCATTAGTGTTATAGAAATTATATTTATTTTATTTCGAGTTGAGGAATCGCTGTTACGTGATGCTAATACTAGCCCACAGAAAATTCCCACTGAGTTTCTCGCCGGAACTTCTCAGGTGGTGGTAGGACCTCTTGTGAGTCCGCTCGGGTAGGTACCACCACCCTGCCTATTTCTGCCGTGAAGCAGTAATGCGTTTCGGTTTGAAGGGTGGGGCAGCCGTTGTAACTATACCTGAGACCTAAGAACTTATATCTCAAGGTGGGTGGCGCATTTACGTTGTAGATGTCTATGGGCTCCAGTAACCACTTAACACCAGGTGGACTGTGAGCTCTTCCAACCATCTAATTGGGTCGCGATCCGGTGGTAGATTCTGCGAAGACCTGCTTTTGCTAGGGCTAGTGTTAGCAAATTCTCTCAGGTTGAGCCCTTGTGCTCACCAACTCGTCCGCGCGTAAGAGGAACAGCTCCTTAGGCTACCAGCGTATAGGTAGGCATAAAAAAGAGTGATTCACTTTCTCTCTTTTTGAGGACTCATCTATTGGCGAATGATAAATGAATTGTTTATTTATATAATTTGTGTCTTTTTAATTCACGTGTTCACTTAAAAATGCCTCAACGATCTTGGAATATTCCATCATTTTATCAATATATAATTCGTATTTAAATAGAATTTCTAAAAAACACAATTTGCTAAAAAAATAATACCGTCATCATCTAATAATATCTAAACAGCATATTAGGGACAGGCTATTTGGTTTAAGTGACATTTTTGGAACATTACATGAGAGGCATTTAAAGTTTATAATTTGAAAAAAATATCGTAACAAAAGGACTCCTTCTGCTATTAGAATGGGGGTAAATATAATTGAAGTTGAATTAAAAACATCGCATTGTTAATGCTAACACCAAATAAAACGGAACCATAATTGAGTCGACTATTATCAAAGCCGGCAATGTGACTTTTGGACAATTATTGGTAAATCAGAAAAACGAATTATTGACTTTGTATTCATTCCATTGGTAGTCACAAAACTCTTCTGAACGACATCTTAGATAAATAACAGGTTAAGTTAATACTTTATTTAATGCAGGTTTTGAACCGTATTCTTTGAAGGAGACGATTATATTCAAATCAATCTGTATTGACATATCAATAACATTTTTTTGTCCAAATGCACAGATTGCCTGCCACTTTTGATAATAGACGACTCAATTATAACAATAAATGTCGCGTATTAACCGAAATGTCGTTAAAACCAAATATATTTTCATTCCTTGTTATGATAAACAGGACTTACTTGGGCAGTGTTAGGGGCATCGTCCGGTCTCAGTGCGTGAAGATTACCCTCCTGGAATTCAGCGAAGGCTCTCACTGTCGCAGCAGCGTCGCGATAACGCTTCCAGAGATCCACGGCTTTATGGTACCTGATAATAAAGATGAAAATTGTACACGCCATCACTTAAAGTTACTAGATTAACCGACATTCGAGTTTTATATGATTTAAAGTCCTCGGTAATGATCAATATTCGATTGTGAGCTACGTTTGATAAAACTGAAACGGATTATTTCAAACAGTGAGGAGCACTATTCTGCTAATAATAACTATTGCACAGACCAGAATGCAAATATTTGACTAAAGTATTCTTTAGTTCCACCACACCGTTCTAGTCCATAATAGCCTCCAATTATCGCGGGACTATTCTAGAAAAAGTGCAGCTAATTTTTCTAATGTAATACGTACTCAACAAATGTTCACGATTGACTTCTACTGTGAAGGAATAACATCGTGTAATAAAAATCAAACCCGCAAAATTTTAATTTGCGTAATTACTGGTGGTGGGACCTCTTGTGAGTCCGCGCGGGTAGGTACCACCACCCTGCCTATTTCTGCCGTGAAGAAGTAATGGGTTTCGGTTTGAAGGGTGGGGCAGCCGTTGTAACTATACTTGAGACCTTAGAACTTATATCTCAAGGTGTGTGGCGCATTTACGTCTATGGGCTCCAGTAACCACTTAACGCCAGGTGGGCTGTGAGTTCGTCCACCCATCGAAGCAATAAAAAAAAAGGTATAAATTAAACGACATGAAGATGAAATAGCTTACTTATCACACAGCTGAGTTAAGTTGGTGCACGTGTGTTCGTATGCTGTGGCAGCATCGTCTAGCTCCCTGCGGAGTTGAGCCGCGACCGAGGGCTCCGTGGTGGCCTCCAGAGGCGCCGCTGCGTCGCGGAGTTCGCCCACCAGCTCGCCACTCCTTCTTGTCAGCGATTCACTCAGGGTCTAATGAAACATCGTCTTATAGCAGCGATCGGGGAACACCGGGGTAAAATGAAATTTTGGGGGGTAAAAATGAAACTTTTGTGAGTAAAAAAAAAATATAGAAGTGAAACTACTTTAGAATCGTTAATTCTTTTGTTATTGTTTTCTTTTCAAAATTATCATGGGGGCTATAATATGAAAGAAGCGATTTCGTTTTTTTTTTGTTCTTCGCCATGGGGTAATATCAAGTTACACAAAAATATTTTGGGGTAATAATTAAAAAAGTTCCGCGATCGCTGTCTTATAGTAACCAAAATTTACTAAATTTCTCCTGAATTATGAAATTAGATCTTACTGTCTAATCCAGTGGACATATTATCTATATATTAGTAGTGAAGCAAAAACTTTGTACCCCTTTCTAAGAAAATTGCGCGGACGGAGGAGAATGAAATTTCCCACTCTTACAGAGAATATAGAGGAGTGCAGAATGTTAATATTTTATTAAATTATGCATAAAAATACATAAAATCAATAAAAAAAAACATTACACACACTAACATATTTGACACACGCACGCATATATACTCTTTTTTTATTGTCAAACTTTTCTTATTGCTTACGGCTTGGGGTCAAATTGAGAATAGATTATATATTGTTTGTCTTTATTTTTATTAATATTGGTCTAAAGTGTAGTCTTGGCGAAATCTGTGATTATAGAATAGTCTTTGACATTATAACCATATTAATGTTCAAACTTATAATTTCAATTAATTATAGTCGAATTTCGACTACTGAGGGTCCTAATTTTTTTTTTAATTGCCCTTGTAGGCATACTAGCACACGGCCCACCTGATGGTGAGTGGTTACCGTCGCCCATGGACTTCCGCAATGGCAGAACCGAGCCGCTGCCTACCTCTAAGTTACTACTTAAGTAGCTACTTAGTACTAGTTACTACTTAGTACTAGTTAAGATTAAAGTATATAGTGACTCCAGAAAGTACCTCCAGCTTCTCAGTTGCCTTCAGGAGACGGTCATAGTCAACTTGGCCTTGAACGGTCAAGAGTTCGACCATGTAATCCGCTTCACGCACGGCGCCCTGCACCATCTCCAACTGCCTCTCGAAACGTTTCCACAAATGAACTTTCGCACGTAGACGAGCGCTGAGCTCGCCGCAAGCCGCTTCTAAATCTGCGTGCGTTTCCTATTCACAAAAGAATACAAAAATGTTCATAATAGGACTTTTTTTTTCCCTACCTAAGCTGAGAGCCTTGAGAGGCTATATCAGCGTAACCTTAACTAGTAGGTGAGCTCACGGGACTCAAATCTGACGACGTTGCTAGCACGAACCCTAGCAAGAGCCGTGCTTCGCAGAATCTACCACCGGATCGGAAACGCGACCCACTGAGAAGATACGGCGAGAAACTCAGTGGGCTGTGTCTATGGGTTAATTCGCTCGTCCAGCCCTTCCCATTAAAACTAAAATTTTTTTAGATTAAAATCTACATATAGAACATCGCAAAATATGTAGATTTGCCACTTTGAGAAGGCGGCACGACATGAGAACCCTATGTTGCGATGTTCTATTATCAACAATATTCAAAGTGATCTAGACTAGATCAATTCCTTAAGCACATTATTAAATAACGAAGAAAACTAAATACATACATTTAATTCGCAAGCGACGGGTTCGACGAGAACGAGGACCGGAGCCACATAATAGGAACAAATTGACAAAATAAAGTAAGTTTTGGTGTAATATATTACCTGCAAACTCGAAATATCTCTCTCCAGACTGGTAGGCGATACACATATTCGAAGACTGATCGGCAGTGTATGGAGGGCTTGTCTTAAAGCAAGAATATCTCGCCACTGGGATGCTAAGTCTTCGATCAATTGGTCACAAGTCTGAGATGCCTTTTCAACAACGTCGCTGCCGAGGCGTTCTGCTGCTTCGCACTCCTCGAGGGTAAGTCTTGCACGACGCTGACTCTTTTGGCATCTCGCTATACCACTCTGAACTTGCACTATTTTCTCCTTTAGCAATAAGCTTCGTTCTAACTCTTCGGAAATCTGATCTTCTAGTATTCCCGATTGCGTTAATAGCGCTCCCAATCGTTCTGATTCAGCTGTAGGTAGTAAACTAAGTCTTCCTAATTCATTTTGTATGCGATCAATACGTCCGGTCATGACTTGCAGTCTTTCTATGTAGAGATTCAGTTCGTCTTCGCTCTTGATGACGCCTTTGAGGGCATCTATAGATGAACGAAGTTCTCGTAGCTCTTCTTCCAGAATATTCAATTTTTCTCCTGAAGAAACGTCACGATCAGATATGGTTTGTATGGCAGAGTCGTGTACACCGGCTATTCTGGCAGCTAAAGCATGCCACTGGTCCTCAACTTTGGAGAAATACTCTCTTTGTACCATTTCATCAGATATAGGTAATATCTCGAGTGCTTTTTCAAACTGTACTCCGGAATCATTTTTTAAATTATTGTGCACCTCGTGCTGGGCTTTTAATTCCCAGAATCTACGCAAGTTACCCGTCGTGGTAATATTTTCAGGAGTAATGAATTCCAATTCGCGGTTCGCGATTTTCATCCATCCTTCTGTTCTATCGATAAGTAGATCGTAATTTACCCAGTGTTCTCTGAACGCTGTAAGTCTTGTTAATCGCGTATCAATCTCGTCTTGCAGTTTTAATAACGTGTTCAGAGCTGACGAGCATTGGTTGTCCAATGTAGAACATACAATTAGGTTTTGCATGTTTTGCGTTATTGATAGTAGACGCAACATTTTCGCGTGATGCCGAGAAACGTCATGATTAATCGATTGATACAAATCAATGTATTGTTCGTGATCTCTTGAAGTAACGTTAGTTAAGTCTGGGATTCTTTGTTGAGCGACGACGAGCCATTGCTTTTCTTCTTTCATTCCATTTTCGAGAATATTCCATCTCGACGCAGCGTGCGTCATCTGTTGAGCTCTGCTCGCCGCGCGGTCTATAATAACTGTTGCTCTATCGTGTAGTGAATTGTGTAAAGAAGAATATTTGGCTCTCGTTTCACTATCTAGATTGTCTTCCAAAGACTCTAGAATCGCTCTGCAATGGCTCAAATTAACGAAGAATTTTCGGTGCTTTTGAATTTCTTCGTGAAGATGGTCCAAGTCATTCACAATAATTTTCCCGTCTAATAGTGCTTCAGCTACATCTGTGATTTGACCAAAGTCTTGTAGGGTCTGTTCGTATTCTTCTGCCAGAGACGCTAGTTGTAGAAGCCGATCCCTCTCAGTGTTGATGGTGTGCTCTACATGTTTTGTCTCGTCGTCACATGAGTATAATTTGACGGGACATTCTCTTTTCGGATTTGCTTCAATCAAGGAACGGCAGCGCTTGAAAAGTTTGGTCAGCGATTCGAAATTATCGATATTATCCGATTCAATTTTGTCCAGCTGATCAAGTTTTTGTTGAGTCGTGTTTTCTGACAGGATTATATTATCCAAATTAGCTTTGACACGTTCGACGGATTCTGCTAGACTGTCTGTATCGTGTAAGAATTTTTCCCATTCTCTTCCGATTTCTTCCACTTTGACCGAGCTTTGCTTATTCAAAGTATTAACTGCGTCTACTTGACGAGTTAAAGTATCAATCAAAATGGTGATTTCTTCATTTACTTCCGTCACCTCAATGATTTCTTTTAAATACCTGATGTAGTTATGTAAAGATCTCAGTTTTTCAGTCTCTTCTGTTAGTTTTTCTCCTCGCATTGTTTCTTTTTGTATTTTGTACTGAATCTCTTCCAGCCATACAGAAATAGTTTCGATAACAACTATTACACTCCTTTCGGTTTTGGAAGGATTGTTGTTGCTTATAGCATTTTTTACCGTATCTAGTTCTTTATTGATAACGAGATCATAAGATTTCTCGACAGATGGTTCAAACAAAGCCACTGTCATAGAGTTATCAGTAGGATTCTTGGGCGATTGAATAACAGATTGTGTTCTTTTTTCTAAGGCATCCAGCAACCTTGCCTTTTCTGTTTTTTGTGGGACAATTGTTTTACTGGGTGAAGGAGATTTTGATTTAGATCTCTGAACAACATCTGAATATGTCAATTTAGGTGGTACGACTTGTCTTGGTAAATCAGGGCTGGTTATTTGTGAAATACCTTCATCAGTTGAGGGAGTATCTCTCAATGAGGTATCGTCACTTGTCGGCGTCACAGATAGAGACAGCTCAGAATTAATGGGATCTGAAAGGCTTCCTGGAGATTGCAAAATAGGTGACTCTACTTTCCTCTTAGATTTTCTTTTCTTTTGTTTCTGTTTTTCTGTGATAATTGAATGAGGGAATTCTTGTTGTTGACGTTCACTGTCAAGGAAATCTATGTTCGCTTGAGGTATCGAGATTTGAGCCCGCAAGTGTACTTCATAGGGCTCATCCGTTGAAGTAGATATAGAGTCCTCTGTATAGTCTCTAGGAGTTGTCTGTTGAGTGTTATCAACTGTTATAGCTGCTGTCTTCTCTAGTTCCAGTACGGGTAGAGGAGTAGAGTCTTCTGGAAGATTGCTTGTCTCTGTAAATTCAACTCTTGGTGATGTTTGTAGTGACATATCAATAGTTGATACAGTTTCTGTAGATTCTTTTAATTCGGGCTCTTCTATAGCTCGCGGAGTTGTTTGTTGACTGGTACTTACTGTGTTTGTTTTTGATAACTCCAATATTAATGGTGGTTTTTCTGATTCAACTCTTGGCGAGGTTTGTTGAGTGCTATCTACAGTAATGACATCTCGTTTGCTTGGTTTTGTTTCCTCAGGTTGGGGTTCTGCTTCCCTNACAGTTTCTGTAGATTCTTTTAATTCGGGCTCTTCTATAGCTCGCGGAGTTGTTTGTTGACTGGTACTTACTGTGTTTGTTTTTGATAACTCCAATATTAATGGTGGTTTTTCTGATTCAACTCTTGGCGAGGTTTGTTGAGTGCTATCTACAGTAATGACATCTCGTTTGCTTGGTTTTGTTTCCTCAGGTTGGGGTTCTGCTTCCCTGCTTACCCTTTCTTCGTGCAAAAACTGTTCAATCGCGTCAGATTGTGTCGACGTACTGGTCAGAGGAATGTCAGGTGTTTGAATGGACATTTCCATTACTTCTTTCTCTTTTATTGGACTAGTTGAAGTTTCCTGATCGGCGATTTCTTGTTTTATTGTTTGGATATTCATATCGGTGGTATTAATGATTACTTCCGTGCTCTTGTCATCTGTGTGAATACTAGGCAATGGAGATGTTTGCATATCTCTCGATTCTATGACATGTTCTTTTGAATCATCTGTTTTAATTTCAATAGGCTCTTCAACAACCGGTGAGGTCTGCGAGAACTTCTCTTCTGACGTGCTAATGTCCTTAGGAATGACTTGGGTTGTCGCCTCTTGTTGAACAATGTGTACTGGCGATTGTTTTCTGCTAGTTTGGATTTCAACTTCAAATGTTTCAACATGTGCTCCTGCAGTTGGATATTCCTCTGATGTTTGCGACTCAGTTTCCTTTTCTTCAACTGTAGTAGTTTGTGTCAATGCCTCGTGGACTAATGTAGGTGAAGTTTGAAGCTCGCTATCAATTGTTTCTGGCCTAGGTAGCTCTTCAACCGGTTCAATTTGTTCCGGAGAGGTTTGTACAGAATAATCTTGTGTTGGGATTTCCTCGACGACCGGAATCGGGAATGTGACTGTAGTTGGCACTTCTTCTTGTGCTGTTTCAGGACTGCTCTGTACGCATTCTTCTACAATTTTAACGGTACTAATATCAGAAGTTTCGCTTATAGTGTGATACGATTCCTCACGCGGAGATGTCTCAACAATTTCACCTAGGTTTGATAGCTCTGGTTTGATTTCTGGTAACAATTCAACTTCATCAGGTTTTATTTCAGGACTTGTCTCAACATCGTCTGGAGTCTTCTTCTTCCGCTTTTTGTCTTTTGTTTTTTTGACTGGTTCAATATCTTCGGGCAATGTTATTGATGAATCCTCTACATCTGTTGTACTTAATTTTGGATATGTAGTTTCTTCACTAACTCCGTGTTGCTTACGTTTCTTTTGTTTCTTTCTCTTGTCTGGTGTAGCCGCAGGTGCAATAGATATATCCTCGGGTTCATATCCTCGTTCTTCTATAGTTGTTTCAGATTCGATAATAGGAGACTCGATCACGGAGCCTGTATCCTCTACCGGTTTTTCCAATAATTCCTCTGTTGGTTTAGGAGAGTCTGCCAGAGGTGATTTTGGTAAATCTACGTAATGACTCAGAGAAGAACTATCTGTATCAGCAATGCTTTTTTCAGTATCTGTTCGTTGTTCCTGCGATATTTCAATAGAATCACTTCCTTCAGATTCTCGCTTGTGTTTCTTCTTTCTCTTACTTCTTTTACTTTCTTTTACAGGTTCCTCTGCTTTGTTTTCTATTCTACTTTCTTTTTCTATTACAGGAGATACAATTTGTTCTTTTGTAATGTGTTCTGTAGTTACTTTTACATCTGTTGGTAAGACTGCATCAATTTCCTTTTTAACTACCTCTGAATTCTTAGAATCAAACTCTTGCACGGTAAGATCTAGTTGCACTTTCGGTTTGACTTCAGTAGTTACATCAGTTCTTGTAAGAGACATAGATATATCAATCGTTTGTTGAGGCTTATCATTTTCTGTTATAAGTTTGAGCTCTTTTGACTTAAATCCACGCAAATCTGTATCATGTCGTTCAGCTTCAAGGAGCACGTTGGTGTCGTACCTCGGATCTGGTTTCGTGGGTTGATCGGAAACTCCTACTGTTTGTAATGAAATCTCTTTCTGGTCTGGTAGCTCGAGAGTTGCGATAAGTTCTTTCACACTTTCAGTCGAGCCTTTAACTTGAGGATGAAATTGTCGAACGTACGACACTTCCGATGATTCCGGAATCAAAGAAGTTTCAGATTCCGTAATAATGGTTCCTATTTTGAGAGGTTCTACTTCTACCGATGTTTGTATAGGAGCCTTTTCAGTACTGATTTGACAGACATTTTTTTCTGGTTCTTCAGAAACAATCAATTCTTCTTCTTTAGTTGATTTACTTTCCGCTTTAGTTGCTCTATCATCTACTTTAGTTTGTTTACTTTCTACTGTAGTTGATTTATCTTCTACTTCAATAGATTTATCTTGCAATTTTATTGGTATTTCTCCTTTTGAGATTTCTGTAGCTGCCGAAATTACGTTTGTATTTTGTAAATTTGACGGTTCAGTAATAGATTGAATATTTTCTTTTTCGTCAACAGTGAGATTTTGAATTGATTCTTCCACATCGAACGGTTTTTTATAAATATTTTCTTCGTTATCTTTTGAAGCGTTTACGTTGTTTGATTTAAAACTTTCAGTTTCTAGCAATTCCTTTGTAAGTGCAACGACACTCATTTGTTTATCATCTACTCCAAGTTTTTCAGGAACTTCTAAATTCAGATCTGTTGTTACTGTAATTGTTTCTGTACCACTTACGGTTTCAAAAGTCGAAGACGGTAATGGTATTGCTTCTTTTTTACTGTCATATTGTTCTTTAATTTCGAACAGAACGTTTTCTGTTTGTGGTATTAATAGATCTTTTTCTTCTAGCTTAGAATTACTAAGTCGCTGTGATTGTTCACTGTCAAGTTTCAGTTGATCAGGTATTTCTTTGGTAGCTTCTTCTAGTATTGAATTATCTTTTTGAATCGACTCCTGCACAATGAAGTCTACTGTTGCGTCTTTCAACGATGAATCTTTCTTTAGGTCATCGATTCCAATAAATTCCGATTCTACATCCTTAACTTTTTCAGATATGATGTCTGAAGGATACGCTTCTTTAATATGACCTGGAAGTTTTTCATCAGTTGTAAATTCTTTTGTCTCAATTGTTTTTGTCAAATCCTTAATATCAGCTTCAGGTGAAATCTTTTTTTCTACTACTGTCACTGTAATTCCTTCCTCCTTTTTTGGTTTTGATTGAATATCAATGGCAACTGGACCTTCACTTGTCCTATCAGGGATATCAAAATCAGTTTGAATTGGATCCATTTGGGTTACTTCTTTATTTGCCAATTCCGGCTTATTTAGAATAATATCGTCTTCATACCCTTGCAATTTAATAGATGTTGCTTTATGTACACTTGACTGGTCGATTTCAATATCGATAAAACTTTTGCTGATATCTATTAGATTGCTATCTGTAGCTTCAGCTATAGATGGCGCAAATGTGTCAGTTTTCTTAGGTAATACAATTTCTTTCAAAGGTTTTTGTGATTGAGGAAAATCACTAATATCATCCATTTTAGGATTTTTTTCCACTTCTTTAATCTCACGAGCATTAGGAGTTACAGTTTTTATAGATTTTTCAATAACCTGATCAACATCTGTGGGCTCCGTACTTTGTTCCTTTTCTTCCTGTTTTAGTTTAGAAGCAGTTTCAGCAGAAACTGATGATAGCTCTGGTATGGTTAACTCTGTCTGTTCTGCTGTAGCTTTACCTCCGTCCGAAGGAATATAATCTACAGATTCATTTTCAATCAATTCCTTGCTACTAAAAACTTCTCTTTTATCACTAATTAAAGGTAAAACAACTGATTCTGAAATCATAAATTCTTCCTGTGTCGAGGTTGACTTCTGTGGGACTTTCTCTGCTTCCGTGAGTAAGATAACGTCGGGTTCAGTGGTTTCGATAACATCTTGAATTTCTCGCATTGTTTTTTCAACGTTCGTTGAAATATTAACTTTTTGTAAATAATCGGTATTTTTTGTATCGGAAGTAATTTTTTCTACGTCACTACAATGTTCTTTTACATTAACGGGTTGGCTTATTGTGATTTCCTTGGTTACGGTTTGTGAAAGCTTTGGAGTGCTTTCTTCGGCACGGTCAGCTTGAGATGACTCTAAAAATACTTTGGCGGTATCTTTCTGATGTTCTGATGTAAATTCAGGTTTTATACTTTCCATAGGTTCTTGTTTTAAAGTATATTCAATAACTTTAGGTTCGATGGGTACGGTATCTACTCTCTGTATTCCTTGGGTTAATGAGGGCACATGTTCTAAGTCTTTTGGTTTTTCGGTGACATTAAAGTCAGTAATTCTTGAACTTTCCAGTTTGGACGTAACAGTATGATCTATTTCGCTTCCTATTAAACTCTTCGTAATGTCGACGATTGTGTTTTTATCTTTGATGTCCGTGTTTGTCGAATCTAATGTGAGAACAGGTTTCTCTTGTGTCTCAATTACCTGGTGTTCTCGTGATATTGCAGAGGTTATCGGTTCAGTTGATTCTGTGGTTTCAATTAAAGTAGGAACTTCATCTACAGTTTCTTGATCAGTGATTTTACTATCTATTACTTTAACCGTTGAACTAATTTGATGATCAGTTTCTAATGATGGCTTAATTTGGGCATGATCAACTTCACTACTAATCAAAGATTTAGTCAAGTCAGCAATATTCGATTTCTGTTTTAAATTTTTATCTAAAGTAATTAGTTGCGGTTGGGATACATCCAGTGATGTAGTGGGATGTTCTTTAATGTGCACATCAATTTCAGCTGTAATAGTAGAATCCGGGACATATTCTACGTCAGGTTCTTCTATGACTTCTTCAGTAACATGTTCTTTACCATCAATTATTTGAACACGTCTTATAATTTTTAAGCGATTGGTCTTAATACCTTCTGTCTGAAGATTATGACTAATTGGAGGCACTTGATCAAGTCTTTCATCATCATCAGGTTCCTCAATTACTTTTTCAGTAATGCGTTCTTTACCATCGACAATTTGCACTTGTCTTATGACCTTGATACGTTTTGTCATGACACTTCCCGTAGGCAACGTTTCACTGACGACTGTAGATACTGGCTCAAGTGTTTCAGCATCATCAGGTTCTTCAATTACTTTTTCAGTAACGTGTTCTTTGCCATCAACAACTTGCACTTGTCTTATGACCTTGATACGTTTTGTCGCGATACTTCCCATAGGCAATGTTTCACTGACGACTGTAGATACTTTTTCAAGTGTTTCAGCATCATCAGGTTCTTCAATTACTTTTTCAGTAACGTGCTCTTTGCCATCGATAACTTGCACTTGCCTTATGACCTTGATACGTTTTGTCGTGACACTTCCCACAGGTATCGTTTCACTGATGACTGTAGATACTTGCTCAAGTGTTTCAACATCGTCAGGTTCTTCAATTACTTTTTCAGTAACGTGTTCTTTGCCATCGACAACTTGCACTTGTCTTATGACCTTGATACGTTTTGTTGTGACACTTTCCATAGGCAATGTTTCAGTAACAGTAGGTGCCTGCTCATGTGTTTCAGCATCATCAGGTTCTTCAATTACTTTTTCAGTAACGTGTTCTTTGCCATCAACAACTTGCACTTGTCTTATGACCTTGATACGTTTTGTCGTGATACTTCCCATAGGCAATGTTTCACTGACGACTGTAGATACTTTTTCAAGTGTTTCAGCATCATCAGGTTCTTCAATTACTTTTTCAGTAACGTGTTCTTTGCCATCGATAATTTGCACTTGCCTTATGACCTTGATACGTTTTGTCGTGACACTTCCCACAGGTAACGTTTCACTGACGACTGTAGATACTTGCTCAAGTGTTTCAGCATCGTCAGGTTCTTCAATTACTTTTTCAGTGACGTGTTCTTTGCCATCGACAACTTGCACTTGTCTTATGACCTTGATACGTTTTGTTGTGACACTTCCCATAGGCAATGTTTCAGTGACAGTAGGTACCTGCTCAAGTGTTTCAGCATCATCAGGCTCTTCAATTACTTTTTCAGTAACGTGTTCTTTACCATCAATAATTTGTACTTGCCTTATGATCTTCATACGTTTGGTTTTTACACCGGTCGTTTGAAGACTATGTGTATGAGTAATTTTCGGCTCTTCCTCTATAATTTCTACATCATCAGGTTCTTCTATTACTTCTTCCGTGACGTGTTCCTTGCCGTCAATTATTTGAATGTGCTTTATAATTCGTTTTTTAGTTCTAGTTATTTTCCGAGTGATTTTTTGAACGACTGTAGCCGTATTAGATGACGACGTTTCTAAAGTTGACTGATGTATTCCGTGAGTAATAAAAGTTGGTTGACCATCGTGAGGTTCTTGCACATAATAATTTTCTTCTGTTGGCATGGTCTCATCCGTTGGAGCACTGGAATATGTTTCTCTAATTGTAACAGTCCGTGTTGGTGAGGATTCTTTTTCTTCAGACAGACGTGTTATTATGTCAGATTTGTTATGTTCACTCTCCTTTTTAATAAAATCTTCCATCAAACGAGTTAGTTCTTGTTCTTGAGCTATTTTTTCAACAGAAATGTCACTTGGTTCTTTGCCGCCTTTATCATGTTCTTCTTTATCACGTTTATCGTCTGGTTTTTTGTTTACTGGGGATTTACCTTGAGAATCTGATTGCTGTACATCAAAAGGATTGGGTGGTTGTTCATCGCCCTTGTCATCTGCATCGTCTATTTCGGTAAATTGAACTTCTTCACCATCTCTTACATTTATTGTTACTCTTGGTATTTGTTCTTCAATTACTTCTACATTGTCCGGTTCCTCTATCACTTCTTCAGTGACGTGTTCTTTACCATCAACGATAACAACTTTACGGATTATACGTCTCCTAGTTTGAATAGTGCGTTTAGTTACTTGTTGTACAACAGCGGTGACGCTGGACGATGACGTTTGAATTTGGGTGGGAATTTCACCTTCGGCTAACTGAAGAATATGTTCAGGTTTCATTCCTTCTTCCATTGTTATCAGCATATCAGGTTTTGAAGTGTATTCTTGTATTGTAACCTCTCCGCCAGGCAATCTTGATATTACTTGACCGCCATAAGTCTGATATTGGATGCGTTGCACTCCACCGTCTTCCAAAACCTTCGAAGTTGATCCTGTGTCTTCCTTTAGAGTAATTTGTGAAAATGAGTCCTGAACACCATCCCTGGAAAGGATTTGAGATCTCTGTTCTTGTGTTTGGTACGTTTGTTGCCTAGTTACTAAAGTTTTTCTGATTTTCTTCACAATTATTCTCTTGGTTCCGTCTGCGTCTACAACTACTTCGGTTGTTGTTTCATCAGGTTCAACCATTACTGTTTCAAATGATTGCGGTAAGCTGTGTGTGATATTCAAATGAGAATCTTTTCTAGCTTGATCTCCCTTATAGTCTGCGTCTACTAGGAGTGTTTGGTCTACATGTTGTTCTTTATGTACTGGACGACTGGCGATCTCAATCGTCTCGTGCCCATCAGAAATAGTCTGTTTAACTTGTATTGTTTCGTAAAGTTCCTTTTCGGCTGAATGTGGTTCACTCGTTTGGACTTCGACTTCTCGAGGTAAAGCGCAAGTTACTGATACATCGTGCGTTGTTACCTCTGGGTTGCAAATGACAGATTTATCAACTACAGATGGAGCATTAGACATTAAGCTGGCTCCTGTTTGTGTTTCTATAGTAAAAGTGGGCTTCTCCTGGATTACTTGAATTACTTGATTATCTTTTGATTTAGATGTTTCATGACTAGGTTTACTTTCTTGTATTGTAGGCACTTTTTCAGTTTCTTCTTTAGTAATTTTATCAACGCTTTCGTGTTTAAGTTCTGGTTCTAATTTGTCTTTTATAGCAGGTTCCTTTTCAAGATCCACTTTTGGTCCAGCAAGGCCAGCTTCTCTTGGAGAAGCGACCTCTTCAGGCATCGAAGTAGAATCGATGGTTCTATCGGTCTGGGAAATATCTTCTTCAGCTATTTCTGGAGCCGATCTCAAATGTAACAACACTAGCCTTAACCTCTCTATTTCTATAATGACTAGACGCTTTGTTTCTTCCAACGCTGCTTGCATAGTGTTTATTTTTGACCTCAACGATTGACTAGATTCATCGTGCCTTATCACAGTTATCGACCTCAAAATGATTTCATACTCCTCGTATTCCCTGATGTAGCGTTCGTACACCTCGATATACCTGATCACGTCATCTTCTGTAAGGACGTCGGATTGCTGTGTGGATTCTCTGAGACCATTGTTAATAGCCTCAAGCCATTGGTCAAGTTTGAAGATTACTTTTTGTTGTTCTTCAATATCTTTAGTTTGACGCGACAGCTCTGCCTTCGCGTCCTGAAAATAACATTAAATTTTACGTAACGGTATGATCACCACAAGTGCTGCTGTAAAATTAACTATAATTTACATAATCATGTTCTGACTGTAAATACAATATTTTTTTTGTGTGTGTGTGTGTGTGTGTTTTTTTTTTTTATTGCTTATGTGAGTGGACGAGTTCACAGCCCACCTGGTGTTAAGTGGTTACTGGAGCCCATAGACATCTACAACGTAAATGCGCCACCCACCTTGAGATATAAATTCTAAGGTCTCAATTATAGTTACAACGGCTGCCCCACCCTTCAAACCGAAACGCATTACTGCTTCACGGCAGAAATAGGCAGGGTGGTGGTACCTACCCGTGCGGACTCACAAGAGGTCCTACCACCAGTAAAAGTATAGATTCTTTTTTCTAGATTTTTCATTCTTACACACTGGTGTATAGATATAAATTCTAGAACAAAGAATGCTGAGCGTCACAACTTGTACATATATCATTATAATAGGCACATATCACGGCGATAGAACTTAATATTTACTCCACTAACAACCTTATTGTACTGATAACAGGCTACAAATTAGAATTAGAGTGAATAGTCTAATATTTTTGTAATATATATGATATAGATGTCTGAGTTGATTTTCATATAGCAACGCCAAACATAAGTATCGTTTACAAGTGATTTACAATACGCCCCAATGTCAGTCAACCCAGAATCCAGTTAATCACAATAATGTATATAATTACAATAACAGATAAATAAAAATATGTTTCTGTTCGTATTCTCCTATGATCAGGCATTATTCATTGCTGCAAACGGGCACCTGATGTTAAGAGGTCACCGATATCAATCCTTTAATACACGAGGACGTTCTATCAACTCAACAAACGCAATTTTTTTGCTTATTTGGGTGGACGAGCTCACGGCCCACCTGATGTTTAAGTGATTACCGGATCCCATAGACATCTACAACCCACCGCCACCCATCTTGAGATGGGAAGGAATAACATCGTGTAATAAAAATCAAACCCGCAAAATTATAATTTGCGTAATTACTGGTAGGACCTCTTGTGAGTCCGCACGGGTAGGCACCATCACTCTGCCTATTTCTGCCGTTAAGCAGTAATGCGTTTCAGTTGGAAGGGCGGGGCAGCCGTTGTATACTGAGACCTTAGAACTTATATCTCAAGGTGGGTGGCGCAATTACGTCGTATATGTATATAGGCTCCTGTAACCACTTAACACCAGGTGGACTGTGAGCTCGTCCAGCCATTTTTCAAAGCACAACGCCTGCCCCACCCTTCAAACCGAAACGCATTACTGCTTCACAGCTGAAATAGACACAGCGTGCGGACTCACAAGACGTCCTCAACTTTCAAGATTATTTTATAGAATAACTGACCTTCCTTACCTGGATGACGCCGAGACCTTGCCGCGCTTGGGTCAGAAGCTTTGAGATCCTGCCCTTCATAGCGATGAGTTCCTTGATCAGGGTCTGGACCTCCACTTCCTGGCGGTACTCCATGATCTTCTGCTCCAACAGCTCGGCTGCTTCGTCGCACTTGATTAAAATTGAGATTCCCTCCTAAAAAACGATGAATTAATTTTATAAGTGGAATGTAATTGAATATGCAATTTCGAAAAGGGCACATGTCGCATTTTTTATTTTTTTATTGCTTAGAGGGTAGACGAGCTCACAGCCCACCTGGTGTTAAGTGGTTACTGAAGCCCATTGACATCTACAACGTAAATGATACTGATACTGACAAATAAAAGATACTATCTGGTGGTAGGACCTCTTGTGAGTCCGCACGGGTAGGTACCACCGCCCCGCCTATTTCTGCCGTGAAGCAGTAATGCGTTTCGGTTTGAAGGGTGGGGCAGCCGTTGTAACTATACTTGAGACCTTAGAACTTATATCTCAAGGTGGGTGGCGCATTTACGTTGTAGATGTCTATTGGCTCCAGTAACTACTTAACACCAGGTGGGCTGTGAGCTCGTCCACACATCTAAGCAAAAAAAAAGAATTTTAAATAAATGTGAAACCGATGCCGAAATATGCAGAATAGGATACGACCGTTACAATAAGCGAAAACGAGGATGTTTGTACGTAATATAAGTGTGTTATTTTACAACTATATCTCTTAAGGATGACTACATCCAATTAATACCTATGTTCAAAGCTGAAGGTGACGATAATGTGACTAAAATAAACAGTACGACATTGTTTCTCGGAAAGGGAACTATTTTTAAACATGATTGCATCTTATGTTAATGTTTTCGCTATGTTCAATGTGATAAGATCTCGCCGTTTTTGCTGCATAAAGACGTCCAAATAATTAACTTTAAGAAGTACGATTTTTTTAAACTATCCTACCGAAAACTTCGACATAAAATGAAGTAAAGTGGCCTACATTTTCCCGAAGGAATTTGACTTTTGCCTACACAATTTAAGCTGTAACTCCGTACAGAAATTACAGTACAGAATGATCAGTACGTTTTAAACTTACAGCCGTGACGAAAATACGAAATGTAGCACACGAATACACGTTCAATAATTTTCATTATGACGCCGTTTAATCGACAAATGGATTTTCACCTCTTCCCTGCCTTATGTAGAGTTGAAAATCGTTTATCACATTAAAATCACAGTGTCTTAATAAAGTAAAAGTAATACTCGTTCCAAACAAAAAAATTATCGGCGAAGGCTTATTTTTTGATTTTTAATGTGAATCTAAAAGTCTATTTAAAAATCTGGTTTAAATAGTATTCGTATCTCTAATTATATATAAATGAATTGCTGTTCGTTAGTCTCGCTAAAACTCGAGAACTGCTGGACCGATTTGCCTAATTTTGGTCTTGAATTATTTGTGGAAGTCCAGAGAAGGTTTAAATGGTAGATAAATATGAAAATGCTCGGAATTAAATAAAAATAACAATTTTGTTTTTCTTTTGATGTGTCCCCCGTCATCGGAAGGATTCTTTTTGTTTGTTTTAAGTTTTTTTTTTCGATTGAGGCACTACGAAGTCTGCCGGGTCAGCTAGTTAATTATAAAAATGACTTATGAATTGCGAGTACGTCGCAATTAGTTACAACAACCCAATAAGTTTTCTTTATTATGAAAGCACGAATCGAATTTCGATTCGCTTCGCATTATTCAGGTTCTCTTAAACATACGGTATTTTGTGGCTTTATATTGCTTTATTAACAATCATCACCCAGAGGTAGGGAATTAAAAATGCTACGAAATTACATTGAGATTATCTTTAGAAGAATCATAACAAGATCTAAAAAAAACGTAAATATACAATGTTACGTGTTGTGTTGTTTTAATCTGTATCCAGGAGTTTTCAGATTTATTTATTTATTTATTTATTTATTTATTACACTTCATGTAAAATTTACATTGACGGACTTAATGCCTAAGGCATTCTCTACCAGTCAACCAAAGGTAGTGCAGAGTAAATAGTGGTAGGTGCAATGAAATTTATATTAGGTTACGAATACATACAAAAAAGTATATCTACATATATACAAAATCACATATACATATACATATACATATTATACATATACATACATATTATACATATACATACATATATACATATATACACACATACATACATATAATAGTTTATACAGTATTAAATTATTTAGCCACAATAGCCATTAAAATTTCAATATTATTTACTACCAAAATTTAATTACTATGGAATTCTTAACAGACCGGCCTATATTCTGAGTTCTTGTCACTACTTTCTCAAATGTCTCGGTTCTAAAACCACAAGTAAAGTTTTGAAAACACTGAATAATGCGTCTGAACAGGATACTCGACTGAATAATTTTGACACAGACTAATTTTTTTTTACATTAGCAACGCACGAAGATTTTCAATAAAGAGTCCTCTTTATCTTTACAGCGGAACTTTGACGCCAAAACGAATTTCTATTTCGCATGTAAATCCTACACAGAATTCAACAATAATTGAATTAGTATGGTTACTAAAATTTCTAGTTTAAAACCCAACACTGAAGTATCTCGAAAGGCAGTTAGTAAAAGAATGAAAAAAGACGAAGACCGAACTCAGTGGCTGGGAGAGATCTACGAGCATTTCCAGCAGTGGACGAGGTTTTTTTTTCTACCTATCCTAGTAACCTCGAGGGGTTATTCTATAACACTGGCCCTAGCAAGAGCAGTGTTTCGCAGAATCTACCACCGGATCGGAAATGCGACCCACTGAGAAGATCCGGCGAGAAACTCAGTGGGCTGTGTCCATGGGTTAATTTACTCGTCGAGCCCTTCGTCACAAGCGACGGATTCGGCGAGGACGGTGACCAGTGCTTGAGGGACCTAAAAATTATGCTAATGGATCGGGAATGGCCGATTGTAGGCTAATGACGGTCAAATGACTCTTGCATTTTGATCGAGGGAAAGGTAAGGCGAAGGGTGTTGTTAATAGTAAAATCTTGAGTTCTTAATTATGTCTCAAAGTATGCATTGCGGTTTGGATAGTGGGACTACCGTTGAACAATAACTGTGAGAGTATCCCATCCCGTGTTATATCACATAGTACATTAAATCCTAAGCTTGGGTTATCCTGTGTCACTTGTCTAAGGTTATTATTATTGTTTTTTGATTATTAAGGTGTGATATCTGTCGGCTTCGGTAACCGCCCGAGCTGGTTATGGATCATGATGAGCTGTTCTTTTCTAGATGAACGGTAAAGACATTCAGTTTTAGGACGCCTAATAATGATAAAAAATAACAACAAAACTGCCCTTTTCTGCCTTCACAGGTTCTCGTCATGAGGAATGCTGATAGTAGATAAAAACAATATTAACAAATTTTAAGCAGTGAAGATATTAAAAGAATTTAATCTACAAAATAAGAAAATCGTTAATGAAGCTACCCATGCCGGGAGTGATTGATAGCGAAATTACTCCAAATTTTTTTTATCTAATATTCAAATTAAACAAAATATTATACCTTAAATCCGATAACACTTCACTAACACGGACGCACGAAATAAAATGACATTCCGAAAAATTATTTCCAATTTACATATTATTATGTTTAGACAGTCTTATTTCGTATTGTGTCGAGTGCCTACAGCTGTAGTTCAGCGTTTACTACTGCCCTAGTGAACGAAGCCAACCTCTCGCACTTTATTATTAACTCCATTTCGCAACGCGAGGTGACATCACCGATGAGAACTTGTATGGACAATTCACTGCCAAGGTCAACGGACCTGCACTCATAGACTATTTCCACGAGTGCCGATGATCGAACATTATGACGTCATAACTTTTTTTTCCCCTAATCGAATAGCGCTGGTAGCCTAAGAGGTTATTCCAGCTATGTGCTTAGTGCGAGTGCTTTAACGTTCTCGATAGCGTAAAAGTTAACTCAAATTAGTATGAGATTGGAACGTTTACCTACGTTTGCCGCTAGGGGCGCTGTTCCAACTGCAGAGTTAACTTTTACGCTATCGAGAACGTTAAAAAACTCGCACTAGGCATACTGACGGGTAGGTGAGCTCACGGGATCAAACTAAGAGAATTTGTTAACACTAGACCCAGCAAGAACTTCGCAGAATCTACCACCGGATCGGAAACGTGACTCACTGGGAAGATCCGTCGAGAAACTCAGTGGGCTGTGTCTATGGGTTAGTTTGCTCGTCGAACTGTTCGTCGTAATCGACGAGTTAGGCGAGGTGCTCCTAGCTCCCTCGTAGGAGGTTCGGACCCGGCCCGAGAAAATAGAAAAAAAAAGGTGCTCCTAACTGTTTAGCCGATGCTGAGAAACTAAGAGTTCCTATTACACTACCGTTATTGTATTACGGAATGCATTGATTAAATTGCAGCTTAATATACCGGACAAAGAAAGCAACCCACACGCACCAATAATACTTTGTTGCCCAGTTAATCAATAACTTTAGTTTTATTCAATCTTTAAAGGGCTCACCTTGAGACCTTCCTCCGTGGCTTCTAGGCTTTCATCAGGCAAATCAGTCAGTCTTGTTTGAACATCCCTTATCTCGACTAGCAGTGTTTCAATATCGTTAGACAAGTCATCCTGGGAACACACGCCACTATTAAACACACACACTTTTGACATTATCGAGGTGCAACCAAAAAGTATCGAACGAATATCGATAATTCAATCATTCAAATTTAAAGTTACGTATTGAATCTATTTGCGGATGAATAAATCAGTGTTAAATACGCGGCTGGAGCGGTCTTGGAACCTGTCCAAAATGTACGAGTAAATAATGGATTTAATGCAAGGTTCGCCGGTTTACATTCAGATTTCGCTTCGAACTAAACACTTTTTGGTTCCACGTCGTTCAAACGGAAAATTCGAAAACAGAAGTCCATTCGGTCATTCATAATGCATGGACTATATTAGGGACACGATCACAACATACATTAGTTAATAAAATTCATAACAATAAGTTCACGTATTTTGGCATGACATGCGGGAATAGTATCGAAAATTTTATGCAAAAACATCACGTTATGTTTACATTTTTACTAAGTTTGTTTATTATGTTTACATTGTTACTTTGTTTGTTTACGAGGTGAAAGGTTCAAATTGTAATCCGTACCGTATCTATAACTGTAAGTACCGATTAAAGCCGAACAGCTTCTTCCATCATAACATTTATTGGTTTATAATAACATTTAAGGGACACTGAATAACAAAGAAAGTTGTTAATGCGATTTAAAATTTTTATAAAAACATAATTCAATTGATTTCGTTTATTTTGTATTATGAAATGAAGTATTTATTTTTTAATATGCTAATAGAATAGATGTTTCAGAATTAAGCGCATATAAATAAATAATATCTATTACTTTCAGGTTTGTTTATTCATTAATATGTTTTCTATTTTAATGGCGCGTCCCCTAAATGTTATTACCGTTAGTTGTAGTATTCAGCGTGTTTGAAGCTTGTGAAGCAAAATAAATATTTTCTCGGTACGGAACGCCATCAAATAATATAAATTAAAATTCTAAATTAAATCACTTATTGGAATTGCTGTAATAGATAGAAAAAAAATTAAAAACATCTGGGTATGCAACAAACTCGGGGTCTAATCTAAAGGGCCCAATAAAAAGAAACATTCAAAAAACTGACCTCTTTGTGAAATCTAAGATATTTAATATGCGTCTCCAGTACATTTTTTTCAATTATTAATAGGTAAGTTGCTGTGGACCAGTCTCATATTATTTTAACAAAATATTTCTTGATGAATCTAGAATTCTTTTGAAAAATCTTTTGAAAAAGAAAAGCGTAAAACTATGACGTTCGTCTCGTAGTAACCAAATCTTGTCATACAGACAGTAGTAGGGTATTGAAATGAACAATATATAAAGATATACATAAATAAAACAATATACGTACACACATTTAATTTATTAGAAAAAATCAACTAAGTTAACAAAGAGTAGAAAAATGGTTTTCAAAAGAAATGACTAGGTTGACTAGATTTGTAACAATACAAATTGTAATAACGATATTGATAATACGGTTTTATACTAAGTTATTAACATCGTATGCCAACAGTTGGCACTACAAGACGAGCGGTTTTGGTGTAGCTGTACAACTCACGATACATAATGTAATTTGTGAAATTAAAAATTCAGTTATAATATCATGCCAAACACAAATTATAAAGTGTAAAATTTTACAATACGTTTGGAGATCAGTCACCTTGGGTGTCCTTCGGGTTGTCTCGTTGATGGCTGGCTCCTGTAGGGGTGGGGTTTGGACAACTGGTTCTGTAGGTAGGGTTGTTAGTATATCCTCAGTAGCGGAAGCTTGAAGAGCCTCCGCGTTTGAATCAAGCGATACAGAAGGAGTTTCGGCGCTCAAGTAAGAGCTATGATCTTTCCAACTACATATACCGCCGGGTAAGTCCATGGACAGATACGTGGAATTGAAAGGAGAACCAGAGGGTTCTTTAGGTTCTTCCCCTTCAGAAGTGTGTCCAGAACTACCACCAGGGTCCCTATCCTTGTCATTTTGATCTTTGACTTCAAAATCATCTCCAACGGCTGATGTTGGTTTAGATTTTTTGGCCATTGAAAGGAAATATTGGCATTCGGCGTCATGGTATAAATGTTTTTCAACCCAGAATTTGTTATCGTTACGAATGTTTTCAATGTCGACTTTTACGTCGGGTTTTAAATTAAGATCAATAGGTTTCTCTTTAGGTTGGTTTTGTTTTACGATAGGAGGAGTACTTTCTTTTTTAAGTTTTTGTTGAACTAATAACAATTCGGCATCATCAGTTGCGTATTTGTTTATCCAGAAATTATCGGGTTTAAGGTTTATATGGTAGTTAGTGATAGGGTCTACAACATTAATAGGAACAGCGTCAGATAATGTATCGGACAGTTCAGGTTCAATAGTCTCTTCACGTTCTACATTCTCTATAACACCGGAAGTTTCGATTTTATTAGATTTTTTATCGTCTGTTTTAACTTCGTATGTGTCTTCCCGTTTCACATTCTCTACAATACCAGAAGTTTCGATTTTATCAGATTCTTTATCGCCTGTTTTAACTTCGTCTTTTTCAGTTGTTTGTAAATTAGCAGCTATGCCGATCATCTGTTCATCAGAATCGATTTTCTCATTTTTCCCAACTGAAAAATTGGCTTCATCTCTAGGTGAAATAATATCTTGAGTCGTTGATGTTGTATATTCGAGAGATTGTGTTTCAGTGAACGAAAACGGCTCAGATTCGTCCAACACAGAATCGACCATGCTTATACTGACGTGTGCGTCATCGATTTTGGTGACGTCAGCTTGTTGCGTTTCAGCTGGTGGCTTTGATTCTAGTAGCAAATCTTCAGGTTCAGGTGTCGCAAGAGATGGAGTAATGTTGTCTGGAATGAGTTCATCATATTGGAATTCCATAGAAGACTGGGTGTCGGTAAGTTCCTTAGGTGAGTCGTCGCTGATGAGAGAAGAATCATTTTCGGGTAAGAGCATCTCTTCGATTTCTCTCTGCAAATCAGCCATTTTATTCTCTAGCGATTGTTCCTCCGACATTTTTTCTTCTTGAGCTTTTTTACTTTGTTGCACTTCGTCAGTTCTTATTTCTTCAGTTATGAATTTGAGTGAGGGTGTGGATTCTACAATTGTATCTGTTACTTGTTGTTCGGAAGGCAAATTACTGAAGACGGTAGATACATACTCACTTTCAGCTTGACTAGCTCCCTGCTCAATTTCCACGGAAATCATTTCAGACATACTATCCAGTAAACTGAGGTCTGGTTCAATTTTCCAGAATTGCGCATCGGAGAATACTCTTTCTTTAACAGGTGTTTGTACGGAATCCGGTGTTGAAATACACGACTCGAGTCGTTTTGGTTTTAGTTTACTTTCGTCTTTTACAACGGGCGTTATTTCTTTGTCATCATGTATTGTAATTTCAGATATAGGTTGAATTTTCGGATCATATTGAATTTGCTGCTCTACTGTAATTATTTTGCATTCTTCGACTGATAATGGCTTTTGCTCTGGATGTGGTGTACTATTAGATTCGAGTTCAAAACTATCTTCCAAAATCGGTTCTCTTTCAGCCCATGGTGCAACTTTAGATATTGATTCCAATTCTATTTTTGGAAGCTTCTGTGGTACATCAGATTCGAGTTTCCTTTTTTCCTTTGACCCTCCTTGATTCTCTATTGTTGGCTGCTCTAGGCCTTGCTCAGAAGATTCTAACTTAGTTGGGCCTGAAATTGATTCAGATGTGCTATTTGTCGTCTCTATTTCTTGTTCAGAAGATATTGTTACTTCAGAAGTTGTTGCAATGGCCTTAGGCTGTTCAGCCTTTTTATCCTTTTTCTTCTTTTTATTCTTCTTTTTCGTCTCAGGCTCTTCGATAGGTTCAGCCAATGTTGAAGACACCTCAGATCTTACCATTGTTTCTTCTACTTTTACTTCCTCTATTTCAGGTTCTTGCTTAGTTAGTTCAACGCTGCTTACGATTTCGTCCTTAGATTTCGACGAGCGTTTGTGTTTATTTTTCTTTTTGTGTTGCTTAGAATCTTCTTCAGCAACTGGAGTAGGTTCTGCAATAGATTGAGGTTTCACTTCTTTTTCTTTCGATTTGGAAGCGCGACTTTTTCTTTGTTTCTTTGAGACTTGTTTTTCGTCTTCAGATTCAGGAACAACAATTGGTTCCACCTCTTCAACTTTTAATGTAGTCGTCAGTGCTTCAAATCTATTTTCAGATTTTTCACGAGCTTCACGGTTCTGAGAAATATTGGATGATGATCTCAAGCGATTGTCTCTGGACCTTGACCTTGATCTTCTGCTTCTTTCGACCGTTATAAAGCCTTCAGCGTCAACTTCTTTGTCTATTTTTTTATTATCAGAATCCGATTCGTCAACAAATATGACTGGAGCTTTCGACGAAACTGGGGTTTGTTCTGATTGTTGAAATTCTATTTTTATTGTCTTTTCTGGAGATACTCGTTTAGAAGCTACAATTTTAGCCCAAGTACCCACACTATTTTCAGTATCCTGTGCAGTTTCCACCGCTGGTTCTGTTATTCGAATTGTGTCTGGTACAGGTACTACATCGATTCCTTTGTTGGTTTCCAGTGCATCTTTAACTACTTCGTGTGGTTTATGGATTTCTTTCTTTGTCGTCTCTTTATCCAGTTCATTGTTAGCAATATGTTCAGCAACAACTTTGGCATATGACTTCCCTTCTTCTGCTGCTTTAGCCCAGACGTTTATTGGTTCAAAAGAAATTTCTTTGGTATCGGAAATGAGTGAAATTGGTTCAGGTCGAATGCTTTGAGATACGTGTTTTTTCTCATCCTTCTTTTTCTTTTTCTTGTTACGTTTATGCTTGGTCTCAAGGTTCTCTTCTTTTTCATGCTCCGATTGATCATGTGGCTCTTTTTGTTCCGAGATATCTACAACATCTGGTTGCGATTGCGACGTCGTCTGTTTTTCGGCTTTTGATTGCAAAATCGATGAGTAAGAAAATTGCGAGATTGTAGGTGTTGATGTAGTTTCCATTATAACCTCTAAAATATCTTCATTCGGCTCGTTCGTTTCATTTGGTTTTTTACTGTCCTCTGATACACTAGACACGAAATCAGTAACATCACTGTCAGACTCATTTACAGGATTTTGATACAAATAGGAAGGAGTAAATTCAGGGGCATCCGCCGAAAGTTTTGAGTGTAAAACAGATTTTGGGAAGGAAGGTCTAAATTCAGGAATTGAATCAATTTCAGGTAAGAGATCATGCAGGCTGTGTATCGGGGATTTCTCTACATGGCTCGGACTATCGAATTGAGTTAAATCGGTTTGGTTCGCAACTTCATTTGATTTCAAATTTTGCTCAATAATAGGTAATTCAGTTACGGGGATATTTTGTACTACGCTTTTTTCCGTACTTGTGACGTCATTTTTAACAACCGTACTTTCATGTAAAACACTGGTATTTGATTCAGGACATAAGACAACGGGTGAATCAGAAATTTCAGTTTGACTAGAATCTGCCGAGATAGTGCCAGGCTCAAGCGGGTAAGAGATGCCGGATCCCGTGGACACAAGTGGATTGTTGTTCGATTCCTTATCATATAACTCTGAAGTTTTAGTTTCGAATAACAATAATTGTTCTTCTTCATTTAAAATCTCAGCTATTTTCGTTACATCAGTGTCTGTTTGAGTCACGATTTCTTTTACAGTAGTTTTTTCAGGTGAAGCAAGTATTTCCGTCAATGTAACTTCTTGTTCCTTATTTAGATTTACAGATGTTAATATTTCGGCTTGAATCAATGATTCAGTTTCATCTTTTATTGTTTTTTCGGGTTTACTCCATTCTTTACTTTCAATCAATGAATAATTTTGATCTTCATCTACAATTTCAGGTGCTACGACTACAGTGTCTAGCAGCTCTTCTTGGTTTATTTCAGATTCCGAGCATTGAACGTTTGTTGTCTGTTTTTCAAAATCGTTTATTTCTAACGATTTTTTGATTGATTCTTCTAGAGTTTTAATATCACCGAAAACTAAAGACACAAGAGACTCATTTTTAGTGTCAGTTATTGGGAATTCTTTGGAAGTTTTAGTTCTGTCAGAACTTATTTCTATAATTGTATTATTTGTATTTACGATTTCAAAATGTTGCACGTTTTCTTTATCCGTAACAACTACCGTTGGTGGAATAGTTACAACACTGTCTTCTTCCACGATATTTTCTTCCGACTCGTCTTTTATAATTTCAGAAGTTTTGGTAATGTCAGAAATACTTTTTTCTACAGTATTATTTGTTTCTACTCTCACAAAATCTTGTGTATTGTCATTATTTATTAGAGAAGCATCTTTAGTTGGTATAGTAGTAGCCAGATCTTTCTGAACTTCTTCGTCAGTGATGTTTACGATTTCAAAAGTATCATCTAACGATGGTTCACCAGATGTTTGAGCAAGTTCAATTGCTGTGGTGGTTTGTGGAATGGGTGTGCTTTCAACATTCAGTACATTGACGTTACGTACGTCTTCATCCTTTGATTCATCAAGTGGGTCAACTATTTCGCTGCTATCAACTATTTCAAATGATTTTTCAATATCATCGTCAACTACATTTTTAGACGCATTTACTAGATCATCTTTTTCTACATCTTGCTTATCAATGGCGTAAACAACACTTACTGGTGTATTAGTTAGATCATCTACCTCAAAGGAAAACTCAATCTTTTCCAAGCCAACGGATTTGGGTTTATTTATTGGTTGGCAAGTTTCTGTGTCTTGAGGTAAGCTCTCGAACGTATTGTGTTCGTTCTTTATAAATTCAGCAGTAATCGCTTGAACGCTTCCTTGAGTTTCGGTTTCAGTTTTACTGAGACTTTGAATATGGAGATCTTCGGGTCCTAAAAAGCTGACATCCTCGCTTAAGCTGTTCTGCAGTTCCGTGCATTTTTCAAGATTTTGTTCCTCCATATTGGCATTGTTGTGGTTATCAACCAATACTAAAGAGTTTACCGGTTCACGTAAAGCCCTCGATGCAAAAATATATTCAGCGTCACGTAATTCGTGATAACTAAAACGCAATGGTTCGAATACTGATGAAATATTCTCAGTTTTATCCTCAGTTTTTGCGGTTTCTTCGTCTATCTGTATTTGATTCGTTACATCTATTTGTGATTCTTTTTCTAAAGAATCTGTCGCTTCCGTGACTTTATCGGCTTCTTTGTTATCTGTACCTGACATTTGCATTCCGGTGGAAGTACGCGAAATAGCATACAAGCATTCAGCATCATTTAATTCATGACGAATAAATCTTGTTACATCAAAGATGCATTCTGCCTCTGACTGACGGGTTTCACTACTATCAGTAATTGTAGTATTTTCAATTTCAGGCTGAATTACTTTCTCTGCTATATTTTCCTTCTCGTTATCGATAAACGTTGATACTTCTTGAAGAGTTTCGGTGGTTGATGAATTTTCAACGTGTTTTGTTTCAGAAACGATTTCCTCTAATAACGATTCAGTGAGGTCAGCATCTTGTGGGGATTGTATCTCAGTTTTGAACTCTGGATTAATCGATAATGTATCGCGGCCACGCGAACCTTCCACAAAATTGGCTAAAAGTACCTCAGCATCAGTAATATCTTGATAACTTTGCCTGGGTACTTCAGTTAAAAGGTAAACCTCTTTGGGTGTTTTTGCAGTAGGAATTCCTTCCTTGTTAGATAAGTCTTGGACAATAATTTGATCAGGCCCAGAGTTTACAGTTTTCAGTTTCAAATTAGTAGCTAAAATACTTTCGGCATCGGATAGCTCGTGGTAATCATTAATGAATATATTATTTGTTGTGTCGGTAGTTGGTCCCGAGTTGTTTTGATTTTCATCTTTAGCGATTTCAATGCCCACCTCAGATCCGAACTGTTCTTTAACAATTTGTGCATTATTATCTTCGCCACTGAAATCTATTTCCGTGGCTATTGTTCTTAGTGTTGTTTGTTCAACAGATTCTTTTTCTTCAGTTTCTTTTTTACTTTTTATCATGCTTAACCGTAATTCAGCATCAGCTAATTCCGAATAGCTATATCTGGATATGTCATTCATTAAATTTTTATTTATGTAAGATGCTGGAGTCAAGAGAGATTTACTTTCATCGTCCATTATTGTTTCAGAAACAGTCTCAGTTGTATCAATTTGCTTATTTCCATTATTATTTTCAGAAGTAACTCTTTCATTATGGATAAATTCAGTAGTGTAATCTGTTATTTCATCAATTATCTTGCTAATAGTAGTTACAGTATTAGTCTTACAGAAATCTTCACCTTCTTTGGGTAAGATATTTTCTGATATTGTTTCTGCTTTAGTGATTTCGCTATCTATTTCCTTGGTTTTGTCAGATGTCAAATTAACTTCTGCATCTCTAATGTCTTCATAGTCTACTATAGAACTGATATCTTTGTTTTCAGACTGAACAGTAACGTATTCTTTGCTAGGAATAACCACATGACATGATTCAGTTTCAGTGGTAGTTGCTCGCTTTTGGTTTGTTTCGAATTCAACATATTTTTTCATTTGAGTGTACTCATAGTCCAACTGATGCGTATCAAGTTCAAGAGAATAAGTCTTTAACTCTTCTTTCAATTCTTGATATGGAATATTCGTTTGCTTTTTGTTATTTTTCTCAATTGAATTTTTATTTCGGTCCTGCACGGAACCAAAAATTGCTTCTTCTAAAATATCTGAGAAGGTTCCTTCGGAAACATTTGTAGCTTCCGACGTGTTTGGGTTTAGCTCTTCTATCTTTTCATCAATCCGTGGTTCCTCTATTACCATATTCTGTTTATTATTAATCATAACATCCGATAGATTTTCTGAAACAGTTTCATTGTTTTTTGATATATCACTATTGGAAGACTTTTCATCAGTGATTTTGTGTTCAATTACTTTTTCCTCAGTTTCCTCAATTGACTGTTGCTCTTCTAGAGAATTACTTTTGCTACTAAAGACTTTGACCGTTCGAATAGGCGGTAATTTCTTTTCTTCGTGCGTTATTAAATAGATAGTACGTGTTTCAACATCCTGAACGATTGGTTTATAGCAAGTGATTTCTTCGACAATATTAAACGATTCTTGTCTTTTAGCATCCGAAGAAAAGTATTTATCATTATTGTTTTGCTCATTAGCTACACTTGAAATACCGATTTCATTTATCTGTTTACCTAATATTGTTACAACATCTTCAGTCATATTTTTGTCAACATTTTCTGTAGTTATCTCTACTTTTTCAACAGGCATTAATTCTATATCTTTGTCGGTTATACCTTGGCACTTTGGTGATAAGGTAGAAGTTTCCTCCAAAATCATTACTTCGCTTGCAACTTGTTTTTGATCGTCAACAACTAATTCAGATTGCGATTTTTTTATTGTTTCAACGCGAGAAAATTCGGAAAGATCTTCTTCATCTGCTAGCAACGTATTCCAGTCAACGACTTTTATAGGTGAGCTTTCACTGTTAGCAGTGCTATCTGTTTCTAGTTTGATTTCTTTAATTTCGTCTTTAACATTTGTTACAGATTTTGACTTGCTCTTGCTTTTAGATGCTTTATCTTTAGACTTTTTACTAGATTCACTATTTTCTATCTCCTTCAGAGCTTTATCTATTTCATCATCTTTTGTTTTAGATTTTTTAGATTTAGATTTCTTTTTAGAGACTTTTAAAGACTCCTCGGCGCCCATTTCTGCCTTTACATGTTCTTCTTGCGCCTCTTGAATTTCTTCTTTGAGTTCTTGTACTGCAGTTGTGACATCGGCAGGTTTTTCCTGATTTTCACCGATTTTGACTCTTTCTTTTTTGATCTTTGTTTTCTTATTTGTAGATTCAATTTCTAGATTTTTAATCTCCATTGAAATTAATTTAGTACTTTCGCTTTTATTTTCTACATCCATTTTCGGAAAGCTTTCTTCCAATAACGTGACTTGTTTTTTGTGTTTCTTGTTTTTCTTGCGGCTTCCTGATGTCTCGGTATTAAGTTTATCGACCTTTGGAAGTTCCTCAATAGTTGAGTCGCTCGTTATTCTTGGGTCAACTAAATTTTCCCAAGTTAGATCTTTCTCAGATCCTTGGACTTCGACATCTTTGATATCAACATCAACAGATTCAGCGTTTTGTTGCAAAGAATCTGTGCTTACGCTTGATTGTATATCTTTGGAATCTCCTGCTATATCTTTGTCAGTTAGGTTTTCACCTAAGCTGCTGTCACGTGTCAGAATGTCGTTTTTAACCAAAGTAATTTTCGTTTCAAGCGTTTTATCGGGTTCTCTTTCCGGTATGCACACAGTCTTTAAAAACTCAGAAGATGTCTGTGTGGTGTTTGTATCTTCAATTTTAAGTTTAGATTTTTTGTGCTTTTTCGAGGATTTTTTGACTGGTTCTTTGAGTTCAATATTATCTTTTTCTTCCCTTTCTTGTTCCTGGATACAAACATTATCACTTCTAATAATTTCAAATAGTTCTTTTTCAATAACTTCGGATGTTTTTTCGGGCTCATTGACAACAGCATAAATAATTTCTTCTTTAACATGATCCCGCTTATCTTTATTTGTTTTATGCTTTGTATCACTCGGATTATCTTTATTATTCTTTTTTTTCGGTTGTTTTTTCCCTGTTTCTACTTCAGAAAATATTACTTCTTCTTTATCGATATCAGTTGTTGTTTTTACTGACGTAACATCAGTAGTTAAGTTATTACTGTCTGTTTCCTTTGGTTTTTTCTTTTTTCTGTTGCTTTCCTCTAGTTCTTTAAGAGCTTTCTGTATTTCATCCGCTACATGTTTCGTTTTCTTAGATTTCTGTTTCTTTTTAGATTTTTTTAGTTGAGATTCTTCCGGAACTTCTAGTGTTTCAGAATCATCAGTTTTAAGTCCCGCTTCTAAAGTTTCAACTGGCTCGGAATCAGAGCCTTGTTTCGGATTTAATTCTTCAATTTTGCTATCAAAATCTTTTTGTATAATTTCCGATTTAATTGCCTCATTCCCTTGAACCAAGTCATCGGTAGGAGGTTCCACTACATCGTCGAATTCTTGGACTTCGATAACTTTTTTAATGGTCTTTTTCTTTTTCATTGCTTGAATGTCATGCACCTTAGTAGGCCGTTTTTCAGGTGCACGCCTTTGCCGAGGCATATCTCTAGAACGACTTCGTGATGCCGGTCTCTCTGTACTACTAAGTCTATCTGTTCTTTGACGCGTGTCGATGCGCTCAGTTTTTTGTTCAGCTGGCACATTAAACTTAGGTTTTTCATGACATTCAACCACTATTTCTTTTATTAACTCAATCTGAGCTACTTGTGGTTTCGGCATATTAACGACACTTTGTGTCTTAATTTGTCTGGGTAGTCCTAAAGCCAAAATTTCCGCATATGATAATTCAGTACGATGCTTTGGAGAACTTAGTTCAATATTTTCGTATCTGATTTGAGAATCTTCGTGCTTAGTCTCAATAGACTGGTCTTCCTGTACTTCAGGAATTGAATCTCTCTGAATGGGAACTGGTGTATCGACCACAGTTTCTGGATAATACTCTCGATCACTATGTATTTCACGATCTTCATATTTTTCAACGTGATATCCGATAGCACTTTCTAGAGATTCACTCGCACTATAAACTGCACTTTTTATTGGGTCGCCACTTTCGGACTCATTGCGCACACACGAGTGGTCCACTATAACTTCAACTTCGGGATCATTGTAATCTGGTGGGGAAGGCGGGCATCTCTGTACGTCCACATGTTCGACATGATCATATCGTATTCTTTGAGTACTGGGCTGCCTTGAACCCGTCGAACTAGATCTCGAGCTGGAGCCACGCACGATCTCGGCGTAGCTAAGTCCACCAGGGGCCCAGGCGGGGCTGCGGGGTCGTAAGGGACGCGGGGGCGGGGCCAGTGTGCGGTCTCGACGGTCAGGAGAGCGGGCACGACGCGCGCGGGCGCTCTGCCCGCTAGACGCCAGCATGCTTAGAGTGGCGGCACGCTCCTCAACTTCTTCGCTGACCGGCATCGTGAAGTACGGGTCCAGGGTGTAGATCGCCCCGCTCAGCTCATCGATACGCCGGCAGATATCCTGATACGCAAGTACGGACAAAAACGATTTACAAGGGTGAACGCTTTCGAGAAATGACATGAAAGAAAACGACGGTGGCTGCGATGTTTGTGTTTATTTTAGCGCATATAACGGATTCACTTATATATAACAAGATACGATAATGTCGACTTAAAGCTAGGGACGAGCCACGGCCTACGCGTCCCGCAGCGGGTCGGCGTCCGGACTGCCACGCTGCACCAGAAGTTTTATTCTTTCATTTCGCGCCTGTATCTTACTTTGCAGCGATTTCACTCGCTCGCGACATTCCTAACGGAGGATATCGGTTTGACGTGTTAGTAGCGGTGAGGGTGAAAGGGAAGGCAAAAGAAAGAAAACGAAAGATGAGTAACTGAACTTCGGTGAAAACACACTCTACCACCGTCCCAGACGGTGCCGTGAGGTGAAGCGAAGCGGTGCCCGCCACCCGAGTCGCCCGACCGAGAGCCTCCCGGGATCGAGATAAATAAAACTAAAATGCTCACTAAGAATGACAGATCGCTAGCCACCTACTCGCGGGGTCAGCGAGGGTGAGGTACGTACCTGTTGCTGTTTGTGCGCCCGATCCGGATCGTGTGGGCTGTAGTTGGGCTGCGCGGCGTGCCGCAGCTGCTGCTCCGCCTGCAACAGCTGGGCACGGAGCGCCGCCACGTCCAGGCAGTACGCCTCGACCTGCGCCAGAGCGGCCGCGAGCTGGCGCGCCTGTCCCGCGACACTGGCACCCGCCGCGTCCAGCGCCTCCGTTAACTGACGAGCGTTGGCCTCCACGCCTTCAGGGCCCACGGACTGCGCCGCAACACCATCGGGACCAAAGTGAACCTACCGACGACAAACTCGTTAATATTTTTCCCAGAGACATGTTGTGCACGTCCTAAAAAAGAAACAAACAAAACAATGTTTTAAAATGCCGCGAGCCCCCGAACTCACGTTAAGTTTTTCGACAGCGTAAGATATTTTTGTCTTCTGAGTGGAAATGTCATTAATGATTTTCTCTCTGAGAGCCAATCTGTCTCGAAGCGGTTTCTTGGCATTTTGAGGCGTCTCCAAAGTCCTGGTTGTCGCTTCTAGCCAATGACCGACATCCTTCAGTTTCCTCTCGCACCGCTCCCACTCTTCTGCTAATTCTTGTAATAAACCGTTCTGTGAAAATAATGAAATCGAATTAGTTGAATTTAATGTTGATTCTGTTCGTCAATTGCGTCGATTGTCGCCGTCGACTGACCGTCTTCGCTAATTTCTTTTCAACATCTACGGTGGCGTTCTCCGCGGTTTCCAGTCTAGACGGTAAGTCTCCTGGACTCGTGACGCGTTCGATTGCCTCTATTTCTTTTGCCATGTCTGCTAAATTTTTCGCTTGTTGCTTACAACTCTTAAGCGCGTTCTGAAAGAATAAGACCATATTAGTAAAAAAAAACTCTATAACTTGGTGCTTGTGTTTTGTGACGTGACTAACCCCATATTCAGTCTGTTTCTGTAGCGTCTCCTGCAAGTCGGCCAATGGGAGAGGCCGCGCAAGGAAAGCACGTTGTGTTTCGACCCAGAGGAGAACTTTCTCCAACAATGCTAGGAATCTAGCTACTGCATCACACGCATCCTCGACAGCTGCTTGCCGAGCCTCGAGCTCGCTGCACACCGACGCGAACTGGTCCGAGAGAGCCGTGACTGTGGATTGGACTAGTTGTCTCTCGCTTGCATCACGGCTTCCTTCCACGATGGCGCGAGCGTTGCGTGTCAAACGCTCGACGCGATCGGCAATGTTTGGCACCTCGGACCTGGTGGCCACCAGGCGTTCTCTGTACGGCTCCGGTGGCAGAGTGCGATCTCGCGCTGTCAGTTCCGCCTTACGGATCCAGGCCTGCACATCCTCGACATCAGCCAAGTATTCCGTGCGAGTAGTTCGGGCCCGTTTCCATTCCCTTTCCTTTTCTTCCATCGCTGCGGCGAGAGCTTCAGACGCTAATTCCAAAGCGGACAATTCTTGGGCAACGTCTGCCGGAGCGGATCCCCCGTAACGTTTTCTGCTCTCTTCCGTGAAGGTTTTGGTACGCTCCACTAGCTCGGAGACTTCTGCCGTCAAAGTCTTCACGTTGTCCTCTTCGTCTTCGCCGAACACGTATAAAGTTCTGACTTTAGCGATGGAGACCTCTATTTGCTGTCGGAGCTCGTCGATCCTCTCAGACACGCGGTCGAATTCAGAAACAATATCCTCTATGTCCGCGAGCCGCGCCGCTAGAGTTTGTCGCAATCTGCAAAAATAACACCGAATCAGTCCAAACGTTCGTTTGTAATAAACACGGTAAAAGCTTGGGGAGTCGGGAGCGCACGAGTGAAACGTGGCTGCCAAAATGCGACGAAAATAATCGCGGGCTTCGCGAGGGAGCGCGTGACGGTGCAAGGTCGCGCCCTACCTCGTCGTTCGTGCTCGTTGCCGGCGGCGCTCCGCTCGCGGCGCCCGCTCGTCGCTCAATGAACCGAACTCGACAGAATCGCCCGACTCGGCTATATTTAACGATTCACGTTCTAATGTTTGCACGGTGACATCATAGCGCGCGAGTTTTTTCGGTGCATTTTGTCGTCGAGTGTTTACGTTTCGCTTACACGCACAATTCCGCGTTTACCTGATGCCGGGCTGACGTGACACCGGCGACCTTCGCCCCGTTTAGGTGTAGCGCGGTCTAATGCGGCTCGCTCAATCGTAAAACCGAGCTATAGCCGAACAAATGCGTTTGTGAAATCGTTCACGTGTCGCCGAGAGCTGGCTGTGAATGATACGCGCTAATGAATTCGTGCTGCAGTCGCGTTTACGCGGATCGATGCTACGACACGAGAAGGGGCCCCGCAAACGGAATTATACCTACGCGACGTGTTATATCTTCGTTTAGCTTCCCTAATACACCGAAATACGACTAGACGAGTGAGTCACGGCGGCGACGATGGCGCAGGAACAACTCGCACAACACATTCCTGGACGTTCCACTAATAAATGGTTATGATGTCGCGCGATCGCGAACCGGCACGCTGCAGTCGCTCCGCGGAGTAAAAGTAAAGGGCTTATCTGTTGGCACTTATTTGGGGACCGGTCGCGGACAACTGTCAGCCACGCGGAACAAAAACCCGTCAGTTTGATATCGGAACAGTTTCACTCGTTCGCTTACTTTCATCTTTCTCAAAAAGTTCGTTAAAAAGAGAATTAATCTGTTTTCTTTTTTGTCGGGAAGTATAAAATGGCGTTTTGTTATAAGTCTATACGTGTGGACTCTTGTGCAGACTGGGGCCCTGACCTAGAAAGCGCTGCGTTCGCGCGCATGCGCACAGCGCTCCGAAATAGTAGTCTGCCGGTTTGAATAACGATTACACGTTTCCCCCGTTCCCTGGCCGCTGTCTGGACAAAACGACACACGAAAACCAACCTTACAGTCGACTAGGAAAGACATACTTTACTCTGCACCTACAATAAAGAGCTTTCTAGTCTTCCCGTCGATCGGGTCTTGAACAACAGACACTGTATTTTTCTAGAAAATGTTCCACGACGTAGCTTATATAGTTAAATCTAAGTTCGTCCTAGTAATATTTTACACGCAAAAAATCGTGAAAATTCATTAGAAATTCCAAAGAAGACTAAAGCACTTCAACTCCAAAATCCTATTCAAAGATTCATAGTTTCACAGCAGGAACGGGCAGAAAGGTGTAAGGCACTAAAGCCGACAGTAAATGACGTCATTTTAATGCTTCCTACAGGAAACCACTGACGCCGCCATCCAACGGTCGAGCAATTGTTAGATGTTTCACATAAATCGCGCGTCATATGTTATATTTATCTCATGTTTACGCAGTACATACCGCTTTCATTGGGTATTGATATCGGCTTAATCACAGGACCATAGACTTAGTACTCTAAATGTTTTATTACTTTTTGCGGATATTAAAAGAATAATATCTGATATATCTATGTTATTAAGTCCACACAGTCGATGTTGAATTGTTAATGTCGAATGTATTAAATACTTATCATCGTTCAGATAAATTTTCTGAATTAGACTCTAGTTATTAGAGTAGGTATCGAATAATAAGGTCGGTTGGTTTTTTTTGCTTAGATGGTTGGACAAGCTCACAGCCCACCTGGTGTTAAGTGGTTACCGGAGCCCAAAGAAATCTACAACGTAAATGCGCCACCCACCTCGAGATATAAGTTCTAAGATCTCAGTATAGTTATTCTAGTTGTGTAATTTGATAGCCTAATACCGGCAAANCTAGTTATTAGAGTAGGTATCGAATAATAAGGTCGGTTGGTTTTTTTTGCTTAGATGGTTGGACAAGCTCACAGCCCACCTGGTGTTAAGTGGTTACCGGAGCCCAAAGAAATCTACAACGTAAATGCGCCACCCACCTCGAGATATAAGTTCTAAGATCTCAGTATAGTTATTCTAGTTGTGTAATTTGATAGCCTAATACCGGCAAATGTGTAGGTCTACCACCGGTCTGATCATCAACAGGGAAAAACCAAGAAACAGCAATGTATATCTTGAATTAAAATTATTTGCCAGGATCATTGTGTTTAGAGCGAATTTTTTAACTTCTATCGTTAGCGTAAAAGTAAACTTAAATTTATATGGACTTTGAACAACTTACGTACGTTTGGCGCTAGGGGCGTTGTTCCAAGTCCATACAAATTTTGAGTTTACTTTAACGCGATCGAGAAGTTAAAAAACTCGCACTGATCACACAGAGATCGCTGTGTGGCGAGTGTGGACGCTGCTTGCTTTACGTCAATAACTTCGCTCAGGCATCAAAGGGTGTATCTATAGCAACGCGACCCCTCGCGTCTAGTCGACGCCGTCGGAAGAATTTTATTTTTAACCGACTTACAAGAACAAGGGTTCGATTTTCTTTCTCTTTAGACAAGTTCACGTGGTACTTTTTAATGCGGCTCCTACGCCTAATTGAGCGTCTGGAGACACGGGAGCCAAGCTTCAAAGTATAACTGACAAACTATAGCAGCCGTAGGCAAGATGTTTGTGACTATCGGACTTGCAATATTTCAACACCGCGGAGCTCATATTAGCATATATTTTTTTATTACTTAGATGGGTGGAAGAGCTCACAGCCCACCTGGTGTTAAGTGGTTACTGAAGCCTATAGACCTCTACAACGAAAATGCACCACCCACCTTGAGATATAAGTTCTAAGGTCTCAGTATAGTTAACACGGCTGCCCCACCCTTCAAACCGAAACGCATTACTGTTTCACGGTAGAAATAGGCAGGGTCCGTCCGTCGTAATCGACGAGGGTGGTGACTGGTGCTTAAGGGGCCTAAAAGCACTGAGAGGATCCGAGGGGTCCAACAAGACATGTTTGGACGACAGCAGCTTTGCGTTGCCCCTTCGCTTGGGTCAGATATGGAAAATTAATGTAATGTCATCGGTCTGTGGTGCGTGGCGGCCATATTATATTATTGAAATCTGATTTTAACAATGTTTTATTTTCCCTTTAAAACAACTACAAGGAAACCGTTAATTTGAATTTAGTTTATCTTGATGAAAAATATTATTTATAATAGCTTTATGAAATCGGATTTTATATACCATAATGTGTGTACTCAAATTACATTCGTTAAGAATGAAATATCAGAAAGTAACTGTGTAAGTAACTTCCAACTTGCATATTGTAGAAAAATTGTGAAAAAAAGTGTTTGTGCATAGATAAGTGAACGAACTGTCATGTCGGCCCAATTAACGTTTTGTGGTTACCGAAGCCCATAGACATCAGAATGTTAATTGCGCCACTGTTCTTGAGACATGAGGTTAAAGTCTCATTTGGATTGCATAACGTCCATCGCCCGTCATACCAGAACGCATTAAGGAAAACCTTCAAAGAGTTTTGGTCGTGACAAATGTACGTGTGAAATGTTTTTATCTATATATTAATACGTGAAGCTTAAACTTTGTACTCCTTTTTACGAAAATTGCGCGAACGGAGGAGTATGAAATTTCCCACACTTATAGAGAATATAGAGAAGATGTGCAAAATGCAATTTTTTTTTTAAATTATGCATGAATAGTACATTAAATAAATAAAAAAATACATTACATACACTGCCATATATTTGACACAACACATACATAAATTACTCTTTGTTTATTGTCAATTGTCAAACTTTTGTTATTGTTTAAAGTCTTTGTCAAATTGAGAATAAATAGATTAATATTGTTTGTCTTTAATATTATTTATCTATAGTGTAGTTTTGGCGAAATCTGTGCTTATATTATAGAAATATAATAGTGTTTCACAATAGATCCATATTAATGTTTAAACTTATAATTTCAATTAATTATAGTCGAATTTCGACTAGTGCGGGACCACTAGTTAGGTATTATTAATTACTTCTTTGGCATTTCGACAATGAATTGTCACGCTTACCGCGGCATACGTAGCTGAGCAATTCACTTATCAGATTTTTATCTATTAAACCGCTGACAATCAACTTAACGAGGGGTGAAAGAAAGCTAAGCGATATTTCACTGAATACGCAACATGATCGGAGGCGCTGGCGGGACATCACAAGGAGTAAAATCATGTCGAATTATAATGGTCACGACCCTCAGCAGTGAGGAAACGACGCGAGGAGGAGGACGCAACATTAAAATTTATCTTTGTAATAATTAAAGATGCGTTTTATTTGGTATTAAAATTAACAGTTCGATGTTTTTAATTGAACACCAATTAAGTTTACTCCATTCAATTAACTGAATAAGTTTTTTTTGTTATGATATTTTTTACAAATTTTACACTTTAAATGACTCCTGTAATGTTGCAAAAATGTCGCATAAGCTAAGTAGTGGTAGTAGCCTTTTAACCCTCGTATGTAACTGAACATGTTTGAGGGATTACTGGAAGCTCGGAGGCCTTTCCAGTTTCACCAGGGTAGGTGGGCGAGCAAAGGCTCAGCCAGGAGGGGTGGGATTTGCTAATAACTACCCGAGCGCCTCCAAAGGAGACCTAACAACTCAAGAGTAACTGTTTCGCGAATGAATCTACTACCGGATCGGAATGGCGATCGATTATCTACTTCATTCGACTTAACACTATTTATCTAGTGCGTAAGAGAATAGAGATCACAAATAAAATTATCCCTTAGTGACTTGAAATGTATTCGAAGCAATACCAACGTAAAAACGTCACGCGACGAACATTCTGGAAACAATCTATTAAAATTTAAAATAACGATCCAACGAAATTATCCTCAAAAATTCAAATTACGTAACCCGCATTCACTTGTTTTACGACTTTTAATCTTAAAACAAAAGTGTTATGGTGTATTATTGGCTGACGTTACGGTAGTCAAGGATGCGAGCGCCCATAGTGACATCAGCGGTCAAGTTAGGTTTTTCAGTCATTTTGTTAAATTTAGTTTTGACATTTTGAATAAATTACCAATGCGTGTATTTTTATTTTCAGGGCAAATGCTGTATGAAAATTTATATCATTTTGTAAATAAAATAGGTATTTTTATGCTAAATTGTAATGTAATTTAAAAGAAAATAGGTTAGAACTCCGGCTGAAAGCGACCCGATTTAATAAACAGTTATAAATATGTATTTCGGAGAAAAAAAACTCCTACATTGACTATTTTTATTTGTGAATTTATCTATAAACTTATCAAACAAATAACTTAATATGTATTACTATAATCCAATGCAGTAAAGTTTATTTTGGTTTGGCAATTAATTTACCTTGGCAAGTTAGAATTTTGTCCAAGCCATTCAACCGTCTTTTCCCCTCAAACTATTTCCTCCAAACCTTCAATAACTTGATTACAATCAAAATGACGAACGCTTAAAGAATTTCGAATAGTAATAGGAAATATTTCATTAAAATTATTTTATGGTGTTTATAAAATATGTGAACTGTGATTAGCTGTTGTTTAAGGCGGGTGATTTTAAGCATTTTCGTTCCGTTATTGACGGCGGGACTGCCGTAATGTAATACAATAGAGATTTCGACTTCCGCCATTTAAAATCAATTGATCGATGAGCTCATTTGACCATCGACACAAATCATATATAAAAAAATGCAAATTTTAAGGTTATAAAAAATTCTTGAGCAGCTGGGTCGCATACACACATGCTCTCTAAGAAATCGCCGTGCAGACTATTACCACGCGAGATGCTTCAGCCTTAAAACTTAAAAAAATAATACGAAAAAATAGCAGTCGTTAGCGGTAAACATCGCTGCGACGAAATTACAGAAACATCAATCAAAACGTCAACAAGATTTTTAAGCAAAATGCTCTTTCAAACTAAAGACGCCATTTTAATTTTTGTTAAGCAAAAATGCACTTTATATTTGATAACATATATTTTGCTTTTCATAAAAACTTTCAATGTGCCCATTTGGCTCTTATTGCTTGATGACACTCAATAATTGATTGAAACGTAATATGTTTTAAACAAGCTGTTGAACGATTATACACCGTATCCCTAAAACACGAATAACGTTATTGCCATGACAGCCGATCGGAAGGAAAATTATTACGAAATCAGTATGCATCTGTATATTCGCCAGCTGAGAACGACGTAAGCCGCCAGCGAATCTGGTACTTCCGGAGTCTTTTGGCTAGAAGACAAAAATACTTGCTCCACATTTCAGTTGGTGGAATTGACACATTAATTACTATAAAAATCGATGTAGGTACAAGTACTCGAAGTTAGTATGAACATTCCAAGTTGCAAATTCTAAGGAAACATGGGTTTGGTGTGTACTAATACTGACAGACGATTTTAAGCGTTAACTCAAAACATTTAAGCTACACATTCAGAACGTCTGTTACCCTGTGACATATGTCGGAAGTTTTGTTTTTTTTCTGTTCTGACGTTGTGTGTGAGTTTCACTATGTTCTGTCGTCTGGTTATTCTGCCAAGAATTAAATACGCCGCTAAAAACATATCCCTCTAAAATTTCTCCGTTGTTTAATTGTGAAATAGAACTTATGAACCGCATTCACGTTACGTAATTAACTGGCTATTTTTTTGTTTTTTGTTTTAGGCACAGATCAAAAATATTTCCCACTGCCGAACTTGCCGCCAAAATGATGACGACATGACGCCATCTGTCAAGTGATGTCATGGCGCTTATTTCATACACTAAACTGGAATGATGTGTTGAATTTTAATTAAGAATCCGTTTGTATATTTTGTTATCAAGTGTCTATTAATATATACTATGATTTGACGGCTAAATTGCAAAGAATACTTTAATTTTATACGCTGTTAGGGACTGCACAGTCCTCAGATTTATTGCAATTAGTCATTTTGTAGTTATGAAGCCGTACTTTCCCGAAAACGGTGGGCCGGTAATAAAACTGAACTGAACTATCACTAGATTATAGTTTATACGTCAGACAGTTTGGAACATAAACAAGTCGCGAAGACTAGTTTGACGCAGTATCGTCTGGCAAAATACCATAAGCGCGGCCGGTGTCTTAATAATATAAACAAAACAAACTCGCCGGGAAACAGTAGAAGCCAATTCGACAAGCCGAGACGTGGCTTCTAGAAAAAAGGTGGTAATTCGAATCTGTTGCCTTTTTCATGGATATTTCAAGTTCTTCGGCCTGTCGCCCAGCAAAGTATTGGCTTCTTCTTTTTTTTTTTTTTTACCCTTGTAGGCAGACGAGCATAAATTTAAATTTAATTAAATTTAATTTAATTCAAAATAATTTTGAAACGACTAGTCTAATTGAAACCTTGGTTGACAACATATTAAATTTGAAATACCTGCACTCTAGTCAAGAATGATCTTGAAATATTAAACAAAGACTATACGTTACGCAATTATAAAATCCTCTTTGTTCACGATAAGTAGTTACAGCTTCGATTCTGTATTGCATGTAGGAAACTTAATTGTGCCGAAATATATGTACAGTAAATAGTTACGAAATCAAAACATCATCAGTGGTGATCTTAGTCACATCAAGTACTTTGCAAATCTGTGCGTTTACAGTGTGCTTAGTGCTAAAAGTTAACTCAAATTTGTATGGAGTTGGAGCAACGCCCCTAGCGGCAAATGAAGGGACTAAGCACACAGATCCAAACTCTACTCCGGAGGCGAGAGAGAAATTAATTAATTAAACAGTATATAGGGGTATGCAGCTACTGAGCGAGCCCCTGATAATGTCATATGTAAAGGTAATATAATAATAACTAACAAATGAGTCGTCTATTATCAAAGGTGGCAATCTGTGCATTTGGACAAAAAAATGTTATTGATATGTCAATACAGATTGATTTGAATATAATCGGCTCCTTCAAAGAATACGGTTCAAAACCTGCATTAAATAAAGGTTAATACTTAACCTGTTATTTATCTAAGATGTCGTTCAGAAGAGTTTTTTGACTGCCAATGGAATACAAAGTCAATAATTTGTTTTTCTGATTTACCAATAATTGTCCAAAGGTCAGATTGCCGGCTTTGATAATAGTCGACTCAAATAAACATTTCAAAGAACCAGAAGTAATCCATCAATTCAGAATGGTGTTTTGTTTCGATGCTTCTATTGAATAATAAAACCAGCTCATTTCCGATCCGGTGGTAGATTCTGCGAAGCACTGCTCTTGCTAGGGTCAGTATTAGCAACACTCCGGTTTGAGCTCCGTGAGCACACCTACATACGTTAGGGTGAATCTGAAATAGCCTCTCAAGGCTATCAGCATAGGTAGGGAACAAAAACAGCTCACCTCTCATAAGCCTCGACGAGGTCTTTCACGTTCTTCTCGGTGTCATCGGCGGCTTCCTTCGAGTGGCCCCTGAGCAGAGACACGACAAAGTCGGCGTGTTCCAGCAGTTCATCGCGGCTGTCTTCCAGACTTGCGACATCGCTTTGAAGTTCCTGTTCAAGTGTTGTTCGTTGTTAGATATCTTCTATCTTTACTAACGTTTTCTTTAGTGCAATAAAAAAATAACGCATCAACTTTGGACGTTGTTCAAGAAATAATAGTAAATATGTTAATAATTCTAGATTTTTATCAGACTCCGTGCATTTACATATTTTGGTAATCCTGGTTACTTTGTGCTATTCATACTAAAATTCATTGAATATTCTTTTGTAAGTAAGTATTCTTGATTATTGTATTTTTGATATACATTTCCGCTAATACCTAATTAATTTACACAATAAAAAAAATTAAAAAAATTAAGGGGTAGACAGCGGCTTGGCTCTGCCCCTGGCATTGCTGAAGTCCATGTGCGACGGTAACCACTTACCATCAGGTGGGCCGTATGCTCGCCTGTCTACTAGGGCAATAAAACAAACAAAAATCCTTTCAGATTAACATTTCATATTCACTTATATTATCTAGTCTAGATATAATTAATTTTGGAATTTAGAACGTAATAGCGGAACCTGGAAAACTTTAAAGGTGCTAATTATGTACCTGAAGTGCATGTCTGGTGTCCAATGCACGCCTTCTGGTGCTAGGGTTAGTATCCAATTGTTTGAGGCGATCTGAAGCAGCCGTGATGGCCGCTCCCAGACTCCTCTGGACGTCCAAAAGTTGGGTCCAACGTTGTAACTGTTGGTCGGCAGTGGCGGCACGTTTGGCCAAACCTGTTCAGTAAATAGAATTGGTTAAATTATTTATTTTAAAGCTCATGAGCTTTTCATTTTAGAGCTTTTTTCATTTTAGAGCTCATGTCCCATGTGGTGTTTATTGGATACCGGAGCCTATAGATTTACCAGCCAGAAGGCAGCGACTCGTTTTATTTATAAATTCCCTACCTAATCGCTAGTAGCGTAAGGGGCTATTTCAGCTACGCGCGGACGGGTAGGTGATCTCACGGGCTCAGCCTGAGTGAATTTGCTAACACAAGCCTTAGCAAGAGCAGTGTTTCGCAGAGTCTACCACCATTTCACCATATATGAGGTCGTACTCGTAGTCTTAATTATATTGTGTAACGGATGTCCTAGCTTTTAAAGGAAAACGACACGACTGCTTCGCGGTTTTAAAAGGCAGGATGGTGGTACCTTATCATGCAGGTTCACAGTATCTTCTACCACCAGTTACAAAGTCAGATACAAGATCTTATAGACGGAACTTCTTGATTAGTTAGCTCAAAATCCTATCTTAAGTACTAATAATGTTTTCCTATGCTAAGGATAGGATAGCTCTGTAGCATTGTAATTAGGGCCTCGGTCTTATGACGTGTATAGACGTCTATTTCTGCCGTGAAGCAGTAATGCGTTTCGTCTTGAAGGGTGGGACAGCCGTCGTAACTATACTGAGACCTTAGAACTTATATCTCAAGGTGGGTGGCGCATTTATGTCGTAGATGTCTATGGGCTCCAGTAACCACTTAACACCAGGTGGGCTGTGAGCTCGTCCACCCATCTAAGCAATAAAAAAAAGATAACCTACCAGATGTGCCATCAACTCTCTTACCCATCTTGGCCGAAAACAATATCTATTTTTCGAATATACATTGTAATTGTACCTTCACAAGCTATGTTCCAAGTATCGGCCAGTTCTCTGGTTCTCTGTTCGACTCTCTCTCCGCTGGCTGCGTCAGCACCCGAGCAGAGCTCCCGAGCTCGCTCCCGGATCACGTCCAGGAGCGGCTGTTGATTCTGGAGACAGAAATCGAGATCAAATTTATTATATCTCATACTCATTATATCTGTGAAAAAATATATAGCACTAGCCGCACTCACCCCCTTCGCTGGGCATTTAAAATTAACTTTATTATTTATTGTCATTTTATTATTAGGGAGTTCAACACTCATATAAATATAAGCCCATCCATTAAGTACATGTATTTTTTACATGGATAAAAAATGGTAATGGTAAAAACCACTGTAGATTTATATATTACTATAGATATAGTTGAAAAATTTGTACTAGTGACGCCCCTCGTGATGACAGTTTGTGTTTTTATTCACTTGTCGATAGGGTTGCTTTTCGAGACATTTCGAGACGTATTTACCACATATTTTAATGTTTTAAAAACATTCAAAATCATTGCTTAATGAAAGTTATATCATACATTTGCCCGCGAGAGGTGCTAGTAGCTGAATATTTTTCATTAAGTAACATAACTATGTTTTACAAAATGACAGAGCCGTTGAGAAATAAAATTGGGTTTTATCATACTACTTTTTAATTTTTAGACTAGACCTATGAATTGAAATATATTCCGTAAAAGTCAGAGAAAGTTGTATAGTTATAAGATGTGTGAATATTTTAGGGATAAGAAAAATTATAGGCTACACAGAGGGTCTTCAAGAAATATGACAAAAATCTGATTACCGAATGCAACTCACACACGCGACCCAAAGTTGCAATCACATTTAACTAACAACTGTTGTCATATAAATATTTGGTTTTTTTTTCGACAGAAATTATTACTGCAATCCTTTCCTACAGCACCCTAACAATGATTTAACGTCATTTTGACAGTTCGTTACAAAATAGGCAAAAATTCGAGAATACAAAAATTGCACTCTGCTATCTACACCACGTTGCTCTTATCACATTCGTTATCAGTCAACAGTATACAGCTGATAACGATGTCAACAGTGCGTTCCATAGACGAACTCAGGGGTTTGCAAGAGGACAGAATTTCAAGTGAAATCTTGCAATGGAAATTCCCTTATAAATGGCGGAACGGTGTAATACATGCAGCACGGTTAGGTAACATCGCCCTGCCTATTTCTGCCGCGAACCGACCATGCGTTCCGGCATAATAGAGGCAACCAATGATCCGCAGTACTACTTTGAATTCGACCTCATGTCTCAAGCTAGGTACAGCAATAAAAAATAGCTACTTGTACGTTGTTATCTAAACAGGTAGTAAAAAGGCTACTATTGTAACATATATGAAAAAATCTACTAAATATGAATTATAACCGGAATACAGTACCTACTGGACTAAAGTAATAGAAAAACTTAATTCATAAACATAAAAAAATGTTCTCTAGTTTATTAAGAGAACGCGCAATGCAACGCGAAGGTAATTCGGCGAGCGCATTCGAAGTTGTTGATCCCGCGCGTCATTCTGTATTCTGTACATTGCGTGCATTACAGAAAACGTTCGAAAAACCCTATCTTATTATCGCAACTGGAAACGGAAGTTGAAGGAACTTGGTGCTGCAACAATATGATTATAATTAGTTTGTATCTTATCATTGCAGATGAATAAACTACATAATACCGCGAGTAGGCATGAAAAAAAAGACAGATCATTTAAAAGTATTCGTTCGTATAATCGTGATTTTTTTTTATTTCTTACCTATGCTGATAGCCTTGAGAGGCTATTTCCGCTTCGCCCTAACATGTACGTGAGCTCACGGGGCTCAATCTGGAAGTGTTGTTAACACTGGCCCTAGCAAAAGCAGTACTTCGCAGAATCTACCACCGGATCGGAAACGCGACCCACTGAGAAGATCCGGCGAGAAACTCAGTGGGCTGTGTCTATGGGTTTATTTGCTCGTCGAGCCCTTCGTCGCAAACGACGGGTTCGACGAGGACGGTGACCGGTGCTTGTGGTACCTAAAAGAACCGTTAATGGATCGGGAGGATCCGTAATGACGTGTTTTGAGCAACATTGTTGGCGAGCGTGTTTGAGCGATTTAAAATCTTAAAAAAATTCGCGGCATTGTGCTTCTTAGATTAATAAGGACGGATCTGCTTATAGCTATTATACTCAGTAAATTAATCTAATTAAAAATTACAAATTACACCCAGCTTCGGATCTTACTCTGAAATGACTTTTAGCGCGAACATGATTTTTTTGATTAAGCTGTAATCTAATGCTTCTGATGGTCCCACAAAAGACTGGGTCTTTACTCTTTAGAACTGCAAAGATGTAGAGTAGCTTTCAATTTCCAGAAAAAAAACCTGGTTTCCGATGCGCGGTTCAAATTCTTAGTTATACGACAAAACGCGGAAGAAACCGTAGATCTAAAAATGAGAACACGTTTCAGACATGAAAAGGTGTGCTTAAAAACCAAATTGCAGCCACATGTTTAACTTGGCTCGCAGCTGTGACTCAGACGACCTCTACAATTACGGAATACTCGCCTTGAGACAAAATGACGTTCGTTGCCATAGAAATTACGGAGCTCTTGATTCATGAGCTTAATAAAACTATTTTATTTTCAAAGATTATGAAACTGTACTGGAAGTGTCTGCAAAAGTCATCTATACTTCTATACTAATATTATAAAAAGGAAAGATTTGTTTGTTTCTTTGTAATGAAAAGGCTCCGAAATTACTGAACCGATTTGAAAAATCCTTTCACTGTTTGGAAGCTACATTATTCCCGAGTAACAAAGGCTATAATGATTTTTGAAAAAAATTAGGGCTCCTTGCTAAAACTACAATAATGTAACCCAAGGTTTTTAAAAAAATACCTAAAATATTCTTTACATCGCGTGCCCTGCGAAAACTATTGATGATAGAATAAAATAATGTACTACGAATTTGCAGAACACATTATTATTTACAAAAAGTGTTCGGACAGCATATGTCTAATTATTATAGTTATGCCGTAATAAGTGTTATTTTATTTAAAAAAATAAAACAACGTCAAATATCGTTCAATTTTTTGTTAAAGACCCGAGCGGAGCCGGAGCGGACCGCTAGAATTCTAATAAAAATACATTAACAAAACTACGAAGAGTTTACATCATGCTCTGCCCACTCTGCTCAATAAAGGACCGACCAAAAATCAAAGACACTCTGATCTCAAGACATATTTATCTGCGTGTAATGTAGTATAGTGTGTCTAGTACTAAAGTGTTAGCGTAAAAACAAAAACATTTATTATCACACTCATTAAACTTTTAAATTGGTATTTTTTTTCAATCGATTCTTGTAATTACCGTTCATTGCAATACTAATTTGACTTTCTAACGGACCATCTAGACAACAATGAAAGTTTTAATTAAAAAAAACGATGTTTTATTTGACAGCGTTACATTCAATGGAGCATTATTATCGCTCTCAAATACGATATTTTTCAATTTACTAAATAACTGAACATTAAACTTGAGTATAATGGATTGAGCTACAGTTGCCGTCCGAATAACGACCGATATAATAATATAACGTAACTGACTTTTTGCTTCTTAAAAATCCTCAGACACTGAGTTTCTTGCTGGATTTTCTCAGTGGGTCGCGTTTCTAATCCGGTGGTAGATTCTACGAAGCACGGCTCTTGCTAGGGTTCGTGTTAGCAACATCGTCAGGTTTGAGCCCCGTGAGCTCACCTACTAGTTAAGGTTACGCTGAAATAGCCTCTCAAGGCTATCAGCTTAGGTTTTTAAAAAAAAAGCTTCTTAAAACAATTAAACTAATTAATGAATACCGCAGTAGCGTTGTAAGCCTCATTTTTCAATGTCTCTTCAATGTTATGTAGTATTGTTCGTTTTCTCAGAATGCTTACGGTAGACAGTGATTATATTATTGCAATCTATTAAGCTATCATTTTTCAATTCGATCGAATATCGACACCTCGAATGTTCGACGGGATTCTTCGATACCATAACGACGTAACTCACCTTCCTTTTGCGCGGAATTTTTAATGATTCTCAACGAAGAAGTTGTGCGAAAATGTGATTTTAGCTTAAGTCGGCACGTGGACGCAACACTTGCACAATGTAAATATATATTTTAATTTGCAAACGTGCGTAGTTCTCATTGCTTTGCAGTTTAATACAAAACTGAGCGCGGCCGCGATACCGAACCGGCGACTGAACAATTGATGACATCATTACTTAAGGCGAATGCTTAACTCGAAAAAACGTCCGCGAACAATCTTTTATTACTTTGAATTTTCTTCCGACATAATGGATTGTTTTTGAAACGGAAACAGTCATTGTCGTAGCTGTTTGTTTGTTTTTTTTCTTTCCTACCAATGCTGATTGCCTTGAGAGGCTTTACCCAAGCGTGTAGGTGAGCACTCGGGTCTCAAACGCGACCCACCGAGAAGATCCGGCGAAAAACTCAGTGGGCTGTGTCTATGGATTAATTTACACTCGAGCCCTTCGTCGCAAGCGATGGGTTCTGCCAGGAATCGTTTGTAGGAATATGGCTTTGCAACATCGATAATTTATTAAAATTCGAATAGTAGTTTATTTATTTACGCGCCTAAAATATTTCTTTATAAATACATGAATAAATCTGTCGTGAAGCAGTAATGCGTTTCGGTTTGAAGGGTGGGGTAGCCGTTGTGACTATACTGAGACCTTAGAACTATATCTCAAGGTGGGTGGCGCATTTACGTTGTATATATCTATGGGCTCCAGTAACCACTTAACACCAGGTGGGCTGTGAGCTCGTCCACACATCCAAGAAATAAAAAAAATAATAATAATAATAAATTTTGTATTTGCGAAAAGCCCTGTTTTCTTCAAGTTTTTAAATCATAATATTGTGTAAGAGTCTAAATCGGTAGTTGTCTGTGTTTGTTTCAATGATTTTATTGTTTTTAATATATATATCTTTTTCTGGGAATACTCTGAGTCCACGCTGATAGATAGCAGCATCCTGCCCGAATGAGGGCTTTCAGGTCAATGGGCTTCGGTAGCTTAGCATCAAGTGAGCAGTGACCTCGTCTACCGATTTAACGCGCTAAACAATTTAATCCATGAATGAAATGTTTTTGCTATAGTACTACCAATAATTCTACTCTATATACTAATACCTTCGATCTGCTTAATATATTTAGTAATCTTAAAAGCGAAGCGAAAACCGACTTCACTATTAATATGAACCTGTGCAAATAAATAATTTTAATAGTCAATACAACTTAGGCAGTAGGCTGGCGGTAGGCAGCGGTTTGGCTCTACCCCTAGCATTGCTGAAGTCCATGTGCGACGGTAACCAGTCACCATCAGGTGGGCCGTATGCTCGTATGCATACAAGGGCAATAAATAAAATAAAAACCTAATTAAAAACGTCACCTTTAATTTGAAACAATATCTTAAAAAACGATGACACTGAATAATGATGACAGCCACCTTATTTAACTAAAAGACCACGCGTACGGAATATTGATGAACTCCTTTAGTTATTATTAAATTAATTTTTTTTTATTGCTTAGGTGGGTGGCCGAGCTCACAGCCCGCCTGGTGTTAAGTGGTTACTGGAGCCCATAGACATCAACAACGTAAATGCGTCACCCACCTTGAAATATAAGTTCTAATGTCTCAGTATGGAATTTTCATTTGCCAATGCACGGGCGGACTTGAAATTCAAGGTCGAATTACTAAGCTTTGTAACTTTATCACGAATTTGGCCTTAAATACAAAGACCTTGGAGGAAGTGCATCAACCTAACGAGTCACGGTCAACAATATAGAGCTGAGTAAAGCGATCAAATGTTGGATCTATTGTTGTGTTTTGAATTTTTTTCTTTGAACGTCTCGTTTGAGGAGATTTTTTGGCTTTTCTAAATCTAGCGATGTTCTTATGCGTTTGGTTACGAAATTTTTGATTTTAGAGTTAAATAGGAACACAAAATAAGTAATATATTTGAACCTCTTGTGAGTCCGCACGGGTAGGTACCACCACCCCGCCTATTTCTGCCGTGAAGCAGTAATGCGTTTCGGTTTGAAGGGTGGGGCAGCCGTTGTAACTATACTGAGACCTTAGAACTTATATCTCAAGGTGGTTGGCGCATTTACGTTGTAGATGTCTATGGGCTCTAGGAACTTAACATCAGGTGGGCTATGAGCTCGTCCAACCATTTAAGCAATAAAAAATAAAAAATAAACTTATTCAATCCTTCGTAACTCATTTAGTTCTATGCCTATTGCTACCACATACATACGATTTCGAGGATTGGATACAAAAAAAGATATTGCAATGCTCACGACGAGACCACGGGCCATTTAAATCGGCAGTGCTTGTGATGTCTACAATATGTCTATGGGCCGCATTTACTACCAGCCTAACGTGACTGCTTTCTCGTATGCCATCAAAGGCTGGTTGTAAACAGAATCCCGCAACGTAGAATATTCAGAAGTAATCGATATTGAAGTTTAAAAATTGAAAAGAGCTGCGCGAATTTTAAATACCTTTATCGGTGTATCGGACGGTCTTCTGATAAGAATAGGTACTCATAATAAATTACAACGAATATGTATGAACAAGTGTTGAATAGACGATAATGTCACTGTCATTATGTCATCAGATAACAATGACACTGTTATTACTTATTAATAATAATTTTTAGTAGTTTCTAATAAATCTTGTTTGTTTCTGCAGCTTTTTTATTTATTTTTATTGCTTAGATAGGTGGACGAGCTCACAGCCCACCTGGTGTTAAGTGGTTACTTGAGCCCATAGACATCTACAACGTAAATGCGCCACCCACCTCGAGATATAAGTTCTACGGTCTCAGTAGAGTTACAACGGCTACCCCACCCTTCGAACCGAAACGCATTACTGCTTCACGGCGGAAATAGGCGGGGTGGTGGTACCTACCCGTGCGGACTCCCAAGAGGTCCTACCACCAGTGAACTTTATTATATTTTCTCTAAATTTTATAACACGCGTTCGGTGAAGACGTCTTAATGTTTGGTATCCCAACAAATATGTTGTGCTTCGAATGAACTAATACACAAAGTCAAGTATTCTGAGGTTTTGCTTGTAATATTGTTAACTACGTCGTATATTAAGTTCTTTAGAGCTTTTTTTCCTTTAAGCAAATCCGTTTTGTAAACAAGTCGTTGTTTAGTAATGGAGCTTACGATTATCGGCTTAAGGTGTTGCAATAAAATTTTATGAATAATTTTCCGGTTTATGTACCGATTAATCATCTATTAATCATACATATTATTTTAAAGAGACATAAATAGTATAGTAGTTTATGGTAAAAATATAATTTCTCTGGCATTTATTATAAGCATGCTCTGTCATTTTATAAATATTTATTTTATTATTGTAGTCAATGAAGATTAACAATAATGCACTAACCTCTAAGTCGTTTTTGGCGTGATTCAGCTTTTCGAGGTGGAGTCTGAGCGCGTCAACCGTAGTGATAGCTTCATCTTTGATGTTGTTCTTCTCCAAGATCGCTTTTATCTTGTCCATTAGCTGGCAGAAGTCTTTCCAAATGTCCAGGTCTTGCTCTAACTGGGCTTGACGCGATTTCGCGGAGTTTAGAGTATTCTTTAGGAGTTGGTTATGCTTCTGATGGTCTTTAGACAGCTCTTCTTGTTCAGACGCCGCCAGCGATGCCCATATCTTGTCCACGATGTCCTGCATTCGCTTTCCGACCAAATCCTTCATCTCGGGCTCAGAGGAATTGAAGAATGACTTATGTTCTTCCAAGTCAGCTTCAATGTTCTCAAAGTCTGTTCCGTTCTTGCCCATGTTCAAGCGTATGTTAGCCTCATTGACCCAGATGTTCAACTTTTCTACCAGTTTCAAGTACCGTTGTCGATACTTCTTGTTGTCTTGCAGGTATTTCTCTCGGTTAGTAAGTTCTGCAGGCAAAGATGACTTCAAGGAGTTTCCTTCTGAAATCATTTCGAGGAGTGCACCAGGTATTCCGTCGTCGTTCTTAACGGAATCCGCGATTTTAGAGAACTTCTCCAGATTGGACTGAATGTTTTTCACAAGTGTAGAATGCTCAATCAACTTCTTATCGACGCTTGCAACGTCTCGATTGAGTAGCGGACGGGAGTGCACAGCTGCCTCGTTTTCATGGAGCCATTGAAGAATCTCGGACAGATCGGAAGCCAGTTTCTTGTGTTCCGCAGCAGCTCGCTCGTGCTCTTGTCTCTTCGACTCAACAGTCCTCCTTAATGTCAGCAATTGTTGTTTAAGCGATTGAAGAAGTTCTGTGATGTTATTTCTGTCGATAACGGTGCCTTCAGCGGCAATTTGCTGGCCTTTATCCGTGGCTGTTGCCAGAAGCGCTTCACAGCCTTGAATTTTGACAATGATATCATCATAGCGTTTGATCTTATCTTCCAAAGAGTCATTAGATTTTTCAATATCTGAGGTAAAGTCCGTGTACTTGGATATGAATTCTTCTATTTCTTTAACCAAAGCGAAGAATTGTTCGCGCAATAACATGAGTTGTTTGAGCTTAGAGATTTGATCTTCAATCGTGCTCATCAGTTCATCTTGTTTGCTGAGAATATCTTGGAGGTCATGGAGGTTGCCACCTTGCAATTCGTTGAGCATTGATTTGTTTTTCTTGAGGTCCGCTAAGATAGACTCATATGCCTGTATTATTGGTAGCACATCTTCTACTTTGCTGCCAATAGGTTTGTTCAAAGCCTTAAGTTTGTTCTGAATTTCGCTTAAGAATTCTAAAGCCGCAGCTACCTTAGCAGCCGCGTCTTTGTATTCCTTGATATGTTTGTGAAGAATATTCTTTTTGTCGTTTATGATGGCTTTGATCCTGGCGAACTTGTCTGAGAGAACGTTAATCTGCTCTTTAAGTTGCAATTTGTTTGAATCAGATAAAGATTCAGAGATGTCTTTCGATTTGTGCTTAATTTTGTTAATAACCTTTTCGATATCTTCGGCCTCTTTGCTGAGTTTTTCAAATTTAGCCAGTTGTTCTTCTAGAAGTTGTAGGTTTGATGTTCTTAATTCGGGCGTAGCAGCAACTTCTGCCTCATTCAGCCAGCTTTGGCATTTAGCCACTTCGGATTCAAACTCATTTCTACCTTGAAGCAATTTAGTAAGGGCTCCAAGTTTGTCATCAATGTCTACTTTAGCTGAAGTGTAAGATTTGTTCAAGTCTTCCAAAATAGCCTGCAGTTTTGCGCGGTCTTCAGGTGAACAATCTTTAGATACAGCGTTCCCTTGTCGCATAACTTCGGTCAAAGTATCATTGTGGAAGTCAGACAGTTCCGCTTGATGTTTTTTGTGAACTGCAATTTCCTTTTCAACTTTAGCAGCCTCTAGTGGAACTGGTCCACCAAGTTTCTTGATTTCCGCAAGTTTGGATTTCAACCAATTCTTGGCTTTCTCTATATCATTTTCGAGTTTCTTTCTGTCTTCGCCACATGTTCCTAATCTTTCGATTTCTTGTTTGATTAAGGTAGCCAACTGTTTCTGTTTAGAGGAGAGCTCAGAAAGTTCAGATTCTAGCTGCATCTGTTCTGATGGTTCTAGTTCAGCTTGAATGTTGCTAACTTTCTTTTCCAGAGAGTCGATCACGGTTTTCTTACCGTCTGTCTCCTTCAACAAATTGGCAACCTTCTTCTGTCTTTCTTTAACGGACTTGCTCTCGTAACCCAAAGGCTCTGGGTGAAGAAGATTATCAATCTCTTTTTGGAGCCATTCGTTTTGCGCGGCAACTTCTTTCTTTGTGCCGTCGATGGCTTTGTGAGTAATTTCCAGCATTTGAAGCTTACGTTGAATGCGTTTAGCGATGTCGTTGTAGCGACGTTCTACAGACTTCATCTATAACAAATAACACAGAAGATTCTTTTAGAACAAAAATGAGTATGATAAAACAAAACATTGTTGATTTTCACTGTGGTGAAATTAATATTATGAATTTAATATGAAAAAGGAGATTTAATGGACAAGTATTTTGTGATATTTTTGAAATAATGAATGAATGGCTTAAAAAATGGCTTACTTGTTCCTCAACTTGCTGTGACTCCAGATTGCTGACGATGTTGATGACAAGAGTTCCGACAACCTTTATATTATCCACTTTCTCTTTTCCGGCTTGTCCGAACTCTGATGACAGCTCGTTTAGAGCAACTAGTTTCTGAGGACAAGGCAGACCAGATCCTTTGTCGGCCAGGCACATCTTCTTCAGAACCGAATCAAACCAGTCGTGGATCTCTTGACACTTGTGACGGAAATCGTCGATGGTGCCTTGGTTCGCCTTTTCGCGCTCAATAGCTTTACCTATAGCTTCTTCCAGATCGTCAAGCTCCTCTTCCAAATTGATTTCATCTTCAAGACCTACATTTAAAAAATGAAGTTATATTTGTTTTAGTTGTTTATAGGTATTTTGAAAAATTAGCAATCTTAAATGATAAATAAAAAATTTGAAAACAGTAAAAACATACAGTTTGAAAGCCTAAGAACATAATATGTTAAAACTTATTCTTACTGAACTATACAGAAATGGCAATTGAGTTTATTTCCTATGATTTTGATATTTATTACATTCATGGGACTAAATGCTTATTTAACACAATTCTTTAATACCGCTCTGATTCATACGCCAGGCTTATTAATCAGAGCGTGTTTACATTTGACTGCAACTGTTGGCCACCGACTAATTGTTTTGCGGTCATTGCTAATTTGCTGACCTGGTGTTGATCATTTTTGTTTCTCCGATATTTACTGAAGATGGACAGCCATATAAAATAATACATAAAACTCTATGATTACCATTGATATTAGCAACATAAATGCATAAAATTAAGTTCTTAAGCTTGACACCTTTGACAGGCCAACGTATAAAGATTAAAGAAACAAGTTGCCATGACATCGTGACTAATGAAACTCACCCTCAGTAGGAATTTCGGTGAGCAATCTGTTTCTCTTCTCGCCAAGTGACACTAGGGCGTCACTCATTGCCGCCATGTCTTGTTTGGCTGCTTCGGGCCTCAATTTGGAGGGATTGGCGAGCCAATCACGGGCGAGGGCGTTGTGAATGTTAATCCATTCTTGGATTTCAAGGACCTGTTTCATGGCTTCTTCCATGCCGTGAACTGCGTCTCCAAGAGTCTCCAGGTGGCTTTGGACCTGAACATAATTTCTTTTTTCAAATATTCCATAATGATTTAAATTAAATGAATACTTCTTCACACGTTTACAAATTTAAAAAAAAGCATTACCAATCTGCTCACCACAAGGGCACCACACAGTTTTACAATATTAGTTTTTAATAAAGCAAAACTTTTTTTTTTTAAATGAGTCTACAAAAAAATGATGAAACAGATATTAGGTGTATTAAAATTTGTATATGATGGTGATTTTAAAATACTGAACTAGACGTGATACTTCTAGAGACATGAAAGTATCAGTGCTGATGCTGTGCTTTGAATAGACGATAAGAGATTATAGAAGGCCAGTCTTGGCAGTACCATTACCATTACTGCCGTTACTGAGTTACAGCATCAACCAAATGTGACCTAGGTTGTTTTAAAGGCAACTTCATTATGGCCTGATATTATTTCAAGGATTTTCTCATTGACACCGAAACGGCTGGACGGATTTCGATGAGATTTTCTGGTAATCTTCTGTTTGGCCTAGCGGGTGACCTTGTGAAGTTTGTTAGCAATCGGATGAAAGTCAGATCAAAATTCGACCCGCTTTCTAGTGACAATATAAGGTCTCAATTTAGTTCCTGTTTTGGAAGTCACTTCAGACTGGACAATATCAAGCCACAATATTTTTATTGAACGTACTAAGTGATAAAACTACTAAGTCGAATCCGCGGTGAAATCAATGACTATATGGCGTTCGTAAAATAATTGAATAAGAGTGGTAGTACCATTTTTTTTCAATACAACAATGACACTTTAAGATTTTTTGTATACAAATTTACCAGTAATGCATAGCCTCACCTTCTGTTCGAAACTAATGAGTTTCTCAGAGAATTCGCTCGTCTCAATGCTCTTTAATAGTTCGTGTATTCGCGGACCTGCCCCTACATCGCTCACATGTGTCTATAACAAACCATGCGCAAACAAACACAAACCGTTAGTAACTTAGTGTATATTATTGCGTCCGTGAATTAAACACTAAATAGTAAAAAAGCAAGCAGTTAAAAATTAAGAAAAGGTAAAATCAAACTTAAAGAAAATTTACTTTTTTTTTTCTGCTGGGCGTATTTTAAGTAGGCGCTATTGATGTATTTCGGCCCAGTAACATTCATACGAAGATTATGGCAGTATCTCTATAATACAACAAGAACTTCGACGACATGGCTTAAGGCAGGCGACGACACTTACAGTGTGATGAGCTTCAATAACCACTTATCACCAGGTAGAACGTGGGTTCGTCAGTCCAACAAAAATAAAGTGAAAATTTCACAAAATATTAACCGCGAATTTCAGTGTAATGTTAAAACTTAAAATAGACGTTCTTTTTCTTATAATTTTTCAATGTTATTTGGACTTCAACTTATAAGAAAAATGGCATTAAAATAATGGTTTTCCTATATCTTTAAGCAGCATGTAAGATTGTTTGAATGACGTTTTTGAATAATTTAATGGTACTTTGCCTAATGGTTTGAGTTTTCCTTTCATTACTATATTAATTTTAACATTCAGGACTAATAAAACGTTTACAGGGTGATTAGAACTATTCGCGAATTCTGGTGTTTCCCTAAATAATAGCGCAACTAAATCACATTCGAAAATTGAACTATTTTTTGCATAGCACGCAATTGAAGATCAACTGACGCGTGAGGACAACGACCTCTTCATAACTGGGACGACAGCATTCTCGTTCCATTGCGGGTTTCGTGTATCATGAACTTACGTTAATTTTTAGTCGTAATCATTGATACATCAACACTTAAATTAATTTTGTTTATCACATTGATTCTTTTATTTTGTTATCGATATTGTAAATAATAAAAATCGATTGACATCTAGAGAAGAAAAGGCACTGCACTGTTTTGCCTTTGCTCTATTGTGATATATTATAAGCATTTTGTTTTCCATTCTGAAGTTTATTTTCTTCTTAACACCCTGTATGGAGTTTTATTAGTCCAAGTGCAAGTGTATTTACACAATCATGTGAATCATTTAGTTTTTATTGCAAAGTGCTAAAATACACTCAGTGAGTCAAGATCATAAACTGTTTAATTTGTAAGAAGGAAATGCCAATGCGGTGTGATAATTTCGAAAAAAAAAATTACGTGTAGATATTTAAATAGTTATGTGAATTTAATTCGTAAGATTTCTAAGAGAAGTACTTGTTTTTCTTGACTTGTTTTTCAAGTAACGCCCATAGTTATACTCTTTTGATACCTAAAATTATAGATAATTACAAAGCTCTTGGGGACTTAACTCCTTTCTACTAAAAAGTTGTTAAATCATAATTGAAACGTGTTACATGATTTTGGTTTTGGGAATTATTGTTGCCACAATACATACAACTTGTCTCGAAATGCCTCAGGGGTTTTAAACTAATTTATCATCATATTTATAATCATATTTGTTACGATCTTGACCCATAAACCAGGTGCACAAAACGACCAGCCAACGTTAAATGCTCAAACTAAATATTTACTTGTACCCTTCTAACTACACTATAACTACGATATCGATAAACAATCGTAATAATATAGTCAAAATATGTATCTTACTTTACTGTTTAATGATCGTTGGTTCTTGTCTTTTTGTAGACCTGGTAAACTTGAGATAATTGATGATGTATTTAGTAAATTAAATGTGAGTTTCTGCACTCTCAATCAAACGAAACAATCGGATGTAAAATGTTCAGAATGCTTGCAATGCATTTAACCTCTTTTTTTTAATACGCCATATGAAAGACACGCGACAAAAATACAATATACGGTATTGATGATTAGTTTTGAATATTATAATAAAATCGTTCAAAAAAATGTACACTTTAATCTTTAAAGAAGACTTATGAAATATGCATTACTTTTGTTTTCTTCTAAACAGTTTACTCTTCTAGTCGCAATTATATTAACAAATCAAAACGAAGTGAGTACATCGGAGCCGAGCACGTTACCAGAAGCTATTATTACCTGGTCAATGAGATCCTCCAGACGAGCTCTTACGTGGAGCTCTCTTGGAGGAATGGGCAGCGGTGCGGTATCGGCCGGAGACGAGGGTCGGGACACGGAGGCGGCTGCAGCAGAGCATGCTGCCACCGCTGCGGATAGACGACTCTTCTCGGTTTGGAGACGATTGTGGAGAGTCTGATAAAAAAATATTATGGTTACAAAAGCTATTTAGGTGCCATAAAGTTGTATTTCATTTAATGCCTTGCTCTGAAAAACTTACCCTGGCTTTGTCAAGCAAATCCCTTCCGTGAGATAGTCCATCAACGGGCACGTCCAACTCCGTAATGGCCGGTTCGCANCTGCGGATAGACGACTCTTCTCGGTTTGGAGACGATTGTGGAGAGTCTGATAAAAAAATATTATGGTTACAAAAGCTATTTAGGTGCCATAAAGTTGTATTTCATTTAATGCCTTGCTCTGAAAAACTTACCCTGGCTTTGTCAAGCAAATCCCTTCCGTGAGATAGTCCATCAACGGGCACGTCCAACTCCGTAATGGCCGGTTCGCATTCGTCCAAATTGTTCAAAATGCTCTCCAATGTGTCCTCATATTCCTTGAATTTCGCCAATCCTTCCCTGAGACGCCTCTCGATCTGTAGCGCTGTGGCGAGTAAGGACTTGTGGCTGTCGTTAACATTCTTTAGTTGTTTTCCAACTGTGTCACGAATAGCCGGAGTAGTAGCTTCATAACGCTCGATCTGAGCGCGACCCTTGCCTTCCAGCTCATCAAGGGTCGACCTGTACTTTTGGATATCATCTAGTAACACGGCGTGCTGGGCCAGCTGTTCCTCCGTTTGTTCTCTGTTAGCAATGTATAAAGAATTGTGGGCCATAAGTTGGAAAGAGATTTGTAACAGCCATTTTTCGGTATCTTGCAGCGACTGGTGGTATTGGTTGTAGTCTTTGATTTCATTCTCTAGCTCCGCTTTCTTTGCTGCGCATTTAGTTCGTAGAGCTTCACATTTCTTCTCGATTTCTGTTACAGAGTCTTTAACGGCAGGCTTCTTGGCCCAGCCACTGAGTTCAGCGGCCTCGTCTTTAAGCCTTTGTAATTCTGGTTTTTTATTATCGATCTCTTCTTCAATGTGTTTGTATTTCTCTAGCAAAGTCTTCATTTCACCTAATTCACCGCCAGTGGGAGGTACTTTGTCCAAATTCTGCTCGGTGTCTTTAATCCAGTTATTAATTTTATTTTTACTTTCTTCGAAATCTTCCCATTTACCGATAGCAGCTTTGAGCTGTGCTGTAATAGAGTTGAGGTCAATTTTTAATTGATCCCAGCTCTCTTGGAGAATTTTGACGTCGTCTCGCAGACCATCTTGTTCTTCTGGAGGGGTGTTGTTAAGGGCTTTCTTGAAAGCTTCTTGTAAGACAACTAGCAGATGATGGCCTTCAGTCATTCTGTTATTAACAAGCTTGACAGTCTCAAGTTTGTCTTTCGTGGTTTCGATATCACCAACTCCAATTGAATCATGAACAGTTCCATGAGCTGTCTCCAGCCATTTCTGTAGATCTTCCTTTGCTTTGATAAATTCCGTGTGATCAGAAAGGTTTTTCTCTCCATTCGAAACGAGACCTTGAATTTTGGTGAGTAGAGTAGTGTATTCGGTTTGAAGGTTCACTGTTTTGTCTCGAACCCAAGCACAAGCACTTTGTTCCATCAAATTTTCACATCTGTCGTTAAGTTCTTCTAGAACGTGCTTATGGCCAAGTGCCTCGGAAAGTAATTCCTGAAAATTTAGTATAGATTTTTAAATTTTAAAATAACTTACATGCAAAGTAAAAAATTGAAAGCAAACCTACCCGACATTTCTCCAGATGTTCAGGTGTGATCTTATCCACTTTTTCAACAGTCTTCAGCTTCCCATCAAACTCTTTTACCCACTTGCTCATCTTCTCCGACGTCTCCAAATAATCAGACCAAGCGGACAAACACTTTTCAAGTAGCTTCTTGGTGTCCTTGCAAATCTGTTGCAGGTTTTCCCATTCGATCTTCAGTTGTTTAATCTCTTGATTAATGCTGTCCTTGCCTTCGTTACCAGTCGTTTCAAGAACTGCCTCGCTAAGCTTAATCGCTTTTTGCAATAATGCTTCTCCTTTAGGTAAAGCTTCGATGATCTTCTTGACTTTGTTAAGTTTCTTTTGTACGGAATCCTTCTCGCCGTGCGAGTCGGAACATTGTTGAATTTCGATCTTACAATTGCGGATCCAATCGTAGAAGTCGTCGTAAGATTCCTTGTATTGTATGTGAGAGTTGACGTAATCTTCCAATTTCTAAGTAAAAATAGAAAACTTGTTTAGAACACGCTGTTATTACGAATTGTAAATATAGAAGAAAAAAAACTATATAAAATATTTAATGTGAACGCCCGAAATTATGGATTAGAAGTAAAAATGAAGGTATGTAGTAATATGTACATACATATATGTGACAATGGTTCATTGGATTTTATACATAGTTTTATGAAATAAATTTGGCACGGCAATTGAAACATGAATTGAACATGAATGATGTATCACATTAAATTCATTAAAATAAGTCTTGATTTTTAAGCTTACCGCGATCATTTCGCTGACTGTTTTTTTAATGTCATCATATCGTTTCAATGTATCCTCAATGTCTTTAGATTTAAGCGAAGCGTCCTCTTGAAGTTTCTCGTTTATTTTCTTAACCAGATCACTGTGAGATTCAATGTCTCTACTGAAGGTCCTGAATTTCTCTAGCTTAGCTTTCTTCTCAGACAGGTCGTTGAGTAGTGAGTCGTCGGATTGTATCTTTTGGTCGATGTCATCCAACCATTCAACTAAGAGCTTGTGGATCTGAAAATAAAGAGATTGTTTGACTTTTTCTAAAACCAATTGACTTCTACTGTCTGTAAGTCCAGCAGTGCAGTGTAAATTTTATTAAAACCTTTTTATCCTCCTTACACATAATCGCGGTAAAAGTTCAACTGAACTCAACAAGAACCTAATATACCCTAAACAAAAGTGGGAAATAGACAAATCTGGTTTCACGTCCCGTTGTGTTTTATCAACTGTATATTTCAGAAGCCGTAAAGTGAAGATTGCTGACAGGTATCTCCTGTCCCACGAGCTCAAGGGCTTCGTGCCGGATTTTCATTATAAAAAAGATACCAAGGGGAAAAAGAAACAAAAGTACACAGTTGTTTTATCCACAATCATTAAATTATTGTGATAACAATTAGCATCTTCTTCTCCTTCTGTATCGGTTCTGTTAAATCCGTTTAGTAGACCTAACGAGATTTGTTATTACGTATTTTTTTTCAAAGCAATCTACAGGCTGAATCTTAATGAGTTTCAAACAATTATTTACCTTTGAAATGTCATCAAATTGCGCTGCTCTACTTGTCAATTTATTGCGCACATCTTGCAAATCAGCGATGAGTTTATCGAATTCCACTTTCAGACTATCGGTGTCTTCTTGTATCTTCGCTGCTCCTGCTTGTTCCGTGTTCATTATTACCTTCTCCTTTAACTCTAGGAGATATCTCAACTTATTCTGGCCTTGCTCCAAAGATTGGCGCAAGAGTTTTACGGTATTCAATTTGTTGTTAACTTCTTGGAGTGTGTTCGGTATTTCGGCGCATTGGTTGAGTTTGTCGCGTGTTCTGTCCAGCCAATCTTGGCATTCACTGTACAGGGCGTTATGTTGTTGATGTTCCTAATAGCCAAAAAACAGTTTTTAGTAAAATATCAGACGGATATACATCTTATTGTTGTTTAGTATAGTGTCTGTATTTGGATAGTTTTTTTTCAATCAACAATTTCTGACTCATTACTCGGTTTAGTACTGGCAACAGTGTTTCAAGAATAAAGTGGTTATAGGTTATAACTTATTATAACTTGTAACTACATAATTGAGGCATCGATCTCATGTCTTATGGGTGATTAGATAGAAATGTGAGCCCATTCTGGTAGTTTTTCACGATTCTGTTTATTTGCCTGCCGTGAAGCAATAATGTAAGACGAAGAGAGAAATTTCTACCTCACTGTCTGCAATAGTATTTTAACTGAGGTTGTCAATGATAACCACTTGATAACCATAGACCATATGAGCTGTAAGTTAGCCAACCCCTACTTGGCTTTTTAACAGGTTTGTTTTGAGGAAATTACTAGTTACCGTACCTGATAATGAAGTTCCAATCTCTTCATGACTTCCTTGGCTAAAGACAATAATGCATTGTATTTGGTTGTAAGCTGGGTGATCCCGTTTGAGATTCTCGTGTCAGCGCAGGTTTCCAATAGTGTTTGAGCTCGAACATTCAGCTTATCCAGCTCGGCTTGCCAGTCAAACAGTGTTTGTAAGTGTCCCTAGTAATAATAATAATAATTATTATATTTATTGAGGTTTTCAAAAGTGTCCATGTGTAATTCAATTGAATTGTAATCACGTTTAAATTTATTGTATCAACATCAAAATGAATTTGAATGAATGAATGAGAATTTTAGATAACGGACCCATGCATTAGTATCAGCACACCTTTTTAATTTGCTTTCATTAAACTTGTTTTATTTAACAATCGTCCGCTAGGGATCCGGCAGACTTCGTAGTGCCTCAATCGATAAATAAAAGACCTAAGCTTTTGTATAAAATAAACTTAAAACAAACAAAAGGAATCCGTCCAACGAGGGACACATGAAGGGAAAAACTAAATTGTTATTTTTATTTAATTCCTAGGATTTTCATCTACCTTTTCATCTACCTTTTAAACTTTCTCTGGACTTCTACAGATAATTTAAGACCAAAATTAGCCAAATCGGCCCAGCCGCTCTGGAGTTTTAGCGAGACTAACGAACAACAATTCATTTTTATATATATAGATAGATAGATTACTGTTTACCTTGAGTCCAACGCATTTCATTAATGCTAATGTCAGTTAACATGAACGGCATCACCGTGTTTATTACGTGGTAGCCTTTACTCGTCATATAGTGGTTTATGATAAACTCACCTGGAACTCTTCAAGGACGACCTTCTTCTGTTCCAAATTATTCTGCAGTTTGTTGAATGATTGAACTAGTTTTTCAGTCTTCGACAACCAATCTAAGGCTTCCTTATACTGCTCCTCGTACTCTGTCCATTTCACGATACCTCCTTCGATCAGTGCTTTCGTGTTGTTTAGTTGTTCGCTAAAATTAATGTGCAATAATTTAAACTTAATTTCGAACAATGACCGTTTTCGGCTAGTGAGAACTGTTCATAAAAACCACTGGTTCTTTTACAAAATATATTTTTATTTAGAGAAATTATGTAATAATCGGTGAGATTTTTGGCATCAGCGATTGTGTGTTTAATAAGCCGATACATCTTATGAGGCATTAGAACCTTCGTTAGTATCATTTGAAATTTTATTTTTATTGTATTGCTTAGATGTGTGGACGAGCTTACAGCCCACCTAGTGTTAAGTGGCTACTGGAGCCCATAGTCGTCTACAACGTAAATGCGCCACCCAACTTGAGATATAAGTTCTAAGGTCTCAGTATAGTTACAATAGCTGCCCCACCCTTCAAACCGAAACGCATTACTGCTTCACGGCAGAAATAGGCAGGGTTGTGGTACCTACCCGTGCGGACTCCCAAGAGGTCCTACCACCAGTAATTACGCAAATTATAATTTTGCGGGTTTGATTTTAATAACACGATGTTAATCCTTCACCGTGGAAGTTAATCGTGAACATTTGTTAAGTACGTATTTAATTAGAAAAATTGATACCCGCCTGCGGGATTCTAACACCGTTGCATCGCTACATACCAATGCACCGGACATCTTATCCTTTAGGCCACGACGACTTCATTCAAGTGGTTCTAGATTAGTATAGCCCGTCCGTAATGTGAGGCCAAGCCTTGCTTGTATTCCAACATCATTTAATAAATTATAAGCTACTTACACATAGGTATCGTACTCTTCTTGCATAAGAGCCACTTCCTCTTCGATGTCTTCTCGGTCATCATCGTCAGCTAAGCCGCAAGATATCTCCCCTTGTTCTAGTGCTTTCTGCAGTTTAGCCTGGCCTTCGGGCAGTTCGCTTTCCAATACTTTAAGCTGTGAAATCTTGCTGCTCAGTGACTCCTTGTCTCCGGTGGCTTCAGAACACTTACTGAGTCTTTCTTTAGCGGCCCTTATCCATTGGACGAAGTCTGAGCCAGCATCTATAAACGCTTGGTGCTGTTCTACTGTCTCTCTTTGTTTTTCGTACAAGTCCTTAGCTTGTTTCGATAGCGTTTCGTATTTGCTGGTAATCTCGGACGCCGGAGCCTGTTGCATAAGTTCCGAAGCCTTAGAAGTTACAGACTGAATCATGGGCTCAAACGAAACTATATCTTGCACAATATTGTTTGTTTGACGGAGGGTCGCTTTTCTTTCACCTAAACTAAGGCCCGTTGTCAAGCCGGCGAGACGATCTTGTCCCTTTTTAGATTTAGCGACCTTTTGTTCACACACTTCTTGTAGTTTGGCTTCTCTATCTGAGATCCATTGCTGTAATTGTGAATAACTGGAACTGTAATCGGCCCATTGGAGTAAAGAAGTCTCAAGGTGTACTTTAGCTGTTGTCATCTTCTTGACAAGGCGATCCCATTCGTTTTGTAGTTCTTTGATCTCTGTATTGATTCTGTCTTTGCCGTCAGATCTAGTGTTCCTAAGGACTTTTTCCCCACTGTTCACGGTGGCATGTACAAGATTTTGACCTTCTTCTCTGCGCTTCAATAAGTCTTCGATTTTATTGAGTCGTTTCTGCAATGCCTCTTTGCTACTGTCGCTACCTGCTTCGCTTCCACTACGTATGATATCCCAGGCATCATCAATCCACTTCTTAGTCTTGGAATAGTTATCATCATAATTCTGGTGTTGTTCGTAATTAGTTTCCACTTTCTTTAGGACGTCGTTGGCCATATTAACAAGTACTTGATACCTTGAATTGAGGTGCCTCAATTGGTTATTAACGTATGTGTCAAGATGAGAAGCAAGCAACCCAGAAGCTGAAGCGTTGAAATTTTCGATGTCTTCTTTACCCTTATTCAATTGGTGAACTATTTCTTGAACTTCATTTACCTGCGCTCCCTTTTCTTTAGCTGTACCAAGCAGAGCTAGCTTGTGGTTCTTTATAAGAATTTCTTTTTGAGCTAGCCAGTCTGACAATCTTTCATACTCATCCTTGTATTCGCGCCATTGATTAACTGTCTCTTCGAGTTGACTTTTTTGTTTTTTGATTTCGTTGAAGAGATCATCGAAGCTCTCTTTGAGGGCCTTCATTTCATTCTTGATGACAGTTTGTCCTTGTGGTGATGTACTGGCGAGCACAACTTCTCCAGTATGCTGGAGGTGTTCGAGTAATAGCTCTCCTTGGGCTTGCTTGTTAATCAGAGCATCAAGAGGTGCTACAGAGTTTTCAATCGCTAGCTTGTCACTAAGTGGTTTGGATTTTAATGATGGTACCTTTTCCCTTGCTCTGCTTAACCACTGTATTAATTCGTCATGAGCTTCTTTGTAGAGCCTGTGATCTTTGTATTGCTCTTCACGGTCGGCTAAAAGTTTTTTAATCTTATCATAAAGACTGTCAAATTTGTTCAATGTTTCTTGAGCTTTAGAAGCGACTTGATTTTGCTGTCCACTGGCAAGCATTTCAGCAGCTTTAGCTTTCAGTGTATCGACATCTATTCGATCACATCTTGCTTTCTCTTCAACTTCTTTAAGTTTCTCTAGTTGTGCCCGTTTATCAGACATAGAAGATTCAAACGGTGTTAATTCGGCTAGCATATTTTCAAGCCAGGTGTTGCTTTTTTCGATAAGTTGTATTTGTTCCAAGAATCCAGCCCATTTCGTTACGGAATCATCTAGAATGTTTTTGGTTTCAATCATTCTCGAGAGTAAAGCAGACCATTGTTCTTGTAGTGCAACAAGAGAATTGTTGATAGCTTCATGTCCGGCTGGGGCAGTATTAGCCAATACATTCTGTGCTAACTCAACCAATGACTGTACTTTAGTAAATCCTTCGTCCTTCGTTAGTAATAGATTTTGAATCAGGACAAGTTTGGTTTCTAAGTCATCTTGAGAACATGAACTTAAGTCGGCACAGAAGTCTAATTTGTCTCTCAATTCTTCTATCCACTGCGAGCATTCGGTTACGTTACTCGAGAATTCTTGATGTGTCTTAACATACTGCTGCCATCTGTTAGTCAGATCTTTTACTTTCTGTGACAGTGTTTGATATTTCACCGATAAGTCAGATATTTGAGAGCCACGTGGTCCCAATACTCCGGTATACAGATTTTGTGCTTTTTCAGTGATATTGTCAATTTCTAATTCCTTGGCTCTAACTTCACCTTGAAGTTCTTGGAATTTCTTGAACTGTTCTTGTTTCTCAGGCAAAGTTGCCTTCAAATCTACGGCGTGAATTTGCGTATCAGTGTTTCGTATCCATGTCAAACATTGGTCTTTCATATTCTCATATTCATTCCATTGCTGTATCTTATTTTCCAACGCCTCGATAGTCTTGTTGATAAAAGATACAAGTCCTTCCCATTCTTGATGAGAAGCGTCTACTTGATTTCTAATATTCGCTTGGCCGTTGGTTATTGTACCTGGAAGTACTTTTTCACCCAACGATCGGATCTTGTCAATACGACTCTTTTCTTCTGGTAAGCTGACTTGTAATGATTTTAGTTTTTCACAATTGCTGCTCAAAGCCACGCGCTCTAAGTTAACGTCACCCCACAGCTGGGCAGTGTTGTGAGTTGCCTCCACCCATTCTTCTAGATCTTTGACAGCTTTAGTGTACTGTTGGTGGTTGTTGACGATTGCTTCATATTGTTCAACGAAAGACTTAGCTCGTTTTAGAACAGTCTCATGTCTCTGTTTAAGCTGGTTGATTTCTTTGGTTATATTTTTGCTAACATCAGGCAGGTTTTGCATGCGAGCTTCAAGATCAGCTATATCTTGCTGGTGAGCAATGGCGTCTTGCAAAAACGTTCTATAAACATTCAGTTGATTTCGTTTCTCATCCAACGTTGCTTTCAATTCAATTTCTTTTGGCAAATTCTTTTCGGCTAGAGTCAACCATTGTTTAACCGCTTTCAAGTTGTCTTCGAATGATGACCATTTGTTCAATTCGGAATCCAAGTCCCTCTCGGCCTTTGTAATGTTGTCGTACAGATTATCAATGGCTTGTTGAATCTCTTGCAGTTGTTGCTCGATGATTTCCTTACCTTCAGGGGAAGTTGATGGGTATAGCTTCTCTCCTAATTCAGAAGTATTGTTAACCAAGAGAGTAGCATTTCTTCTTTGACTTAACAAATCATTGAGGCTTTCCCTTTTAGCACTAATACCTTCAGGTGTATTAGATAAGTTTTCATTGCATTCGTTGAACTTTTGTTGAGCGGCTTTCAACCAAGCAACACACTGATTGTATTTTTCTTGATAAGCGTTGTGATCGTTGACGGCTTGTTCACATTTCTTGACCAGCTCCTTCGCGGTCGATTGTACGGATTGGAATCGTGACGTCATTTGTTGTAAATTCATCGTAATTCTTGTATCATTGCAGTTTTCAATGAGGTCACTGAACTCATCCGTCAATTTATCAACGTCATTTTCGGTCTTCTTTAGATTAGCTAATATAGCCTGTAATAAAATAATGTTCAATGTTTTTTTGTATCTAATGAAATGTACCTGAAACAGCACCTCCATTATCTTTTATTTCTTCCCTGTGAAACCTTGAACCCAATCTTACCCTGCTCACCGTATTATTTTATTAACGCCGTTAATATATGTAGGTACTAACAACGAATTTTGAAATTTGGAATTTTAAACTGATCTACAACAACTACCATTAGTATCGTAACTTAGTAAAGTTTTAAATTTTGTAAAATATGCGTACAGGAGAATTAGAGAAACCAATCACCGCCGCCTTCGGATTAGTGTAGTATAAGTAACAGTAGATAAAGAATAGCCATCATAAGTAATAACAATATTTTTCGGTGTTAAATTTCCTGTTGTGTAATTAGAATATTCTACTGAAAATTAGACTATATCCTACTGTGCAATTAATGAGAATTTCTTTTTTTTGAATATCTTACTTGATCCAACGCTTCACCCAAAACAATGACAGGGCTCAAATCGTTTTCGTGAATTTCAATCGCTTTACACAAATCCTGTTTAACATTTTATTGAAATTTACAATTTGAAAACAATTCAATTATTCAGTAAGCTATATAAAGTTTTTCTCACATACCTGATATTTATTTAGTTGATCAACTTTCTCTTCAAGTGTTGCTTTGGGTGTGTACGTTTTCAAAGTCATTTCAGTGTCACTCAGCCAACGTTGAAGACGATCGTTGGCACTGTCAAATTCAATCCACTGCTGAATCTTGTCTTCAATACCACGTCTTACTTCATGTACTGTGGCAGTGAATTTTTCCAAATCGGCCTTCAGAAGACCGAGCTCGCGGGACATACCTTCTTTGCCTCTCGGTGACAGCTTAGAACTATTATTTTCAATCAAATCGGACAGAATCTTCAGTTTGTTATTGCCGGTTGGAATAGCGTCTAAAAGTTCTTGAATTTTAGATAATTTACTCTGCAAAGCTGCTTTGTTACCTGTGAAATCAGATAGGAGATGCAAACGATCCCATAAATTCTTTTGGTATTCTTGCAGAGACTTTTGTTGATCCACAAATTGCTGGTAAATTTCGAAGGTTCCTTCGTGCTTATCGATTATAGCCGTAAGTCTGTTTGTTAAAGCATTGTATCTGTCCCATACTGATTTAATTATTTTTGTCATTTCGTCACTTTCTGCTTTGCCCGAATGCAAACTAGCAGCCACACTTTTTGCTTTTTCTGTGACTGTTTCAATGACTCGTTTGTGCGATCCAATTTCTTGAAGCAAAGTTTTGTTCTTGAGTAGCTTTGATTTGATTTCTTGGGCTGAGTTGAGGATTGCTTTTTCTTCGGCGTCAACAATCTTTTCTTTTTCATCTAACCAAGAAAGCGTCTGTTGAAGCACATCTTGGTAGCTTGACCACTGTAGCGTTTGAGATTCGTATTCTTTTTGTTGTTGTTGTATAGCATCGTTAAATTTATCCCATCTCTCACGTAATGCCCTGATTTCACCACGAATATTTTCCCTGCCATTAGCTGCTGTTTCGGGTAGTACTTTATCACCTGCTGTAGTCAAAGCACCTATCTTGTGTTCACCGTTATCTCTTTCCAACAAGAATACTTGAAGCTTATTGCCTTTGCTTTCTATGCTCATTTTGTCTTCTTTCGTAACCATTTGAGAAAGTTGTTCTTCTAAAGGTTTAAGCCAAGCATCGAATTCGTTACGTGACTGAACGTACTTCTTGTGATCGGTAACTAGCTCTGACCAATGTGTGACGATTTCTTTAGAAATTAAGTGTAGTTGTTGATAACGGCTGCTAACTTGCGTGACCAGTGGCTTCAGGCGCTCAACACCACTCATTTGAATTAAGCTATGTGATTCGTCAACGAATGCATCCATCTCTTTTTCCTTGTTGTTAATCTCATTGCGCAGATCTACGTATCGTTTTAATTGTTCTTCCTTTTCCTGCAATGTTGAGCAGAGACTTTGATCTCGACATTTAGTTTCCATTTCCTTCAACCACTCAGTAATGGATTCGATTGATGAATCAAATTTATTCCAAATTTCCAATGTGTTCTTTAGTTTTTGTTCAGATAACCCAATGCTTTGTACAGCATTTCGTAGTTGGTCATGTAGGTTGTCTATTTCCGATTTAATGGCAGTGTTTCCAGCCTCAGAGGTACTTTTGCTCACAGCTGAAAATGCCGATCGGATGTCATCTAGTTTGCTGGAACCGATTTTTTCTATTTCCTTCAATGCTACAGCAGTTTGCAATTTCCTTATTATTTCAGGCTTTTCTCCAGTCGCATTTTCGATGTCAATCAGTTTCTCAGATTGTGAACCCAGCCATTCTTTATACTGCTGTATAAGACGTACCAAATCTTCATGCCTTTTAACGCAATCTTCTAAGTTATCTTGTAGATTTTGCGATTTAGTCACAATGTTTTGGAACAGTTGTTTGATAGATTGCAAGTACACGTTCAAAGAAGCGTCGTGTGTCTGATCAACAAGCTGTTGCGCTTTATCACAGACAGACTCGACTAACTGTTGATGTGTCATTATTTCTTGATGCATGATTTTGTGATTCTGCAATTGCGCTTTCTTTTCTTCTAAAGAGGCCTTCAATTCAGTGTGACGCTGCATAGCACGTTCGACATCTTTCAACCATTTCGTGAGCTGTTCCTGTGCTAAGGAAAAGTCAGAAAATTGAAGAAGACATTGATCCAGCTTGTTAACGGTCTCATGGAAACTGTCACCGAAGCTGTCCCACAGCGTTCTTATTTTGCGAATCTTTTGGCGGATCACTTCTCTACCATCCGGACTTGTATGAGTGTAAAGTTTTTCTCCTAAGCTTAAGAATTCTTCAAAAGTAGGAGTCTTCTTATTACGTGTTTCATAAAGCTCTTTTGCCTTATTTTGTTTTTCTTGTAGAACTGCATAGTCCCCTACTATTTCGTTTAAGTCTTGGAGGTCACCTAGCATATTATTGAGCCAAGATTCCATTCCATTATATTCATTTTCAAAAGCTTGATGTTCTGATACAAATACCTCATATTTCGATATTATTTCATTAACGAGATTGCTTAGAGTATGATATCTAGTAGCCAATTTTGACGTTTTATTTGTGAGATCAGATTCATTTGCTACAGTTTGTTTAGTGTCAGTCAAAGCAGCAAAATCAGCGCTTTTAGATCCGAGTTCTGCTTGTAATTCTTTGACTTTCTGTAGGTGAGCAACTTTAGCTTCCAGATTACTTTTGAGGCTTTGATCTCTCACTTGGTTTTCTTTAACCTTTAACCACTCTTCAAGCTCATCCAGTGTCTTTTGATTCTCAGTCCATTGTTTTAGAGTTTCCTTTAATTTCTTATTTTGCTCTTTGCATTGTTTAGAAAATTGATTCCATGTTGTTTTTAGTTGTTCATATTCATTGATCAGAACTGGATGACCATTTACGCTTGTGGTTTCTAAAACTGTATCTAATTGGGACTTAAGTCCTCCCAATACAGATTCTATATCTTTAGTTTTGGCTGTCACTTTCTCGATGGCAGCAATTTTAGCATCTGCATCTTCTTTTTGAGAGACCACCCCATAATTTAACATGCTGCTTTCGGCTAAAATGTGATTAAGACGATCACGTACATCTTCAAACATTTGTACATATCTTTCGTGAGCAGCGACATGTCCTTGTGTTGTTAAAACTCTTTTTTCTAGTTCTTTAGCCGTGTTTCTGTATCGTTCAACAATCTTGTTAAGACTCTTTTCTGATTCTTCGTCTGGCATCAGCTTCAATTTCTCAGTCAGCTGAATTAACATAGATTCATGGAGTTCCACTTCTTGATGTAGTATTTTATTAGAATGAAGTTGCGCCTTCTTTTCTGGCAGAGTGGGACAGAGTTTAAACTCTCCCAACTCATTTTCTTTTTCGCTTATCCATTTTTGAACTTGATTAAATGTATCGTCGAACGACGATCTCTTGTTTATTGTAGTTTCAATATCTTTGATGACATTGTTCAGAGAATCAACGGAATCTTCGAAATAATCTCTCAGTGTTCTTAATTCATTGCGGATTTGTTCACGTCCTTCAGGAGTGATGCCGCTGAATAGAGCTTCACCTGACTCAATAGCACTATTGAGCAACTTTTGGCCGACATCCTTATTTTCACTTAACTTCTTGACTTGTTGTAAGTCAGCAGAGGTTGGTTTTGCGTGTTTGCTCATGACTGCTAAATCTTTTATACGAGCGTTGGCATCTTGAAGCCAGTTTTTAAAATCTGTTACTGATTTATTATACTTATCCTTATTATCTTTAGATTCTTTAAGTCTGTTGAGATGACTGTCCATGAATCGTGCTATGGCTTGGTATCTTGTAGCCAAGTGATTAATGTATTGTAATATTCGAGAATCAGGATTTCGTGCAAGTATTTTATCACCGGTTTCGGTTAACTTTGATATTTGCTTGCTGTAGTTTTTAATTTCTGTGTTGATTTTTTCTGTTTCAGCAATTTTACTGTCAACTTCGTTTAATTCTACGAGATTTGCAGCTTCTAGTCTCATTTTGTTTTCTTTTTCCTTTAACCATTCTGAAACTGATTCCATTAGGTTTTCATAGTCTTGCCAGGCTTCAATATTTTCCTTAAGTCTGTTTTTGATTTCATCGCAGTTAGCGGAGAGGACTTCGAGATTTTTCTTGGCTTTTTCCGTTTGTTGAGCAGCTTCTTGTGCACACGCAGGCTCCGCTACTATTTTTAATATGTCACTGGCTTCTTTAAGCTCACTTACTTTAGATTTACATTCAGCAATTCCACTTTCGACGTCAGCTAATGCAGCATTTTTAACTTCCAGATTATATTTATCGCTACTGACATCAGGCATACACCACCTGGTTTTATCGTCTAGAATTTTTAGGTTTCTGTTGAACATAGCGAGCTTGTCTGTAAATGATTTTTGTAAGAACGTCAGTAAGGTAATTTCTGTTTTATTGGCATGTACGAGTACGCTTTCAAATCTTTTTTGTAGCGTACTTAATTCCTTTGGTACTAATGATTCATAGAAGCCAGGATAATTGTCGTTTAGTTCAGACACATTTTGACTTAGATTATCAATTTCGTCATTCAATTCTTGAAGTTGTCCTTTACAAATCTGACATTTTTTCAACCTGTCTAATATTTTCGCATTATCACCAGTCATATCATCACATTTTATGATATCATCACGAACTTTACTGATTTTATCAGACAATTGTTTTATTTTATCTTTAAGTTTTGTTTCTTTACTTTCCAGAGAAGACAGAGCACTTTCTAAATTGTCTGCTAGCGACTGCAATGCTACGAATTCGTTGTCTAGGTAATCAATAATAGAGTTAACTTGACCTGCTGGAATGTTTTTGTTCAAGTTTGTTATTTGTTCGCATTTAGCTTTGATGCTATTCTTCAGTCCTTGGTACAAAGGTAGTTCCTCCTTGTATTTTGTAAGATGGCTTTGGCCGAATCTTATTTCCAAATTATCACATGCATTAGCCAAATTTTGCCCAGTTTCGCTTAACCATGTGACCACTTGGTTCTTGGTATCATCAATTTGTCTCCAAACCAAAAGTTGAGATTCAAGGTCTTGTATCCTTTTAATCGCAGCATCATTCATTTTCTCCCACTTATTTTGTGAGTGTGTAAATGCCTCTTCTAACGGGGTTGTATCAAAGCCACCTAAACTTGAGGCCTGTTGAAGCACCGACTGTTTAATGACTTCCATTTGATCTAGCAAACCTTTAGATCTCTTAAGGATTTCGTAAGATTTCTTTGCTCTGTCTAGTGATTGTGCGGTCTCAACATAATCGTTGGGTGCATCTTTACATTCATTGTAAAGTTGCTCAGCTCTGTTGAATTCTCTGTCAAAAGCGACAGTAAAGTTTTTCAATTCTTGCAAAGTTGATGATAACAATATGTACTTGTTTTTAGTGTCTCGAACTACATTTACAACTTGATCCCAATTGTGATCAGCTGTAGCTAGAGCATTTTGAATAGTACCCATATTGGGTTGGTCCTCTCTCATTAGATGCAAGCCCTCTTCTCTTAGTTCTTTTCTCACTGATTGTTTTTCTTTTAATTCAGAATCAACTTTGTCTAACTGTTCTGTCATATCTTGAATAGTTGCTTCGGTCAATGGCATTAGTTTTTGTGCCATTTCACTAAGGACGGATTGAACATTATGTAACACTTCTTGAAGTGCGTTATGCTGAATATTGAATTTGTCCCAACGTGCTCCAACTTTTTGAACTAAATCTCTTTTTGTTGTAACTTGATTTAATAGTGCTTCGGCTTTCGTCTCTATTTCTTTAACTAAGCTCGTTGGTGACATAATTCTGCCTGTATTTTGATCTGTTACTTTTACTTTCGATGGGCCGTCTAATAAAGCAACATTGCTCTTCCATTCGGGAATTTTCGTAATAACATTTACGAGCTCTTGTCTTAAAACTTCATATTTCTCTGATGCTAGCTTCGGTCCTTCAATTTGGTATTGGACATGGCCCAATTGTTGCTTAGTGTCATCGTACCAATTAAGAAGTTCCGACCATTTTTGTAAAATGCCCTTGTTCTGCTGTATATTGTTTTCAATTATTTGATAGTGTTGTGCAATGTTCGAGTATGTCTCACTTAGTGACCTCGATTCATCTGGATGAGATGCAAGAGTCATATTCTTGATTTCATTGTAAATTTCATTGAACTCTGGCTCCTTGGCAGCGTGTTCTTGCAAAAGAACGTGCATGGACTGCAGAGTGGGTTCCACTTTATCAGCGCCGATCTGATCGTAGCTTTCTGTTTTCCTTCGAAAATCAGTAATCCAATTATCAAAGCTATGAAGTTTGGTCATGAATTCCTGTCGGATAATGATTTTGTCTGATAGCTCATTTACTTTAGTCCTGACAGTTTCTGCTATGTTGTTTGTACGTTGTTTGATATCGGCCACTTTGTTTTTCAAAACAGTGGCGCCTTCAGGCTGAATATTGTGACAGATGTTATCGCAAGTTTGAGAAAGACTGATAATTTTAGCTTGTTGCTGAGAAATCTCATTACCAAATGACTTTAGCTTATTTAATTCCCGATCAAGTTTTTCCACTTGTGGAGTGTCGATCGACACGCTTCGACTGCTTAGAAGTTTTTCACCGTTTTCAATCCAAGTTTCTAATTTTTGAGCTTCGCGTTCGAAATTCTCCCAGTTGGTAACGAGTTTATCAAGCTTGTTATGCCATTGATCAGCAAGATCATGGACAACGGCCCAACGAGAATGAATTGCGTCAACTTCATCTGGTGCACTTGTCTTTCCTGATAATTGGTGACTGACACTGGATAGAATTTGCAAATTAGTCAGTTGCTTGTCACAATCCGAGATTAGTGCTCTGGATTGCTGTTGCAATTGCTGAGCTTCGGGTAAAGTGCTAGGTTTAGGTACGTTACCCAGTTTAATTTCAGCTTCTTCGATCCATGGTTTGATTTCTACTACGCCCTTCTGATATCTCTGCCAGCTGGCTAAGTCATGTTCGACTACTTTCGTTTGATGTTCTGTAGATCTTTGTAGATCAGCCATCATCTTTTCTAAAACAGAGATTTCGCCTTTAAGTCTTGTGGCGTCTTGTATGCGATGTTCGACTGCCAGCCTTTGGCCTTCGTCAGCGACACCTTTGATCGTTTCAAGTTTTTCTGAAATTATTTTCTGTAATGCCTGAGACTTTTCCACTTTTTCTTCGGGTGTTATGTTTTCTGAACGAATTTCAGATATCAATGCGGGACTTTCCTTTTTGATCCATTCCCGAACATGTTCTAGTTTGTGTTCAATTTTAACCCATTCCTGATTAACTTTCTCCAAATGAACCACTTTGGTTTGTACTTCGTCTTGTACTTTTTCCAATTTACATTCAATTTTTTCTAGATCCTTTTCGATAACTGGTTTCGGTTTATTGGCCGTGAGTGATCGAAGTTCAGAGTAAGCTTGCTGTAATTGAGGCAGCTTCTCTGTCTTNCGAACATGTTCTAGTTTGTGTTCAATTTTAACCCATTCCTGATTAACTTTCTCCAAATGAACCACTTTGGTTTGTACTTCGTCTTGTACTTTTTCCAATTTACATTCAATTTTTTCTAGATCCTTTTCGATAACTGGTTTCGGTTTATTGGCCGTGAGTGATCGAAGTTCAGAGTAAGCTTGCTGTAATTGAGGCAGCTTCTCTGTCTTTGCTTTCTCCAAGTCGACACTTAATACTTTAGTTTCTTGGAGTTCACGTCCGATATTCGTCACACCAAGTTCGAGGCCAGGATGAGCCACGTAATTCTCGATTTTGTCCAAATCTGACAGTAGTTCTTCCTTTTGATATTCATAATTAGACCAAACTTTTTGTGTGTCCTTAAGTTTATGAAGACGATCATTGGATGTCTCGTAGGCTGTGTTCCAGCCAGTCTCAAGAGTCCTGACATCTTCCCGAACGAAAGCAGGAGCGTTAGCATCCTTGATGAGTTCCTTGCCTCTTTGAAGCATGGACATAACTGACGGTCTTTGACGGTCGAGTTTCTGAACAGCTGTTTGTTGTTCTAGGACAAGCTGTTCCACGTGCTGCAGAGTTTGAGGTTCGGGCTCAATCATGGCCTGCTCTTTCGCACTTTCAAGGATGCAGATAACTTCGTGTACCTCGCGACGGTAAGTGTAGCATCGTGTGTAAGTTTCAGTCTTGATCATTGTAATTTCTATAGTGGGTATTAAGTTTTTATATCTCGCTATGAGGTTTTCAAGTCTTATCTGTTCTTCTTGAGCTTCAACCTCGGAACAGTGATTGGTGAGCATGTCTAATGTTTGTACGAGCCATTTCATGTCTTCGCGTTTCTTATCCGCTTCACGGCAAATGTTCTGCAAAACATCTACTGTTAGAGAATGCATAATTTATAATTTTAATTTAGTATCTAAATAATAATTCAGTAATAAATTCATAGCGAAAAATTGTTTACCATCAATTCCCGAAGCTGTTTCCGGTATGCAAAAACAGTTAAGATACTTTTAATTTTGACTCTTTTTATTATATTGAAATTATATTTCTTTTAGTGGCGTCCTTCATTAAAACGATAAGCACACTTTCGGAATACAAGTAAGCCTTTTAGGAAATTATAAACAATAATGTAGCTCAATTCATTGTCTCATAATAGAAAATAGAAATAGAACAGAAAACAATCCAATATATAATATTTAAATGTTTAGTCTTTTTTAACCGTACGATCGAGTATTGCAATAAGATCTATTATTATTAGAGTTTTAAATTTATCGTTTCAGTCTAAAAGTAAAACTCAATTTGTTTTAAGAACCTGGAATATAGTCTTTTCTCTTTCGAATGCTTCAGCTGAATCAACCTCCCTCACGATGCTGTCCATGGTCTTGTCAACGTGATCCATCCATCGCTCCATCTCCCGGAACTTATCTCTATACGCGTCCCATTTAGCTGGAATCCTTTGCAACTGCTGTCTGAAGTTTTCTACACGGTGGACCTGTTTGGTAGAGAAAAGTCAATGATTAATTTAGACGACAATAACCTAATGTAATTTACTGAGCGCTAAATTATATTCGCCAATTATTGTGCCATGACAATTTTGGTATTTCTTATAAATTGACGAGTAGAACTATCTTGCCTGAGTATCTACCGGAGACAACGGATATTATAAAAAAAATACCGCAGTCCAACTTCAGAGATGAATCTCGAGAGCTTCGGTTGCCCTACTCTTCAGACCGGAACTAATGAACTTTACATGGCAGAAATAGGGTGTATAGTGGTGGGTATAGGTGGACTTATAAAACGCTGTGCCAGTAACTTGGTGTGTGCTGTGTACTCGCATTCATGAAGCAATGAGACTGGATTAGTTATTTGGCCATACTTACATTAAAGTTCATTAAACGGACGAACCGTGGATACCTTTAATAAACTTACTCACTTCGACGAGAATCGGGTATCGAAACCATGCAGTCAATGAGTCATGAAGGTCATTTATAGATTTTTTATAGGTTATACCTTGTTGTGTCTAATTTGTAAGAAGACTAAAATAAATGAATAATAAAAATAAATAAATAAATTAATTAATAAATTAATTAATATAGCACAGGTATCGGCTTAAAACCAGATGGGATGTGAACTCTTACACCCAATCACCTTAATAATAATGCTTACTAAGTCAATTTTTGAACTTACAGTACTCTCCCACTCCTGTTCACATTTCTTGACGGCTTCTTCGAGGCTGGTGTCTCTGGTTTGATGCGTGTAGCTAGTGGAGATCTTCTTCAAGTTCTGAAGGCAGTGCTCGACCTGCATGACCTTGCCTTGGTTACGGAAGTACTCTTCGTTTCTGATGAGGATTCCGTCAGCGTCGTCGCTCTGGTTGTAGGCCTGAAGGAGGTTAATTTTGTGAATATTTCACCTTTGTTATGACATACACGATTTTCTATACTATACATTACCGGCTAGTTTATGTAATTAAATTACGTGTTAATGCATTATTTACTAGGTTTGCATTTTATGATTGTTGTGAAAGTAAATAAATATGTTTTAGCGAAATTTTTCTGAATTTTTTTTTTTTTTTTTTCTAAATGCACCAATCCTTTTTATGGTAGATTCAATACTTTTACACATCAGAATATTTACATAGAAACATAAATGTGATGATCTAAAATGACACCGGCATTTTTACATTTACATTTTTATGTGCAAATTGCTAACGAAATTTTAGTTAGCAAAAAAAAGATATATGCAAATATTCAATAGTTTTAATAAAAACGTAATCGCTATTCAATTTTCAATAATTTTTTTTTTTTTTACCTGTTCTTCATAAGCAATCTCTTTTTCAATATCCTTGATGCAATGGTGGAAGACAGCTTCGTCGAGTTTGAACTCCAACCGCATGAGATGTGGGGGAGCCTTGTCTAGGAGCTCTCGCCAGCGACGCTGAAGGTCCTCAACGGTGTGGACAATACGAGGACGATCTTCCTCGTTCACCAACTGGTGGAAAATTTGTATTTTATTAGGTATTAGTTCTCATATGGACCGAACTCTTGGCTCAGCAGTTACTGGCTATTCATCTTCAGACTTAGGATTCCTATATTAGGATAGCTTTAAGACAGAGATAAGCTGAAATATGCCACTAGTACTTAACATATGAACTCTAGTCAATTAGTTAGAATTGGACAATTACGAAAACAAGTTAGGCTACTAAGTTTCTTATGGTGCGGCAGTAGTCGTGGTCTACATTGGATTATAATTTAATAATATATTTATATTAGATTTTCTAATTATAACAATGGATTGGCCACTTTTGAATAATCCTTGAGATTGCGTGGCCTATTTGGAATCCACCTGTATTTTCAGATAAGTGGACTTGTCGGTATCGATTGGAATTTGAGCCAATGAAGGATCAAATATATTTTTATTACACTGGGCCGATTGGTTGAACTGACAGCCTATCTGGAATTAAGAAGCTAGTGAAATCTATTTACGTCATAACAGACCTGATGGCGGAATCTCAAGATTAAGCGGTTCCTGGTGCACCCGAGATTTCAACGGCCTGTCTCGAAGGCATTTATGTAATGGTAACGCTTTAATAGGTCATATGCCCATCAATTACCAAAAATGACAATTTTAACTTACCTCAATAAGTTCACGTCCAGATCTGACAAGTTCAGAAACGGCTCTCTCGTCTGCGCCTTGGAAGAACCTCTTGTGGAAGTCGACGGCTTGTTTCGTATCGACTCTGTTATCAGCGAGCAGTGCCTCGGCTCTAGATGCCCATTCTTCAACGACTCTCTTCTTCGATTCGAATTCATCCCAAGCTCGGACTAAATGCTGTAGGGCCGCCTCTTGGCGAGTGGCCTCTGATGATACGTGCGCAAATCTACAAGAGGATTATTGTAGTAACAATGTTCGAGGGAAATATCAAAAGATAATATATTAATGCTTTCCAGATACAGCATGTGATGTTATGACGACGAGACAAAAATGTCGCAGAATAGCTAGAGAGAATGGAAATTACCCAAAGAGAAAACGCACTGACAAGAATGAGAATTCATTGTTTGTTATGAAGACGAAACAATGACTTTTTCATGACAGGTGAGCCACCTGGGTAGACAAGACAGTCTATAAACATATTTTTTTATTGCTTAGATTCAGAATTAGATAGAGCTCACAGGTGTTAAATGGTGTCTGGAGCCCACAGACATCCACAACGCGCCAACAAATGCGCCTTCCATCTTGAGATATAAGTTCTAAAGTCTCAGTATAGTTACAACCGCTGCCCCACTCTTCAAACCGAAACGCATTACTGCATCACCGCAAATAGGCGGGGTTATGGTACCCACCTAAATCTCTCTAAATCTGCTATTAAAGCCATAATGATTGTATTTGTATCAAATATCTTACCTTTCATTAAGATCTCTCATAATCTTAACTTGGTCAGAGACATCAGCGCTCCTGTCAGTGTCAGCGGATTTGACGATATTCTGGAAGACCTTGTTCTTGCTCTCCAGCATGGAGCGGTAGTAGGTGGTGCGAGAGAAGAACGTGCGATGGATTTCATAACGCTCTTCTATAATTTCTCTGTATGATAAAGATTTTTTTATTTATTTTAAAATTCTTAATAATACTTTACCTAATGATACTATATACTATTCCTAATAATAATATACCTTCCAAGAGTTTGTTCTAAAATTTATGGAATCTACATCTATGTATAGTATCGTAGTGTAATCGTTTTAGTAAGTTCATAACGTGACACGCAATACAACGCAAAGGTAGGTGACAGCCGGCGCGTTTTAGCCTGTTGACCTCGCGCGTCCTTTGGTGTTTAATTGTATTCCATTGCGTGCAATGCAAGAATGTTTTCGAAGGTAGTTTGCATTAGTGCTTGGAACCACTAATACTATTATCGGGTACTATTCAAATACTTTTTATGTTTAGACTTCATCAAAGTAGTACTAATAATATAGTCTGTAAGCACGATTGATGGCCGACAGAATAATAATATTACAAAAAACTGTTCCTTGGATGCTTGACCTTAAAAAACTTTAGATCGACTATTAAATCAATCTCAATTATAATTCGTTGCCTATCTATTACACAATAGAAGAGTTTCTCAAATTGTCTGAAATAATTAAGAGGATTAATTTAAGGCTACCTTCAAACTGCTTGTTTCTACAATAACAAGAACGTGTACTGTACCGTCTGGTTTCTCCGGTTGTCCTCAGAGTCTCTTCAGCCCTGTCTAGCCAAGATCCAATTTCCTTCTGTCCACTCTCCAAAGACTCGTGCTGCACCAGCAGCTGTCTGTACTGGTGGAGCTTCACGGGTACCGTGGCTCTCACTCGGACCAAGGCCTCCTTCTGCTGTTTCAATTTGGTCATGTTGGTTTCCACCTCATCTCGAGGCATCTCGGCAATCGCAGTTTGGAAGGTCCTATAATTAATTAATTTTTAGTATAGAGCTTATGTGTAACAGTTATTGGAAGGTACTTTTTATAATAAAATAATGAGTATTTTGGTTGCAAATAATTTTGAAGAATTACATATCAACATCATATCATCCTAGTCGGTTGCTCTGGGCAGAGCAGTCGTGGTCATGTGGAATTCTTGCTTATTAAAGCCTTGACAGATGTTTTCTATAGTTTGCAAACCGAGGCACCGGCGCACGCACTCGTTAAGTGGGGTTTTAGTAAGGTATTTCACCTGATCAGTCCAACGCATTACATATAATGGAACAATAATGGCCATGTTGTCAAACATATTAAATAGGCATTAGTAGGTAGCGGCTTGGCTCTGCCCCTGGCATTACTGAAGTCCATGGGCGACGATAGCCACTCACCATCAGGTGGGCCGCAGGCTCGTTTGCCTACAAGGGCAATAAAAAAAAAACATACATATCTGATGAATCAAATTATCTGTAATGAGCTTTGATATAATATGTATAAACAAATATCCAACAACATACCTGCTGATGCTCTTAAATATTTCCTCGTGCTGTTCAATTTCAGAGTTCAGCTGTAACAGCTGGTCAATGTATGCCTGTATATCGTCGGTGTTGGCCCGGGGCTGTCTGTTAAGAAGATTCTCCGCGCTGGTGAGCCACGAATCCAAAGTTCTGACTCCATTGGCTAACTCACGCCTGTGTCGAAGTGCATCGCCACCTCGTACATAGCTGGATTAAATTAGGAAGATAATTTACTACGAGTAATTGGAATATATCAAAGTGGTCTAGACGCCAGCAAGTTCATTGACGTCTATCTAGCTTTATAGGAAGTGAGTAAGTAAAGTTTTGCTTTTTTGATATAATCTATATTATTAATTGTTTAATGTGATGCTCATTTGTGAAAAGGGTCTTGTATAATAAATTGACAGAAACCTTTACTGGTGGTAGGACCTCTTGTGAGTCCGCACGGGTAGATACCACCGCCCTGCCTATTTCTGCCGTGAAGCAGCAATGCGTTTCGGTTTGAAAGGTGAGGCAGCCGTTGTAACTAAACTGAGATCTTAGAACTTATATCTCAAGGTGGGTGGCACATTTACGTTGTAGATGTCTATGGGCTCCAGTAACCACTTAACACCAGGTGGTCCGTGAGCTCGCCCATCCATCTAAGCAATAAAAAAATTATCTGTTTTTCATAAAAATAATACCTAATGCCCGAATAAGCTATTACCTAAATCTTGATCTAAGAGTTAAGACTATTGGCACTATTTATCATTGACCCTGGACATTGCCCGCACTGACTGATTATAATGGATAGCTCCTCTAATTAAAAACTCTTTAGGGTTGATGAAATTGTTTTAATAACTCACCGTTCGGCTTCTTCCCAAACTCGCTCCCAGCGTTCTGTGATCTCTACATATTTCCTCTTAATCTCTGAGCTGATATCTTCAGAACACGTGGCTGCGAGGAAACCAGCAGCCTCGCCCAAACGCAGGTGTTTCTCTTTCCATACAGTGAGATCTTGGAAAAACTCTAGTCGCTCATCTTCAGACACTCTCAACATGTGTTGCGCTTTGTCCAACCAAACGGTAAAGTCATTGGAAATGCTATTCCACCTCTCCCAGTGGGCGATGACTTCCTCCAAAACGCTCCTTGCGCATCTGACGTCAGAAGCGACCCGCTTCCAAGTCTCCGCAACATCTTTGAGGAACAGATCAATCTCTCTTGCCTCAGTCCTATCGACTTCGCAAACCCTCTTGTATTCATCCGCTACTTGTTTAATATCTACGTAAGCTCTGTCGAATTCTTGGAAAATTTTATTTTTAGTAACAAAATTATCGTAGTCATCTAATAAGGCACGTACGTGGTCTATGCGACCATATTTACCAGTCCAAGCGGCTAGTTTAGCTTTCGTCAATTCCGTGAATGCAACTATGCAACATTTGTGTTCTAAATACTTTAATCTGGCCTTCCTTTGAGGCGCTCTTCTACTCACAGTCGTCAATCGATCTCTCATATCCCGTAATCGCTCACCCGGTATTCTAGATGCGTCGGGTGAACGCAACGCGGCGTCGAATCTATCAACTACGTCTGGTAGACCTGCAAAGAACGCGCTGTGCTCTTCCAACTTCTGGCTGATGATAGCCGCGGTTACCTCGTCTAAGTTAGTTGGTATTTCATCAAAATACAATAGATATTCGGCCTTCGCTAACCATTCGCCAATTATTCTGAAATCGCCTGGCAACTCAGAATCCAAAAGCCATAACCATTTTCTGTGCAGTCTTTCTAATTCTATCCACAGAGTGACTAGTTCACGCCATGATTTGGGTGCTATCGCCACTAAGCTCTGTGTGTACATGAGTTTTTCGAGTTTGTTGTATATGGGTTCGCGCGCGAGCCTGTCATTTTCGGCACGCACGTAATCTTCGTAGTTTCGCGAGAGCGTTCGCGAGTCGTATTGTCTTTGAATCGTGGTGACTCGTTCAGTTAGCCACATCCTAAGAGATTCGTACTCCTCTTGTACTGCCGCTACGGCATCCGGCCCTGTCGTCTATGAATAAAAAAATACAACATTAACAAATCTGTCCTCGAGCAACTTCGCGTAGAAACGAGATTGTCTACGATTTGCTACCAGAAGGTTCTTAGTTACTTTGGTCACATTGCTCGGCGGCCACCGGACAACCTTCACAAATTGACTGTGGTGGGCAAGGTAGAAAGGAAAAGACCCGCCGGCCGGCCGCCAAACCGTTGGTCAGATCAGGTAACTGCGCTCACTGGGCTCTCTGTTGCGACCGACCTGAGAGAAGTCGAAAACCGAAGGAAATGGAAGCTGATGGTTCAAAGAGCCACGAAGGGTTTTCAGGGACACGGCCTTCAGCAATGAAGTATGCGACTAAGAAGAGGAAGAAGAATATCCCAACATACAAGTAGCTGGTATTGTTGCCCGGGAAACACCAGATAGCTTATAGAAACTATTCGTGACAGGAAAGACCGAGGGAAAGAGACCGCGTGGATGCAGCCAGACAAGTTGGTTCGATTAAATTCACACCATACCAGAAACCCCTTTCCATGAAATCCTTTTACGCTGAAATGGCATCTCAAGGCCATCATCTAAGGTAGAAAAAAAAACGAAACCCTTTACGCGGCCAATGATCGGAAATGGTGGAAAGACATAACAAAAAATTAAATCCTGTCTAAGCATGATGGTCACGACCAGTGAGAAAACGACGCTAGGAAAAGGTATTAATTGAATATATGTATTACTTACTTTCGGTTCAGGGTATTTATGAAGGAACTGAGCTACATATGTCATGATGGATCGTTCGTCTGGTTTGTCTACATCTACATCCTCCGCATCCAGGAGCCTGGCTATGCCCAGCTCGGTTTCTGCAACGTCGAAAGCGTGCTCCAATCTTTGTCTGTTGGACTTCCTTTTCATTTCGGCCAAGTTAATGAGGTTGGCTTTGATAGCATCAATGATGGCCAGGAATGCGATACCATCTCTCCAGGATGGACCGAAGTCTGTCACTTGAATGTTGGAGTCCCTGTGAAATAACGTCCAAGTAAGTATGAGGTAAATAAGGATTTGAAATTCGGTGAGGGCATAATTCGGTGAGGTGAGGGCATATTTAAATTCAGAAAAACTGAAGATTGAATATACAAACTACGGGTGAACTATGATGGAAAATGGTAATCATTGATACGGCATTGAGACTGTAGTGTCGGTTGAACCTCAATAACCAAAGGTCAATTTATTTTGAAAGGTCACCGTCCGGCTTAATACATGAGGTCCTCTCCAAGACGTTGCATTAGACAATGAAATCAAATATTTAACTTCAAATGCTCTACCCAGGGTTTCACTCAGGGAACAACCTTATAAATTAAATTCAATGCTTAAATAAATAATTTGGGTACATACTTAGGCAGGGCATTAGCGACCCATTGCAGTAAAGTCTTCCTGGCTCCCTGCTTCCACTTATCTTCAGCACGTTGCGTGGGCGTCGCCGCACCAGACTCGTAAGACATAGCCGAGGCGCATCGTGACCCACCCAGGTATTCCAGTGCCCGACTGTTTTCTTCAATCTAAAGAGAAAAATAAGCAATCAGTTTCATGTTTAATAATGCAGGACAAAGAGTACAAGATCGTACGGGTGGTCGCCAACAGGGTGGATAGACCAATTTAAAACCACAGTGGGAGTCCCCTAAATGAGTGCAGTAGCGTGGCGGGACATCGTGAGACGCGTCAAGTCTGCCCCCTCCAACACTACATGACGATCACGACCACTCAGTCAAGAGTGACGCGATTGAGAAGAAGAAGAAGAGTGAGTGTATTCCACTTTAGAATAAGATTTACTGGGTGATACGGACTATTGTTAGTCCACACTGGTAGACAATGTTTGTAGTGGAATAATCGAGCATTCGTGCTTAAAAGGTGGAATGGCGGTTAAGCTAATCAATTGATACTAAGATTATTTTTTTATTGCTTAGATGGGTGGACGACCTCACAGCCCACCTGGTGTTAAGTGGTTACTGGAGCCCATAGACATTCACAACATAAATGCGCCACCCACCTTGAGATATAAGTTCTAAGGTCTCACGTATAGTTACAACGGCTGCCCCAACCTTCAAACCGAAACGCATTACTGCTTCACGGCAGAAATAGGCAGGGCGGTGGTACCCACCCGCGTGAACCCACAAGAGATCCTACTACTAGTAAAAGTGGTCCTACCACCAGAGATAGACCTCATATTAAGTATACACAACACGCAATGGAGTTAACTTCCATACAAAAATCAATAAATAAAAACTTAGCCTATACTGACATTTCGCGCGTTTATACAACTATTTGCTGTGACATGAAAATCAAAAAATCAAAATCAATGCTTTAAACACAATGTGGATTTTCTTTTGACGCGATAGCCATGGTGTTTGTCTTCTTCGTATCCTTTAATCGATTTCAGCATAAAGAGAGTAGTTACTATATTTGTGTTAAGCTGTAGTCCAAGCGTCTTTCGTGTGCCAACGTAATGTTCTTGTATTCTTCATTCGATGGTGGTTTTTAAGATCGAAACTACCGAATCCTTTTTTTAAACATTTATTCTGACAAACTCACAGCTTATGCGATGTAACGTGAATATACACTTGCCCTCGAGAGAGGAAGGAGTAATTATTTGTAGAAATAGCAGTACGTACGCATTTTCTTACTGGTGGTAGGACCTCTTGTGAGTCCGCACGGATAGGTACCACCGCCCCGCCTATTTCAGCCGTGAAGCAGTAATGGGTTTCGGTTTGAAGGGTGGGGCAGCCGTTGTAACTATACTGAGACTTTAAAACTTATAGCTCAAGGTGTGTGGCGCATTTACGTTGTAAATGTCTATGGGTTCCGGTAAACACTTAACACCAGGTGGGCTGTGAGCTCGTCCACACATCTAGGCAATAAAAAAAAAAAACGACAACAAAAACCCGTGTGGGTTCCTAGGAGAGCCTCATAACAGTGTTCGATAAGAATTCGAGGTGAGTATATGAAGATAAGTATTAGAAGAAGAGAGAGAGGAAAAAGAAGTAACAAAAAAAGCAAATTATCTCTGCTTAAATAGCATTTGCACTATACATTTGCAATATGCCAAAGTATTATATATATTTTTAAATAACACAAAACAGCAAAGAATAATGACAAAGAGAAGATCTTCCGTCTAAGTGAAAAGGCTAATTAGTCACAGTTTAAGCATACCATAGAAATATAACTAGCTATAGAAAAGTGCCACTTCTGCTCATGTTAAACTTATATTACAGCTCGCAGCAAAAAGAATTAAGCGCAGTCTTTAGAATTCATTGGAGATTTTGTTACCGATATGCATCATTGATATTCTTAAGATATTGACTGACATGTGAACAAAAGAGATAGAGCTCTAGAAAATTATCGAATATCTCTTTCTAGAAGCTCGCCATGCAGAAAATACGTCTGATTTTCTGTAATTACTCACAGAGCAATGGAATTTAATAGAAAACTTAATTTTTGTTATGTGTCATTTCCATAAAATTTCTTTTATAAACACGCTGTTTCAACATTTTCATGGGGTCCTGAAGTTTAACTTTAAAAGTTTATCAAAGAAGTTAAATTCAGAGCTACGAAATCGAAATTTGGCGGTCATGAAATATTTAATGTTATTAGGTAAACATATTTCCAAGAAGTAAATGGGAATAGACCACCAATTTTAAAACCACTCAATCGCTGTGACATTTTTCATATAGGAAAAGTTACGTATGTAGGTTTACCTGTTTTACTGTTGCCTGTTTAGTATAGTTGCCACGTATACTGATTGCTATATGGTGGAGAAGGCAAAACCCTTATTCCTTATTAAGCCCTTATTATATTATCGTTTTGCTGCGAGCTATACCTATATTATTACTTAATCTATCTACGTAGTGTCCTGTATCGATCTAGAATACGTTTTAAAAGCTGCATTGCTGTACCAACCTTGTCTCTATCCTGTGGGTCCGATATATTGAGCGAAGCTTGCGCAAACAAAACCAGTTCAAGCCAATTAAAGTGAGAATATTCAGTATTATTGAGAAAGTTCATAATAAAGTTGATAGCCAGAAAATACAGTACATTAATTTAAAATTCAAAATAGGTTCAATTTGGACAGACTATCAATATAGACGTGTATAAATCAACAATGTATACATATGTTCATACAAAATATAGTCTTACAAATGTCGGGGTTCGATCCTGAGGCCAACACCATTTATTTCTGATTATAAGATGAAGGATTTATAATGGACTTGATGGATGAATGGCCGACGTTCTCGCTTGTAACCAAAGTACATAAGCATCACAATCTGAATGTCGCCATCACCTTGAGATATTATAACGTCGAAGCCTTAGCTGCATTGCAAAGGTAGGCCTTTGAGCCAAATATATGATTGGTACGTAGCAGATATAGACAGCATGGTGGTACCATTATTCAAACAAATTAATAAATGTACGTTTGAGTTTTATTACATGAAGAGACTGGTGGTAGGATGTCTTATGAGTCTGCACAGGTAGGTACCTCCAACAAAATCGATCCATTCGTTACGGAATGTATACGGAACAAACATATTATATTCATTATCTACTGGCGGTATGGCTACCGCCCTGCCTATTTCTGCCGTGAAGCAGTAATGCGTTTCGGTTTGAAGGGTGGGGCGGGCGGCCGTTGTACTGTAAAACTGAGACTTAGAAACTCATTTATCAAAGGTGGGTGGCGTCATTTATGTTGTTGATGTCTATGGGCTCCGTTAATCACTTAACACCAGGTTGTCCGCGAGCTGTTTCGCCCATCTAAGCAATTAAAAAAACGTGGACTCATTGTCTCATAGTGTTTTCTTAAAAAAATTGGCTGTACGATTTGAACATGTTATAAAACCTACCACAACACTTTGTGATATCTATTGTGGATCAACCGTCATCCTAAGGTGTTTTAGGTTTGATCTCATAACTGGGAACTAACTGGGAACAAATCAAGCACGGTCATCCGCCCTTAATTTAGGATTCCCTGCGTTATGTGGGTACTGGAAATTGATAAAGATACTTATATATCTTTAGATATCAGTGACTTTAATAGAAATGCACAAAAAAGGGGTAAATTTTTTCAAGATATTCTCATTTTAATTCTAAAACCCAATATGTGCGCACTATAATATTTACTCGCATACAAATATATACGATTAATCTATATATATAAAAATGAATTGCTGTTCGTTAGTCTCGCTAAAACTCGAGAACGGCTGGACCGATTTGGCTAATTTTGGTCTTGAATTATTTGTGGAAGTCCAGAGAAGGTTTAAAAGGTAGATAAATATGAAAATGCTCGGAATTAAATAAAAAAATAACAATTTTGTTTTCCCTTTGATGTGACCCCCGTCGGACGGAATCCATTTGTTTGTTTTAAGTTTATTTTATACAAAAGCTTAAGTCTTTTATTTATCGATTGAGGCACTACGAAGTCTGCCGGGTCAGCTAGTAATGAATATAAATTGATAAATTCAAGTCCCAAGTATACGAGTATCCTACGATATTTCTAGGTAAGTAAATTATAATATTTACTATTAAATTATTAAGTAGTGAGTTGTGTAGTGAACAGATACTAAATCTGAAATTTTGTGAGAACACACCTCACCTGACCATCTTTATTCGTAACTCTACTCAAAGCTGACTATGCTTTATGAATCTCTGTTAAATTATTACGAATAAATAAGGTTATAAAGTTTTTTTTTTATTTTTTTTTATTGATTAGATGGGTGGACGAGCTCACAGCCCACCTGGTGTTAAGTGGTTACTGGAGCCCATGGACATCTACAACGTAAATGCGCCACCCACCTTGAGACATAAGCTCTAAGGTCTCAGGTATAGTTAGTCTTATGTTAGATTGACATTTTGACAGAATTTCATAATTTTTGCTGCGTGGTGTATGTAGCTTTGAGTAGTATGAAAGTTAATGATCATCTACCTAAAGATACCAGGTGAATTTTTTTAAAGTAATTAAAACTACTTTTATGGAACAACGACCTCAAACGTGGCTGCTACCTTCGTGTTCTATTGCGCGTTCGCGATATATGAACTAAAAATACGTAACGTAAATAGATCTATTTTCATTATGCTAGGATGTACTTATTAATGAATTTTTGAATGAAAAAATGCTATTACTTAGTTTCAAAGTCATGGTTAAGAAAACAAGCATCTAGAAAATAAAATCAGAAAAGTAAAAAAAGAATACCGAAAAAAATATAAACAAAATATTAAAGGAAAAAGAAATTCGTGTACATTTTGAACAGAAATTAATTGAACAATACACATTTAGCTTGACCTTAGCTTCTCACTTAACTTACTTCTAGATCGGGCTTTTTTAAAACAGCCTACTATTATTACCATAGTCATCACGACTTCATTTTTACAATACAACAATAGGAGTATTTCTAAATTCAATATCGAATTGGGCACATACAATATCTGTTCATCACAATTGGGCACATTCAATTTCTGTTCATCACAATTGGGCACATTCAATTTCTGTTCATCACATTTGGGCACAATCAGTTTCTGTTCATCACAATTGGGCACATACAATTTCTGTTCATCACAGTTGGGCACAATCAATTTGTCCCTCACTATTTAATCAAAACGTATACCTGGAAGTAAAGAATGATGGTCCAGATCAGTCCGAGGACGACAGCTGGTCTCCCGTCGACCAGATCCGCGGCGTTGATGTTCACTAGCTTAATTCTCTTCCCGGCGAGGAAGCGCAGCGCCGTATTCGCATTGGACAGGAAATGCGGACGCCGAAGCACCCGACCTCGCTCCATTGGCTATAGAAGAAAACCACAATTTTAATAACATATAATTATAATAACATACAATTTATTTGCCCGTTGGACCAATGACTTGCGGCGATATGCGGGGAGAGATGGGATGCGGAAGGCGGAGGATCGTTCATTGTGGCGGACTGTGAGAGAGGCCTCATCCAGCAGTGGATAGATACAGGCTGATGATGATGATGACAATTTATTTGTATTTAATCGTAAGTAAATCTATCTTATATTGTATTTATTTTTCACATGTGTATATAAGTATATATTTTTATGTAAGATTATTAAGATATAGCACCGTCCATGCTAGTTTGCTTATTCCTCTCGCTGCAAGGTTGCCTGGAAGAGATCGCTTTCAGCGGTAAGGCCAATTTATGTCACCTTCTATTATTTGTTTTATATGCTTACTCTGTACATGTGGTGTCAAATAAAGAGTTATTATTATAATAACACGAAATAGAGCATTCTTAACTTTAATCTGTACGGCCGCGTCATGAGCTTGCACGGAAATCAGCGTTTAAAGGGTGGCTTATCACCTATTTTAGGTTTTATATTATATTTGGACCAGGAATTATATTTGATCTAAGCCGAGACTATGGTGGAAGGAAACGGAGGAGGCCTTTGCCAATGTTGAAGAAATTGTAAACATCCTTTTTGCGTCCGAATAAATGCTATTATTATTTTCCCCTATTTTAATGATTAATTTTAATTTTAATACTACACTAATTTAATTCATTGAACTGGAAAGCATGACCCCATGATGATAACCGTGCCGGATTACAATATGTCTTATCACCACACAATGCATATTGAAAAAGTTGTATGCCGGTATGATACTAAATAGAAAACAAAATTTAATAAATTTGAATTACAAATAGTGTAAAAAAAATGCTTTTATTGTAAAAAAGCGTGGAGTGCTTTTCAAGATATTATCAAAATAAACCTTTTACTCATATCTGTTTATAACATATTTATAACTACTGATACCATGCACCCCACGCTTTTTAAGTTCGCACATTACCGAATGATCGTGGGTTGTTGCGAAACCTCCAGTTTTATTTTCTTTATACCTCGAATAGAACTTAAAATTAATATTTTTATAATAAGGAATTTCGTTCCTATCCGGTGTCCCACGACACCACACATCTTTTTTTTAATTATTCAAGAAATAAAACTCACCAGCTTCTCCCCTGATAGCACTTCCAGCAGCGCCAGCAGTCTCGTTCCATCTCGCAAGTCGTAGATCAGATCATCGATGCGCAGTGGCGGAATGCGCTGTTAACATTAAATGAGTTAATCCAGCCTATTGAATTCAAACATCTGCACTGTCAAGTCCCAAATACCCGTCTGGGGCGCAGATACCCAGTATGAGGTTTGGCCCCGGCCCGAAAAAAAAAACAAAGTGCTCTAGCTTTTTGTTTATTGCTTAGATGGGGGACGAGCTCATAGCCCACCCGGTGTTAAGTGGTTACTGGAGCCCATAGACATCTATAACCACCCACCTTGAGATATAAGTTCTAAGGTCTCACTCAGTATAGTTACATTCTACATTCAGTAAAGTTACAGCTAATTACATTCAAAATTTTATGGAGATTATTTACTACCGCTCATATTTATTGAAGCCGTCAGTGCAAAAGTGGCCTAAGCTTACCATAGTTATTATGGAGATATTGAGGGTTGAAATTTACCTTTACAATACTTCGCCGGCAAAAAAACATAAGCGCAAAAATAAAGTTAACAAAGGCATCTGTTATCTATGTCTGAAACTAGGGATAAGCCGATTTTGAACAAAAATTTATTATGTATTAAATAAATTGCAAAACACAAACACGAAAATGAATTGTGGGCTGGGTCACTTTTGCGCTGACGGCCTCATTTAAAATAGCCCCTTAGGCTACCAATTATAAGATAAAAATTTAGATAAATAGACCTCGTAGGTATAAGCTACCATATTAACACTATCATAGTGAGAGACTCACCTTCGATAAATGTGAATTGATCCAATTGACGAAAGTTTTCTTTTGTACTCTTTCCTGTTCATCTGTAACAAAGGAAAATATGATTTAGATATTTATAATTAGCATCCATAGTCAGAAACATTTTTAGATATCAAAACAATGAGACCGGTTTTTAATGAAATTGCTTTGATCGATTTATTATAGCGGTCTCGGCAACTGTGCCTACTATTTTTTATGATTAAGAATTCAGAAAAATATTTAATACTAGCTGACCCGGCAGACTTCGCAGTGCCTCAATCGATAAATAAAAGACCTAAAATTTTGTATAAAATAAACTTAAAACAAACAAAAGGACTCCGTCCGACGGGGGACACATCAAAGGGAAAACAAAATTGTTATTTTTATTTATTTCCGAGCATTTTCATATTTATCTACCTTTTAAACCTTCTCTGGACTTCCACAAATAATTCAAGACCAAAATTAGCCAAATCAGTCCAGTCGTTCTCGAGTTTTAGCGAGACTAACGAACAGCAATTCATTTTTATATATAGAGATTATAGACAAGTACTTACGCTTGTAATCACTACAAGTTAATGGTCGATTTAAAAGTCCTTAATGCTTCTAATATCGTTATATGGATAACCAAAGTTCTAAATACAGTTTAGTAATCTAAGGTATAATACCGTTTTCATACGTTCTAGGAACACCTAAAAACAGTCGACGAAAATAATTTTGTCTTAAAAATACCAGGGTTAGTTTAATGTGAGTGGGAAATTTCCTTTCTGTAAACAGAGTTATTTTGTGCTTTTTTCATTGGGAGGGCTATGCCGTTATGAAGACCGTTCATTGTGGCGGACTATTGGAGAGGCCTACATCCAACAGTGGAGAGACACAAGCTGATGACAAAACAGAATTAAAGTGAGCATTGGGATACACAACTTCCACTGAAAAATACACGTAGAAATAAAACCTTCAGAAATATTAATCTATCTCCTTCTCTAGCAAACTAATTTCTATAGATGTCTCTTTTTAGTATGTGCGATACACAGTAATATCAATTACAAATCGTAACGGTGCTAAGGATGTTTTCATTGCAAAAATCTTCCAATTTTTCGACATTCAAACGCCTAAGCTAGAGTTTTTCCTTTGTCTCTTGTCTTATGGCTTATAAAAGAAATGTTTAAACAAAAAAAATCATCTAATATTTTATGACGTCATCTTCTTTATGTTTGTGGCGGGTAGCCATCATACAACGCAAGATAATTGACAGATGCCTGAATCTCGCTTACGAGATTTTCAAGATAAAGCGCATATATACAAGTTCCAAACAATAACATTCGGACCGTCGCGCGTCGGTCTACCGAACAATATCACCCGCTCGGTGGAAGATCTTCCCTTTGTCGTTAAGCCTCCCAAGCATTGCGTTCCGTGAGAGAGGAAAAAGACGAAAGATGTTCGATACTACAACAAGCTACCCACCCAGCTACCCATCATTAAAATATCAATAGCCGCGTTATTTTGCAACTAATCCCAATGCTGTTTTCGGAGAAAACTTTATACTAAATGGTTCCAGTTACGTATTTTGTATACTAAATCAAACGTAAGAAGTAGCTGTAATCCTGCAATTAATTCCAAGAGTTCTACTACAAATACTTGCGCATGCGCTGCCTGCACCAATATGATTCACAGTAAATTCATGCAATCGCTTAGTTCATTGCACCGATAAACTGAGTTTCTTAGCTATAAATAGCTGGTTTGCTTATTGTCAAGTAGTCGCTAATACTAAACCGCATCCACACGTACCACTTGCTTTTGTATTGGCTTTGGAGAGGAAATAGCTAAAAATAAATCTTAAACAAGTAAACTGGAACATCTAAGTTTTATATTATATACTAGTGGTCCCCCGGTAGTTGAAATTCGACTATAATTGAAATTATAAGTTTGTACACTATTATGATTCTATTGACAAAGACAATTTATTATACTTCTTCACAGAAGACTACACTTTAGACAAGACAAAGACAAACAATATTTAATCTATTCTCAATTTGACCACAGACTATAAGCAATAAGAAAAGTTTGACAATAGACAAATAGTATGCACGCCTGTGTGTGTCAAATACATGGTAGTGGGTGTAATATATTTTTTTTATTGATTTAATGTACCTATGTTTATACGGATAATTTAAAAAACTATTAAAAATCTGCACTCTTTCTCTATAAGTGAGGGAAATTTCAAACTTCTCCGTCCGTGCAATTTTCATTAAAAGCGATCCAAAGTTTTTGCTTCACGTATTAATATATAGATTTTTAATTGCATTCATAGGCAGAGAAGTTCATCTAATCCAGTAGTTAATATCGCTTGTGAATAACGAGTGATGAATGTTGAAGTTTCCAAGTTTGTTCTTAATCAAGTTGATTCAGTTAATTCACTCACTTGATTAAGAACGAATACCTATGTTCCCTGCCACAATTAGAGACCTTGATACTTCCACAACCGCTCCCATATCCCCATGGCTAATTAGTTAATTTAAATCAGTGATTTATCAATCACTCCAAATGGTCCCTATCGATAAATTACACACAAGATAACTTGACAAATCGCAAAGCTTTTAAATTGATTCATATTTTTAATCGATACTAATAAAGTAATTATATTTATGTGTATATGTATGTTTGTATTGTTTTATATCTTGTAATATGTATATATTATTATATGTAATATTTACTGTATGCACTAGGTTTGTATTCCTAATTCTTCTTTCCTTTTGTGGGCCCACTGGAAGAGATTTCAACATGAAATAAGTAGTGCCCTTGTACTCTGTATGCTTATTGTCGTGTTTCTTCTAACAGCTGTGTGTACAAAATATATTAAGTAAAAACTAAAATTGAGATAGAATTTTCAAAGTAATTTTAAATCGTTGGGTGTCTGAGAGATAAATTCATTTTGAAAAAGGAGTCAGTTGCCCTAAATAGCTTGGGAATCCCGGATTCGAATGACTAAAATGTGATTTTAATCAATAATAACATGAAAGCGCTCGAAGTCACCTAAAAATTAATCAATTTTCAATGAGCTATTTATGATTAAAATAAAATATTCAAAAATATCTAAATTGCTGAATTATACAGCCGATTGCTTTGAAAGACGTGACATCATCAACACGACAGCTATTAATTACAGTGTAGTGCGCTTTCGTGCGAACATTTTAATTGAATAATAAAAATAGAATAGTGCGCCGATGTAGGTTTAAAAACATCGGTGAGTTTTAATATAAGCTTCTAAAACAGTAACTTTTGAATTTTAAACTTTAACTGTTTGTATGTTAGGTACAAAATGATTACTTGCAAATCGAATCTCGAACGATATACTTTTCATGATTTTATGAGTTTTAGGCCTTACATTTTTTCATTAAAACAAATTATGTGTATCTCAAAATCCTCTGTAAAAAACGAAGACTTTAGAACTTATATCTCGAGGTAGATGACGGCACCTACGTCGTAGATGTAGATGAGCTCCGGTAACCACTTAACACCAGGTGGGCCGTGAGCTCGTCCACCCACCTAAGCAATAAAATGAAAAACTCTCCTCCTTTTGACTGGCTTCACAGTGTTAAGATATAACTACAAAGCTAAAAACCTACCGCAACATAATAAACATAAATATAAATAAAAGGCTCAAACCTAAAATACCGTTAGCAATAAAAGAGTATTTTCAAAAAATGATATAAAAGCTACCGCGATTCAGGGCCTTAGTGGCGAATAGGTCTTCCAACTTACCACTGAAAACCTTAAGATCAACAAAATTTTAATTACATTCAAAAATATCTGATGAACGTGATGAACACCATTATTTTTAAAATCGTTTCCCAAATTACATTGCTCTGCTATTAATAAACTCCTTTATGGGTTCATACACTTTTTGTTCAGGAAATAGATGTTAGTAGCTTTTAAATTTAAAAAAAAAAAAACGCTTAAAGACGGGATACGCTTAGTAATGCCCGGGATAAACTTTGTACGAGGTAATCTAGCGCGGAGTAATAATTTGTTCCGGTCTGGCTGGCGTACAAATCGGGGAGTGTTAGTAAACTTATTAAGTAAGTAATGAAAACTTTAACGTGATTTATGGCTTGTTTTGACTATGGTAATGGACTGGCAGTTATTTATGTGCATAGGGCAAACGAGCTCATCCTCCACCGGAGTCATCACTTTAAGACGTATGATTATAAGCAAATTTTGTCTATACTTAATATTATAAAGAGGAAAGATTTGTTTGTTTGTTTGTTTCGAATAGGCTCCGAAACTACTGAACCGATTTGAAAAATTCTTTTTCCATTAGAAGCCGACATTGTTCCTGATGAACATAGGCTACTTTTTTTTATTTTATTTTTTTTATTTTTTTTGGTTTCATGTGTGTTTTAATGTTTCCGAAGCGAAGCGAGGGCGGGTCGCTAGTTTGTAATAAAGAGATTACTGTTGAAGTCTCCTCGACTTTACAATGGCGGGCTCAGCCGGGACGCGTAAGATTGCAGCTACAACAGCAGACATCTACAACATAAATGCCGCCACCTACCTCGATATATGAGTTCTAAGGTCTCAGTATAGTTACAACGGTTGCCCCACCCTTCAAACAGAAACACATTCGGCCAGAAATAGGCGGGAATAAAGTATATATCCGTAGTACAGAGCTTAAAGAGAGAATCGAGAATATACGGCGACCCTTACCGTTACCGCTCTAGATACACTGATGGATGCATCCGATGTATCAGTGCAATTCGATGCTTCTAGGAACAGCCAAAATAAAGGTCAATGTACTTCTCTGACTCTTGAAAGAGTTCGACATGACAATAAGTCCGTAGCATCAGTTCGCTAGTGGTAGGACCTCTTGTGAGTCCGTACGGGTAGGTACCCTTGCCTATCTCTGCCGTGAAGCAGTAATGCGTTTCGGTTTAAAAGGTGGGGCAGCCGTTGTAACTATACTGAGACCTTAGAACTTATATCTCAAGGTGGGTGGCGCATTTACGTTGTAGATGTCTATGGGCTCCAGTAACCACTTAACACCAGGTGGGCTGTGAGCTCGTCCACC